CACTTCAAAGCACGTCTAACCCATGTAGGCCGTCGCAAAGCTTCCCAACACCGTGTTCCACTGGTGTAATATGTGGTGTGTGGTGACGGGCGCGCTCGGCTGCCATGCTAGGTGACCACTTCGTCGCCTGCCCGCGCACGGGCTTACTGCCTTACTGCCTCGTCGCATCCTCAAGCGTGCGAGGGTGCAAGTCGCGCGCGAAGCGGTCGGGGCTGAGGGTGGTGCCACAGCAGTGGCTGGCCCGAACCACGACGCTGGGCGGTGAGGCGCTGTGTTGTGATGCGACGCTGGTCTCGCCCCTGACGAGCAGGTCGCCCAGTCCTGAGTGCCGACGCGGGCCGACGCGCGTGACTTTTTTTTTTACGGCGCGGGGCCGCATTGGCGGCCGTGCGCCGTGGCAAGCAGGCGCGCTATCCCGAGCTTTTGCGGGGCGGTCCACAACGGCGCGTCGCGGACGATGGGGCGATGAAGGCCAGCACTTGCTGCCCTGCGCGCCTCCGCAAGGCGGCGTTGGTGGGGTTTGCCAAAGGGCCGCCCGCCTCAAACTAAATGCTGCCAAAACCAGGGTCTGGAATGCTGCTGGCACCTTGCCGCCGGGCGTGCTTGCTCTCGCCCCGGACTCTCCAGTTTGGGTTGGCGACCTCTCGCTCCCCCCGGCGCAGCGCGGTCTTGTCGCACTCGGTGTCCCATTCGGTACCCGGGAGTTTGTCGATGCCCACTTGCATGATGTCCTGGCGCGACAGGCCAAGCTGCTGGACGCCCTCCCACAGCTCCAGGACTCCCAGGTTGCGTGGCTGCTGCTCTCTTGCTGTGCTGCGCCGCGCTCGCAGTATGCCATCCGGACCCTGCCGCTCGATGACACGCGAGGGTATGCAGCGAGCCATGACGCTGCAGTCCTCGGCTGCCTCCAGTCACTCTTGTATGCTGACGCCGGGACTGCCTTGCCGGAGACCGCGCAGGCCCGTGCGCAGCTTGCTTTGCGGCATGGTGGTTTGGGTCTGCGGAGTGCCGCCAGGCACGCGCCTGCGGCCTACTGGGCCGACTCGCTGCGAGCCATTGCTCGGCGTGATGCCGCCCATGCTCATGAGCTCATTGCCGCCCTTGAAGCCGACTGCGCGGCCCCCCCTGCCCTCGAAACCTTGCGCCTTGCCCGCTCATCCCTGCAGGCCATCGGGTTCGAGCCTCCTGACTGGGCCCAGCTGCTTCAGGGTGAAGCCCCGTCTCAGCCCGATGAGGACGGATCCCTCGACCTCACGCGTGGGTGGCAGCGCCCCGCTTCCCAGGCAGTCGATGACTTCGCTCACCGTGCCCACTTACGCGAAGCAGATTCGGCCTCCGCTGCCCTGCTGCTCTCGCAAGCCGGTCCGCATGCTGCGCGAGTTTTCGTTGCCCGCCCCACCTTGCCTGAGTTTTCCTTGGCATCGCCGATTTTTCGCGTGCTCCTCTTGCGCAGGCTCCGCCTCCCCCTGCCCCTCACGGCTGCCAGATGCCGATGCCAAGCAAGACAAGACCCTTTTGGCGATCACCGCGCTGCGTGTCCGCGCTCAGGCGTCCTGCGCGCACGTGCTGGCCCGCTGGAGCGAGCGACCGCCCGGGTTTGCAGAGAAGCAGGGGCGACGGTTGCCCTCAATGTCCTCGTCCGAGATCTCAATCTCGACCCCGTCCGTCAGGATGACAGGCGCATTGAGGTGATCGCCAACGGCCTGCCTCTGTGGGGGGGTGCCCAGGTCGCGGTTGACACCACCCTGGTCTCTCCCCTCACCGCTGCTGGTGCCCCGCGCAGGGTCAGGGGCCAAACTGCTGGTGCAGCCCTCCAGGCAGCCAGGCGGGCCAAGGAGCGCAGCTACCCAGAGTTCTGCCGTGCCCACCGCTGCAGGCTCGCCGTCATTGCGCTTGAAGTTGGAGGGCGCTGGAGCAATGAGGCCGCTAACTTCGTCCGCTTGCTTGCTCGCTGCCGGGCGCGGGCCGTCCCTGCCACCTGCCGGGCCGCAGCCACCTCTGCCTTCACGCTGCGTTGGTCGTCCCTCATCTCCTTCGCAGCTGCGCGGACTTTCGCCGCCAGTCTTCTGTCGCTCCCGCTCGGTGGCACTGCCAGCGTTGATGGGGACCCCCCGCTCCTCAGCGAGGTCCTCGTCGACTCCGCCATCCCTCCCCCCATTGCCAGCCGCCTCCCGTGAAGGTTTGCGAGCCTTGCCGTTGCGCTGCACTGGGACCGCCTTGACCAGCAGAAAAAGGTGCGAGGGGGAAAAAAAAAAAAGGGCCGCCCTCGGCGTGTGGACGATGCCAGCGCTGCCTAGCTGGCAGGACGGGGTAGCCCCGCTGATGTCATTGAACTCGTCGACTCCGCGGGGTGCTGCTAAGGTGAGCCCGCCGTTTGTATACTTAGCGGGAGTCAGGGACCTGCGGGGGTGAACAAGGTCCCTCAATGTCCTCGTCCGAGATCTCAATCTCGACCCCGTCCGTCAGGATGACAGGCGCATTGAGGTGATCGCCAACGGCCTGCCTCTGTGGGGGGGTGCCCAGGTCGCGGTTGACACCACCCTGGTCTCTCCCCTCACCGCTGCTGGTGCCCCGCGCAGGGTCAGGGGCCAAACTGCTGGTGCAGCCCTCCAGGCAGCCAGGCGGGCCAAGGAGCGCAGCTACCCAGAGTTCTGCCGTGCCCACCGCTGCAGGCTCGCCGTCATTGCGCTTGAAGTTGGAGGGCGCTGGAGCAATGAGGCCGCTAACTTCGTCCGCTTGCTTGCTCGCTGCCGGGCGCGGGCCGTCCCTGCCACCTGCCGGGCCGCAGCCACCTCTGCCTTCACGCTGCGTTGGTCGTCCCTCATCTCCTTCGCAGCTGCGCGGACTTTCGCCGCCAGTCTTCTCTCGCTCCCGCTCGGTGGCACTGCCAACGTTGATGGGGACCCCCCGCTCCTCAGCGAGGTCCTCGTCGACTCCGCCATCCCTCCCCCCATTGCCAGCCGCCTCCCGTGAAGGCTCGCGAGCCTTGCCGTTGCGCTGCACTGGGACCGCCTTGACCAGCAGAAAAAGGTGCGAGGAAAAAAAAAAAAAACAAGGTAGGCCCTTGACCTGACAGCAACCTGAGACATAATTATGAGACTCGAGCAGCCCACGTGTACTACATGGCTGTTTCCGCAGCAGGCCATGGCCTACGGACCGCCGGCGCCCGCGCCCCTCCAGCCATTTCTGCGAGGCGCAGTGCCAATCACCTCATGGGCGGATGGCAGCCTTCTGGGCTTCCCGGGCACACCGCCCACACTTTGCCCGCGACACCCTTGTATGGTGCTCACTCAGCCTCCGAAAGAGCAGATTCGAGGTGCCCTCGTGGGATCTTGTGGCAACAACCGCAAGGGGCGGAGTCGGAGCAAGCGCCTGAGGGTTGCTCGGCAGCGGCTTCCCTGGATGCAATAGTGTGCGCGGGCCTTTTCCTTGACCTTGACCCGGCTTTCCTGCAAAGCGCGAGCTTTGACAGCCCGTACCGCCTCCAGACTCCAGAGCGCACTTGATCGAACAAACCCAATTTGCCCTTTTCAATTCTTCTTTTTCCACACCCTCGGTGTGGGGTTGTTAGATTTTAACCTCAACTCTTCTCCTCCCCCCAAACTTTTCTCCTTGCCCGGAACTCTTCTCCTCGCCAGGTCTGCTCCCCAGAGAACCCCAGAGGCCCAACCCCAGAGTCTCCCCAACCCCAAAGTGTGCCCCACCCAGAGTCTCCAGTGCCCAACCCCAGAGGCCCAACCCCAGTGCCCAGTGTTTCCAGCCCCAAAACCCCAGAATCTCCCTCGAGTGCCCAACCCCAAGATTGTGTTGAGTGCCCAACCCCAGAGTATCTCTATCAAGACAGGGTGGGGATGTTCGAAGTAAAATACTTTGGGCGTGGTGGGAGGGGGGGGGGGGGGGGGGGGTGTGCATCTTTTTGGAACCGATTCCCGAAATCGTACTGTAACCCTTCTGGGCGTCTTTCTTCGGGTTATGCTCTTACATCATGGTCTCATTGAGTTTCACTGCAGTGGTTTCGGTTGCCACCAGCTCGACAATTTGTTGTGCTCAAGTGCCGATTGGCACCGGCAGTGTCCATGTCATGCGTGTCCACGCGGCACCATATGATAGCACAAACAGTTGGTATGCGGTGAAGCATTCGGTTGACAGATGTGGTCTGCGCATGAAGCGCTTTGGAAGCGACACCGGGCAGGGTCAACCAACAAGTCGAAACATTAGACACTCACTAGACACTCATTAGACATTCATTAGCCTCACTAGATGCCGTCCGGATAGGGTCCATAGGGTCCATAGAACACCGGTGTTCTTCAAGGCCGTGGACTTGGCGTTCGGTGAAAATTTCTGATGCATAAAAGGCAAGGCGTAGCTGCAGTTCAGGCCGCGTTTGCTGGGATTTTCTGCAAGATGCTGGCGACAGTGCTGCTGGCCATGTTAATGTTGCCATTCAGGACGTCCATGTTGTACACTTGCCATCGAGCTGGCCAGGCATCCGGACCACTTCATTGCAAGGGCCTGCCTTTGCCTCCTCCTGATCAGCCAGCACCACGTGGCAAAGAAAACCTTGAGGCTTATCTTTCTGGCCATGGTCCCCTCCAATTTCATTTCGTCAAGATCTTGTGAGGCAGACGTTGGTCAGAACTTTCGCAATGTATTGGACACCGCGCCCTTCAAAAGCTTGTACATGCAGGTGGAACGTTTTGCAGTCAAAAGCCAACACATGTCAAACGGTGTGGGCCGCATGAACATGCATGAACCGTCCCAGGCTGCTCCTGATGAATGGCTGGAAGAGGAACTTCCAGACAAACCCCGCGTGACTGAGAATGCAGTGCAGGTCAGCACATGTCAGCACCATGAAATCAGTTGCACTTTTTTTTGGAAGGGCGCGGTTGTGTTGTTGCTTGTGTGGCCGTGGGTGTTTTTGCCAGGAGGACTCTGCAGATGGTTTGCGTGCATCTGTGCAAGACGACTTCGAACGCCGTTTGCAAGCCAACGTGGGTGATATGGCGGCTCGGATGATGGTGGGTTCGTGAGCCTGTGAACTGTTTATGCTGTGTGCCATGAGTTGTGAAAGCAATGCTTCGTGCAGGTTGGGCTGTGGTGCGAGTATGTGCAGTGGGCGGAGAAGAACGTATCGAAATCGGAACATGAAGCCAACGTGCTGGCACGTGCTTGTTCCTTGAATGGAATGTTACTGAGTCCATGCCATTCCATACACAGTCGCAGCGACCTCCTTGCAACCTGTGCAACGCAGGTTATTCTCTCACAGGCGATCCTGCGCTGAAGGATGATATTCGGTATTTGCGTTTGTGGATCAGACATGCAGCGCTGCTGCCGAATCCAGATCAGGCGGGATGTGTTTAGTGAAGGTGCTCGCATCTGCTGGTGATGCCTCGTTTCAGTTGCTATGCGTCGTTGAATTCGCCCTCGGAGCAATTCCATGCAAACTCTGAGGTCTTCGAGTTTCTTGAAAGAGAAGGCCCCCCCGACGTGCGCAAACTTGTGTCGAGTCCAGTAAATGCCGAAGCGTCAGGAATTGGAACTTGCCATGCACTGTTTTACGAAGCGGCCGCTGCAAACCTGGAGCGGCAGCATAAGTTCCAGCAAGCTGAAGATGTGCAGCCTGACTTTGACTATTGACCTAGTTTCTGTTTAGCCAGTCGGTTTGCAGATGTATTGTGGTTCCTCTACCGTGAGGTATGTGGAGGGAATTGATCGCGGAGCTCAGCCTCAGCACAGACTTCAGTGCCGTTTCCGTGAATTCCAGCGGCGGATGGCCAAACGCGCTGCTCGAGAAGGCTCCTGGATGCCTGTGTAGCAGGGAGGAAGGAAGACTTTGGTTGTGAAGTCATGACGCAGGAAACGAACGGGTCCGGCTGTGCGCGGCAGACTCCTTGCAAAATATGACGAATGCTAAATCCTCCTTGCTCCGGGCCCTTTCTTCCTGACAGGCCGGCAGAAGCAGCGTGAGCCGGTGGCGCAGGGTGAGGCATGTTTTTGGACGCGGGGTTGTATGAGTGTTACTTGTATACAATACGCTCGTTGAATTCTTCGTCTTGTTCGCGCAGATTGACAAGGAGCATGTCGCAGAAACATGCACAAACCGCCATTTATGAGCTTGTGTCATCCCTTCTTCGTCAGGTGGCGCCTCTGTTGCTGCCGCCCACCGGGCCCGTCGAGCGAGAGCGAGAGGGGTTGCGGAGAGCCAGCAACCAGGAAGCGGTGCCTGCATCCGCTGCAGACATGAGCGCTATGCAGAACAAGGATTCTCAGCCCAGCTTCGAGCAGGATTCCTGTTCACCAGCCCACATGAACTCAGAGAACTCAGGGCGTTACAGCCAAGTACCCAGATGGAGTTCATCCACACTCCTGGAGGATGAAGAGGAAGAGCTGCCGCTACACGACCAAGCGTTCATATCCTTTCTACCTCAGGGAGATGACTTGGACGACGTTTCTGTCGAGGAGATGCAGGCTGCACGGGTCTTGGCGCGCGACTTGTCTGCTCCGCCCCCGCGAGCACCAGAGAGAAAGTTGCCCGGACCCTTGGCCAACACGATCAACGCGACCAACACGACTCAGGAACTGTCCAATGGCTTGAGGGCACTGCTCTCAGAGTCGCGCTTCTCACGAGGTCGATCATCGGTTGGCTCTGTGTTCGATCCGTTTGACGACCCAACATACACAGCAGAGCTCGCACAGAAGGAAGTGCTTGAGTTGCTAGCATGCGATCCGCATCATGAGCCTGGCAGAAGAAATTCGGTGCAATTGAAACCGCTTGTCCGAGTTGGGCAGCGGTCAGCGAGAGGCGTTGCAGATGCACCTGCCTGGACGGGTGGCTTTGAAATTTTTGATGAAGGCGACCCCGACCTTGGCAGCAGCTGAGCTCCTTTCAAATTCACTATGTTTAGTGCATGGCAGTTTAAGTTCATCGCCGCCGGCAGAAAAAATGATGCATGAGCTGGGGGCCGCATGGCCTGCAACGCACACACACAGACTTATACACGCACGCATGCAAGCTCGGGCAGATTGGTTCAAGAACTCCACAACAACATGCAGTGCGCCTCATTTACATACTTGCTTCACTACCGAATCAAACATCCACATCAGCGTGTGCTGTGACGTCGCCGCTTGCATGGAGACGTTTGCCGCTTATGGGTACGCACCGCCAGTCAGCCCAGCGAACTGAGCGCGGATGCCACTTGACCGGCAAGCCCCGCTTCTGGATTGCAAATAGCTGCAAAAGGCTGAGCCGGCAAAGGCAGAAACTTGCATGGCTGTCAGTTGGAAGCAGGGGCTCGCTCCTGTGGGGCGAGGGTCAATGTGCCAAGGACGCGATTACGGACGCCGTCAGACGCGGGCTCGGAGCACATTCGAGTAGTCAGGAGCTCAAACCAGACGTGATGAGTTACTTGCGGCTTGCCGAGACTTTAGAATCTAGAAAACGGGCAACTCGTGAGGTCAAGACGCAGCAGTTGGTCAACTACTTCCAGAGTAACTACAGCAGCTTTCTTGGCGGCCACTTGCCGTTATCGGAGGAAAATGGTTTGTTCTTTCAAGCTGCCTGGGTCGTGGTCACGAGGTCTCCTGGCAGACCATGGAGCTCCACAGCCAACGCCGATGTGTGGGCCGATTTGCATGCCAGGTAGGCTGCTTGGCGCTTTTCTGCCTGATGCCTCTGCCAGGTGGCACTACCCTGAAGAGCTTCACATGTGCAACTCCACGTCCTTATCGCGATGTGGACTTTGAAGGGCGCTATCGGCCTTCATCTGGCAGTGGAAGGACTGTTGCGGGACAGTTTCTGTCAACTGTCGAAGCGATTGGCCATGTTCAATTGGCAAGGAGGCGTGAGCAAGATCAAGGCGCCTCACATGTTTGGGTGGATGTCGAGTGTGTTGGCAGTCATGAGGTCTAGCTTGAAAGAGCATCCCGTCTGAAGGTACCACTCCGGTGCCTCTTTCTGCCCGTGTACAGGGCAGCACGCTGCAGGCCTTTCAGCCAAACTTCCCCAACTTCCCTAAACCCCAAACACCCCCCGGCAGCTCTAGTGATGGCTTCTGGGAAGGCCGTCTTGCTAGCTGCATGGGGGTGCACTTGCATGAGCCCATTGCCTTCCGCTTTTGTATCTTTTGTCTTGGTTGGCAGCGCTGCTGTGTGTGCGGAAGGGGACGTAGGCTTGCAGGAGCCTCAAACTCTCCCCCTCAATTCCAATCGTGCCAACAGTCACCGTACCAGAATCCCTGCCATGCGGGTGCCCAAAAAAACCACTCCGGAGTCTGCTTGGCGGGTGGCCTTAAAAGGAAGACACTCCTGAGGCTGCTACTCCTGAGCTTCAGTGCTTCCGATGTTTCACAATGCCAGGTTCTCGAGTCCCCCCGCAGCAAGGATGCTCGTGGCCACCCGCTGAAGCTCGACATGCTTGACAGGATTTGTGTTTGGTTATCGTGTGTGCCCAGTGTCTCGGAGGACTCGCAATGATACGGTATGGTCATAAACTTCTCATGAACAAGCAAAAGCACGGTAAGTGTCACAGTATCGTCTAGTATAGTCAGACATCATGTCACATAACATGTCAGTGTCACATATATCAAGAAATCTAAGTCTGATTTGATGCTATTCGTATTCGCCACCAGGATGTAACTTTGAGAGCGCAGCTGAGGAGCACTAGAGCTGGCGGCAAAGTGAAGATTGCCTTGAGCAGCTCGCTCTGCAAGTTGTTGTCTGCTTGACGTGTCTACTTTGTCTTGCATCGCATGATCTTACTTAGCTTGCATGTTCTGATGTGTTCAAGTGGGGTGGCAGGTAAAGAGTACAGCAAGGATCCCAGTGGAGAGTCCAACGAGGCGACCTCAAAGGACAGTTTGCTCCACATGGCTCCACACGGCCATCGGTAGGGGCCTTTCTAAATCTGTGCAATGTCAGGACGACGACGAGCAGAGAAAGCGCGAAGCGAGCGAGAGTTTGCCGCTTTCATCAATTTCAGCGAGCCGGTCAGGGAACCGGGATGAATCGGGCTACCCAAAAAACCTGGCAAGGCGGGTGCTCGTCCTTGGAATTCCCAGCGCGAATGCCGAGCATTCCGACAAGGACTCCGTGCTGCAAGAGTTCGGTTGGCTAGCCCTGCAGGTACCAACTGTGTACAACAGCCTTCTACTGAAGACAGAACTGTATCGTGAGGGATGCAACCGCCAGGAATGGGCGGCTCAGCATCGACGTGGTACCAATGAAGAGGCCGTCATGCATCATCTGCACATGGCTGCATCGTTTCGCTGTCATGGCTGCACGTACCTGCACATGGCACGAGGTGGAGACCTTTTGCAGATGCTGGTGCCAGATGGATGCGGATAATGATGGGGACGTCGACCTCGAGGAGTTCGCCAACTTCTTCAGCAAGCGAAAAGTGGACAGGTGCTAGCCCGTATATGTGTGCCACAGTCCCACGGTTCACCTGAGGGTGCACCCCTCATATACCCGTTATATACCTTCTAAACTTACAGGAATATATACTTAACTTAAGAGGAAGAGAGAGCCAGTGTGAGCTGTTGCGAGGGTGTTGGGGATGCGATGCATCCGCTACCTCATGCCCCGGGCGGCCTCACAAGGTAAAACCCTGGCCTTCCGGTTGCATTCTAGTTGCTGGTGGTTGTTGTAGATCCTTGTTGCAGACTCAGGACCGACCCTAGCTGCCCTAGCTCCTAAGTTACTGTTGCGACGTTCAAACGCATGGTGTTTTCGGCTCTTTTCTCCGAGGTAAGTAAGGACGACATGATGCGTCTCTTGTGGCCTTATGCCGCGACTGAAGACATGGACCACATGTGCGTGGTCTTCGACCACTGCAGGCAGATCGGTTCAGGGTTCCACACTAGGTCATAGGAGCTAGCGACTCACTTAGCGACTCGCTCTCACTTGATCAGTCGGGCGCATGTCGGCGAAGCTGACTTCAGGCTGTGCACAATAGCAGCGCAGCCGCCAAAGCTTTTGCCGCGAAAGCGGCGCACCGAGCTTCTGAAGTGTTTTCAGGAAATGGACCGACGCCTGGCGCAAGATGTTGAATGTGGTTGAGGATGCTTAAACTCCTGCTGATCTGTTGTTCCATATCACCAATTGACGCTAGTCGCTTGACTTCGCGGCCGCGCAGGGATGTGGACTGCATGACTTGTGTTTCGTGGAGTTTCGGAGAAGAAGGGAGCGAGCCGAACCAACCCCCACCTGTTCGCATCACGTGCGGAAGATGTGCAGCGCAAAGCCAGAGCTTGCTTGTTTCCTCTCTGCTCTCTTCAGCTGCGAGCCTTGCCGTTCTGCCTGTGTCTCTAGCTCTTTGCCTGGACTTCCGCTCATTGGGGCATTTGCTGCATCTAGGCCGGGCTTCGGATCTCTTGGCATAGACATGCACGGCTTGTTGTGCCAAGGAAACCACACTGGTCTGGAGCCTTGCCCGCACCACGACGCGCCTGCTATTTCAGCTAAGCTCCTGGGCTGTTCTCCTTGTGCGTCGCGCATCCAGGTTTCCTACAACGACTTGATCCCTGCGGGAGTCGCTGACCAGAATATGGTCAAGATCCTGCGTGACAAGTATGATACCACAAGGAGCGCCATGCATACGCCATGGTTTGTGTTTGTGCTCCCATGGCAAGGGAGCAAGATGCAGACTTTGTAGACTGCGGTGCTGCTCTGCAGAAGTGGCTTCTTTGACAAGAACTGCTTCTTGGAGATGATGGCGCCGATGGGTTATCGGGCACATGAATCCATCGGCCATGTTGTGCCGAAGCGTTGAATTTGGCCAACTCCGCGCATGACCTGCCTTTTACTCTCGAGAATGCGCACCAGAGCTTCCCAGCTTGCCTAAGCTGAGGTGTTGAAGGATGGCAAGCGTGTGCGCTTCGTTGCGTGGAGTCGGGAGGGTTTGCGTTTTGAGGGATGGCTGAGTCTTTTCGGCATTGGGAAGTGCTGCCTGCATCTCCTGCTGGTGTTGCCGTGTTGCAAAGTGCGAAGACGCCATTCAAGGAATAAGCGTAAGCGTCGCTCGGGAACGGTGTTCCACGAAATCATAAGACGTTTTTTTCGCTGACTTGGCGCAACTGAGGAGTTGTTTGAGTACATACAGTACATGCCACTGATTACTCACTAGGGGCGAACAGCATGCATGATGTTGCTCCAATGCGATCCTTGCTGCGAGTGGCTGCAATCAACTGGTAAGCTCTTGTTGCTGCCAGTTTGTCGCATTTTTCGTCGTTCCAGTGCGAAAAGTCGACAGTTTGCAGAACAGCGTCGTGCATGAACGGGCAAAGTCTCACCACGACTTGGTTCACAGGATCGCATCGGATGGAACCAAGTGCAGCATGCAGGGAAAGTACAGAGATCAGCCCTCCCCTCCGAACAGATTGCATAGCTGCTGAGCTCTTGTTGATGCCTGTTATGCCGTGTGCTGCCCATCATATGGAAACCATCACGCCAGAAAGGCCTGAGTCAACTCGGAATCTTTCGAAGTTGTTGCAACCTCAAGTCTTACTGGCACGAGCTCAGGACAGACAAACACTATGAGAAGCTCAAGGATCACTATGGGTTTGAAGGTGATGCACCAGTTGAGGAGTGACCTCAGCTGTGGCTGTTACAAGTCTCACTAAATTGTTTGGTCACGTGCTCGTGCGGGCTCGTCCGCATGCTGATGCGGGTCGTAGTGTCCTCTCACGCTGCCTATGTACATGCACTGTCTAAGTGCCAGCGCGCAAATTGGGCCTGTGTGAACAACCGCACCTCCTGCAAGCACATAAAAGACTTTGCAGCTTGCACGACCTTGGTTCCACGCCCTGTGTGAGATGAAGACAGAAGGAAACTTAGGATGGACCCTAGACACCCAACATGTTGCATGCCCTGGCCTCGCGTCCAGCCTCCTCAAGACAGGGACACAGGATCTGCAAGGTGTCTTGTGTGGCTAAGAAGCGCATGAAGTCGGCAAACGCAGCTTAGCCAGCCCTTTACAGCTTTACAGTGCTTGCATCCTCGGTTTTGCATGTATCTACAGTCTGATGGGCGTTTGATTGGTCAGTGCTTGTAGGCGATTTAGTGTAGGACTTCGTGATGGAGGTTCTGGTGTCGACCCACCCTGGCATTTCAGATGACTGCATCGCGCTGGCCTCAGGCCATCTCAGGGCCCACGGTGACCGGAACAGAAGGGGGCGACCTGCAAATGCATCATGTGTCACTGTAGACTGAAGGTGCAGTTCTTGCTTTTGATATCCAGTCCGCGGGAGAACGAATGAAGGGCTGGAGATTCGGCGACCAAGGTGTCGGTGCGTTGCGGAAGCACTCGCAGACAGGCGCATGCTCCGTGGCACATTTCACATGGCAGCAGGTAGTCCGTCGAACATTATGGCATCACCGTTGTTTTGCAGAAGTCGAGCGGGCAAAGCTTTAAAGTGTCTTCTGGTGCAGGCACCGCTCGACATTGCGAGGTGTCAGGCTCTGAAGTTCCCAAGCCTGCACCCGAGCTCTGAGATGTCGCAGTCATGCTGCTCGAATTTTCGTGTGTGTGTGTGTTGACCGGCTTGCCAACCTCATTGGTTGTCACCCTCCCAAGTTCTTGCTTTTCCGACATGACCGCTTGTCGGCAGACACCCGGTGAGACATGAGGTGTTGAGCAAGGTTTCTGTCGGTCAAGCCTGTCAGTGCATGCGAAGTATCTGAAATCTCTACCTACCTGGTCAATGTCGATCATGTAGCACTAGTGTTTTCAAAAGGGGAACATGCGGCCTGGCTGGTGGCCCTGACACCCTGATATCGAAACTAAGGTTCTGCGGAAATTTGGGGAAAGCCATGAGTTTAGGTTTGCACATGTCGCACTTTAAGAGGACATCATTTGTACACGCAGGAATGCTGACAAGTACCATGGTTATTATCCAAATTGTGTTTTCCATTTCTTCAAACTTTAACATCACATAGCAGGGCGCGCTTTGCCTTGCACAGCCTGTTGCTGAGCACGTCCGCGCATGTTTCGTCGGTACCGAGCCCACAACTCACAACTCACAAGCAATATGCAATCATCTTGGTACCAAATCAGAAGCAACTTGCTCAAGGACGTTGTGGGCTCTGGTGATTGGGACACACGGAAATTGTAGTGGGGATGCTTGCAGAGCTTTTTGAACATAGCAGAACCGAAGCATAGCACGCGTGTCTCAAGAAACGAATGTTCCCGATGACTTCTGCTTTCCCCAGCTGTTTTACCTGCTGCCCGCTCTTATGCGTGGCGCCCTCCTAGTGCACAATGCATTCCGATGCACAGGCCACAGTATGTCGATCTGCACGTTGTGCGGGCACTCTCTGCCAAGCAACGGCAGCTGCGTTGTGCAAATAAGGCAGCCTGGAAAGTCTCAATGAGCCGCTGGTCGCTTAGGAGTGGTCTATGTGCCTTTGTAGACATTTCTTCGCAGTCGACCGGGGCATTTTGATGCATGCCGTTTTTGGAGTTTGAGGTTGAAGATCGATGTGCTCAAGCCGGTTGCCTCGGCGCGCCTCGTCTTGCACCCGCACCAGGCAGGGGCAGCAACTTTGACCAGCAAGGCGACAAGTGTGGTGCTTGAAGGGGCCTAAGCTAGGACGAGTACTTCATGAACTTCATGGACAAACCAGACATGGCCATTGGGCTCAACGTGCAGCACGGGGCTCATCCGCAGCTCTCTGCTCCAGCACATATATATATATATATACATATACATAAATTCATATATATATATAGATACACATATATACGTATATTTCAAAAATAGTCATAATACCAATGGTAATGATGATAATACGTGTTTTGTCCTGATGTTTCTGGTTTCCAGGTCTGCTTCGCAGATGCCCGAAACCGGTGCAGATGCAGGCGTGCGGAGAGTAGCGCTGGATACGTGTGCTGGTAGATAGGCTTGCGCAAGCTCATGACGAGGAACAGCTGGACCAAAGGTGGGCAGGACGGCCGCATGAACTTGTATACATTGCTGTTTCTTGGTCGGTTCACTTTGCAGTTTTCCGGGGGAGGGGCTTACACAGTTCATAAAGGATCAACGCAGATGTACACAGAGTCCAGAACAAATGTCAAAAAGATCCAAAGAATTAGTTTAGGGTTAAACAAATTAAGAAAGAAGGCGACGAAGGCAGGAAAGAAAGACGGAAATAAAGAAATGCATAGATCAAGGCAGAAATAGAGAAAGAAAGCAAGAAATACAAAGAAATACACAGAGAGACAGAAACGACGAAAGAGACACGGAAAGAACAAAAAGCAAACATAGAGAGACAATGGCAGAAAGACCAAACCCATCAGGCGCCATCGTGTTTGCAAATGGGGGGCTGCGCCACCCCCCCCCCCCCCGCCACAACGCCAGGCTCCACATGAAATCACACGAATCCTTTCCAAACCCATCATGTTTCCCCCCCCCCTCCCCCGCGAAAAAAGAGGCAAGATGATGCAAGCTTGCCAAAGCATGTCGCACCATCAGTAGACAATTCCCTCAGCACCATATCATGAACTGCGAGCTTTGCGTTTGCAAACGGAGGGGGGGGGGGGGGGGGCTGCACTCCAGTATCGATGAACGAGCAGGAATGCTGTCATTCGCAGCATTTGGAGCCTATGAGCTGGAGTTCAAGAAATGCTTTGTCTTTCCAGCATGTGGGGCCTATAGGGCCGATAAGACAGCAAAAATGCTGTTTAACACTTGTTGCTTCTCCCGTGTGGTCAACTCTGGGGAGCGGTCCGTTCGCAGATCCTGTGTCCAAGTATCCATTCGCTGAATTGTGTCGAACACCGCGGCTCCCGCGACACACCACGACAGTACCCAACACCCGATGTAAAGAGCCTGCTCAGTTCTGTCAGGAAGAAGGGACAATCGCAGGGCCCCGCATCTGCTAGGGACTACTTGGAGGTGCATGGCGTGCTGAAGTATGCCGGGAAGCTGAGAGGTGGCTTTGGGGCCTCCACTGGGTCGAGCCCTTCTTTGGATTCCCGGGGGCTCCGCTGCCAAGGTTCAAAGCATGCTCACAGCTTTGATCCAGGCCAAGCCACAGGACACGAGCTCCACACTTGTTGCTCCTCCTGCGCTGAGCTGATTTGCAAGTCTGCATGCAGGACCCCTACGGGTTTATGCTGCACCAGCTGTCATCCTCCACTGCTCATGCCAGGTGAGGCTGTGGATGCGTTTGTCCGGTGCATCCACCTTTGTTTCTTGGTGCAGGCAGCAGGAAGTCCAGGCAGATCCGCCAAAGCAGCGCCCTGAGAGCTTCAGAGCTTGAATGTTCGAAGTCCCGGCTTTTGGCTTCAGCCTGCCTTGGCCGCCATGGCCTTGCTTTCCTGTGCATCAAGTTCGCCAGAAACCTGCTTTCGGCTCAAGAGTTGCCAGGGCTTTCGTGCTCTTTCCGTGCAGCCTGATGCAGACAGGAACGGTGAAGTCTTTCAACCCCCACAAGGGTGACCTACTTGCAAGATCCAGTGTGCACACAGACTCCGGCTTCGGCTAAAATGCTCTCCACTGCCTTTGCCCCAGCGCTGAGGTTGGGGCTTCGTGGAGTGCAATGGCAAAGACAGTTTCCTCCACCAGAAGGATTTGAAGGGACAATGTCCATCAGCGACCCATCTGGCAAATATTCTGTACTCAGATCTAGACATGTACCAAGAGACTGCGACTAGCGCAGGTGGGCCAAGGATAACACCCATGTAACACGTGCCTGTGGGCTGTCTGGCACAAGGTTGGCGATTCAGTGACCTTCAAGGTGGAGAGCTCCGAAAAGGGCACCTACGCAACCGAGGTGACCGTCCAGGTGCCCACTGAGGAGGCAGCTTTCTTTGCGCACCTCACATGGGGGTTTCCGAAATTCGGGTAGCTTATGGGGGGGGCCATGATTATAAGGGAATCCTGTTGTCTAGATTAGGGATCCCTTGTTTTCGTAAACCCCCACATGCTGAAGTATGGTCTGTACCTGATTTCTGCTGTCGGCCCCCATGAGGCATTCTACTTTGGCGACATCAAACGCTTTAATCCCGTGTTGGCCTCGGTCGTCTCAAGGTCTGCTCTCACATACACCCTCAACATGCCGAACAAGATTCCGACGAAGCTGAGGTCAAGGGGTATGGATTCATCTCCTGCGAAGCCTTCCCCGAGCAAGATGTATTTCTTTTGAAGTCCGAGCTGCCGCAAGGCCGGGATGAGTGTGCCATCTTGAAGCGCCCCCTGTGTTCTGAGTGGAGGATGATGAACATACCTGTCCCCCAAAAGAACCCCACAGACCCGTAGAACCCAGGATAGGATTAAGCCTCCATAGTTTCCCAAAAGGACCCTCAGATCAACCCCATATATCTTTTGCTGCGGTTACTGCTTGAACGTCTGCCTCCAGGTTTTGGCCCCGAGGGCGGCCATTGCAAGTTCAAAGTCACCAAGGAAGAAAAGGGCCCAGCGGCGAAGCAGGTCCAGTTGCTGGGAGCAGCTGGGAATCAGGCGCAGCAGATGAGAAGTTGGATGGGCTGGGGCCCGGGCCCGGGCAAAGGATGGGGCAAAGGCTACGGCTACATGCCCTTCATGGACTGGGGGAAAGGCTGGGGCAAAGGTTGGAGCAAGTGATCTCTGAACCCCGGTGCGCGGGTTCACGTTCCAGGAAGTGAGTGGGTCCTGTAGGTAGCGAACACTGCAGCAGCCTAAGCGCGCGCCTCTCGAAAATTGACCCGTGTTGCACTCCATGTCGTTGTCCAATTGTCCCTTCAAGCTTGCTGGTCTTGCACTCTGTGCCATGTTGCTGGGCTTGTGAAGCTTCAGTCCCTGCGTCAGCACTGCTCCACGGCATGTTGCCTAGTGAGTCGTTCTCAGGCCACAGGAGGAATTGCCCGTTTCCCCACACCCACCACCGGCGGGCAGCTCAGAAGCAGCACGTGGTATTCGAGTAATTCTAGAAGTGTTGTGCTGGGCTGAGGGAAATCCGTCCGCCCTTCCCAGCAGCAGAGCTGGCAGCGACCACCAAACCCCCGATCCAGCCGTGCCCGCTGAGCCCACGGAACCTCCACTGGCGGAAGCCGCAACACAGACACAGGCAGCTGAAGTCCAGCCAGAGGCGGCAGCGCCAGCACAGGCTTCCACAAATGCAGCTGTGCAGTCGCGAGAAGCACGCACCTTAGATAAATCGCCTTCTTGGAAGTCTCGGCCTCTGAGCTCCAGCAGTGTGACATAGTGTGACCACGTGTGGATGCAAGGATGAATCTCGGATTCGTTTACAGACGGCGCGGCTGCCCTGCAAGTGCGTCATGTGGCGCCGAAGTTGGAGTGTCTTGCGTGTGCAGGTCCTATTCAAGGCCAGCAGGAACGGAGTCTTGGAGGAGATTCTGCAGGACTGAAGCCGCATCTTGTTGACACCAGCTTCAGAATCCAAGTACAACATGTCGGAGAAGCTGTCTTGGGATGTGTTTGTGCCATGTAGCCTGTCAGAACCTGTTCTGTTCTCCTGCTTGCACTTGTGAGCTGGACCCGCACTGCTTTGGCTCGGGCCCTTAGTCGTAACACTGTAACATGTCGCGACAAAAAGGATGCACGGTGGTCCCTTGGCACCGGCGAGCACGTTAGCAAAGCACAGTGGTGAAAGTGCTGAGGTCGACCTTGCGGGGATGGGCACAAAACCAGCCCAGCCCTGCATGCAGATGTGCGGGCGGCCGCCGAGAAACTCGGTGGGTGCCACAGTCACTCCAACAGGGACGATGCTCATCCATGCCCCCCACCAGCTCCAATGTCACTTCAAGCGCCGAGGCTGTGAGCTTGACGTGGGTCGACTGAGCATGAGTCAGCTGCGCGCCCTTGTACGCGAACGACTGACAAATGCATGGGCAAGTGGCGACTTGCAGAAGGCCGTACAGGAGGCATCCGTGAGTGGCCTCTTGACCGGCCAGTATGAGCAAGCCGAATTTCCCGATATTTGCTAGTATTCTGTTTCGCAGGCTTTGGAGCAGAGTGAGCCCAAGTTTTCAGAGGCACTTTCTCTTGAAAAAAGTTGGTATGATTTGGTACACGTTGGTACGCTGGCACGTACATCAGCACACTATTGGAGATCACGCCAGCGTGTCAGGCTACAGCAGAGCAAAGTATTCAACTGCTGCAGGACGTTTTTTTGTTGCGAGAGTGTGGTATGAACGACTGCATGAACGGGTGCGTGTGAGCAATGTGGTGGAACACAGTGGGAGGATGAAATTAAATTCATGGCCGAAGAGAGCAAGCTCCTGCACGAGCAGGCAAGGGTCCAAGTACCACGCTTTGCTGGTGTGCTGCGCTTCGTGTGCATGGAGTGTCGAGTAGGAGAATGTGATTTCGGAGTGCAGGGCGGAGTGGTTGTTGAGTTTGTGTGCCTTGCTCATAGTTGCGGATCAAGTTGACATGCTGTGAACTGCCACAGGTTGATCGACTTAGTTCGGAGATGCAGCAATTGCTGCTGACGAATCAACAGCCGCTTGGCTGCACCCACCATGCCGATCCATGCCTGTTCATGGTCGGCACGACGCGTTTGCTCGGCCTTGTTGCTTTCAAGTGCAGTGACGACTACTGCAGCCGGCTGAAGTTGATGGAATCTTCCTTGACAGCTGACACCCTGTTGAAGCATCCGTGCCGTGAGCAAAATTGCAAGGCTCCTCGTTCAGATCCAGAACGGGGAATCTGTGGGCAAGCTAAGCTGAGCGCCGCAGAGTGGTGTCCTTATCACCACACTTGCTCTTGTTGGCACGCCCAGCAAGGTGTGCTTGTAGAATAGTCTCACCAGGGGCCAAGGCCTGAGCTACGTTTTGCTCATTCCTCTTTTGAGAAGGGATCGCCAAACTTTGTGGTAAATTCTACGGAGGAGGCTCGCTGTGACCAGACGGCTCGAATCACAAAAATTGTCCAACACATGTCGCTGGGCCTCCGAGCGCTGCACCTGCCTCGATTTCTGGTGACAAGACATCCAAGTGAGCGCGCGTTCATCTCCGAAAGGACTGACTGATTGCAGCAGCTACTCAGCTCATTAACAAAGAGCAAACATGGCATGTTGGGACATGAACCTCAGTTCGAGGATGGCGACTAACAGGAAAGATCCCCCGTACTGCCGGGACGACTATGACAAGCACCCCAGCCCAACTGCAAGCTCGAGTTTCAAGACGGTTTCGGCATCTCCATGTATCTCCGCCCCTGATCGTTAGCATCCAGGCCCGGGTCGAACTTGTACTGCTACGGAAGCCGCGCTGTTGTGTGGCTGGTGCTGTTGCTGAAAAATTTAGCGCCCAATGGAGCGCACGGCCAGCTCCCCAAAGCACGGGCCGACCATCTGATCATTGCAACATTGGGACCCATTGGGTCGTTTGGCGAAAGTCGGCGATTAATTACAGGTAAAGAGCCGTGTAGTATGCCCTTTGCTTCGAATCATCCGAACAGCACAAGCAAGCACGCGCCCTTCAACGCTTAAATCTTTAGGGTTCAGCATCTCCTTCACGTCCGCTTGTGATCGTTAGCCGCTCTCGCATCGACCGTCTGATGGAACATTGAGAGGCAGAGCAACTCGCTACTGAAGCCACAGTGTGTGCTGCCGCTGCTGGCAGTGCTGTGGTTGGGGCGGTTGCTGGTCTTGCTCTATGTTGTTGCTCATCATCATCATCATCGTCATCATCAGCATCAGCATCAGCATCATCAGCATCATCATCAGCATCATCATCATCAGCATCACCATCAGCATCATCATCATCATCATCATCATCATCATCATCATCTCGTTGTTTCATCTATGAGGATTTCTTTTCGTTGTTTCTCTTGTTGCCGTTACTGTTGGGTTGAGAATGGTTGAGACAAAGTGTGGAAACAGCTGAGAAGGCAGTGAAATCTGACTGATGGCTGAATTTCATGTTTGGGGTTTGAAAGATTCATGTCGCTGTGCCTATCGTCAGAATGCTTCCTGCGCGCGCCCGCGCAGGCTCATGCGAATGCGCAGCGCGCATCATTAAGTGGCCGCCACAGGTACCCGGTGGGAGCCTTCTAGCGCCTTTGCCGAGACAGACCTGCGACAGCAACCTTTGTAACGGGTAGCCAGTGAAGGGGCCAACAAACCGCACCCACGACCCAGTAGGTGCAGATCAGTATCTCACAGGCAGGTCATGGCAGTATCGCTGGCTGGGTTTGCGAGGGGGGGTTCCGATAGCAGGAGGTCACGCAGACGTTGAAGTTGACATGGTTTCGTGGAAGGCTGTCCAAAAGTCAATGCATCGGGTATGGTCGGCATTCAGGACACCGTATGCTTGGCAACGTATGGTACCCTAGGCTTCTCAGGGCACCGCCATTCTGCAAGTGTCACTTGTGCCGAAGTGCTGCTGCTGCAGGCAATGCCGTGGAGGTCCAGATTCGCCACAGCATTGGCCCGAGAGCTGACTTGTTGGGGTCAGATAATTACCATGTGGGCCTTTGGGGAGTTGCCTTGCCGGCCTTTCGCTGGTGTGAGCGTCCGTACCCTTGACAGAACTCGTTCGTGGCATGTCGTTTGGGCTCGAGTATCGCTGGGGCCCCACTGCTCTTCCGGCGCAGCCCTTTTCTGGCGCGGCCTGATGCAGACAGGAACGGTGAAGTCCTACAACCCCCACAAGGGTGACCTGCTTGCAAGATCCAACGATCACACATGCTGAAATGCTTTCCCTTAGTTGTGTCCAGTTCTTTGAGGTTGGGGCTTCGTGGAGTGCAACGGTCAAGACAGTTTCCTTCACAAGAAGGAACTGAAGGGGCAATGTCCATCAGCACCCTGTCAGATATTCCGCTCTTCAGACCTTGCGTTTGTATTTTGTCTTTCCTCCTCTTCCGTAGCTGCCAGGCCCTCGTCATTTGCAGGATTCTACAGCTGTTCTGTCGCAGGCTGGCGATCCGGTAACCTTCAAAGTGGAGAACTCCGACAAGGGCACCGTGGCCACAGAGGTCACAGTGCAGGTGTCCACCGATGAGGCACCAGTTGCGAAGGAGTATGGAGGGGGAGTTGTTCATCTTCAGTCGGTGTCATTTCAGTTCGTTGAATTGACCCGTTCTTCTCAGCTCGGCCATCGCATCAGGCGTCCTACTTTGGCGAAATCAAACGCTTTAATGCCGTGCATGTCTCAGAAAAGCGTCAGTTTGACTGCAAGCTGGATTGCCTGTCGTATTGATGGTTGCGCTGAGGTCAAGGGGTATGGTTTCATTGCCTGCGAAGCTTTCCCTGAACAAGATGTATTTCTTTTAAAGTCGGAGCTCCCGCAAGGCAGGTATGAGCGCAGCGACGCAAAGCGCAGCGTTCTTTTCATAACCTTTTGCTGCCGTTAGTGCTTGAACACCTGCCTCCAGGTTTTGGCCCCGAGGGCGGCCATTGCAAGTTCAAGGTCGCCAAGGAAGAAAAGGGCCCTGCGGCGAAGCAGGTCCAGCTGCTGGGAGCTGCTGGGAGTTATGCCTACGCCATGCCCTTCATGGACTGGGGTAAAGGCTGGGGCAAGGGTTGGGGCAAGTGACCGCACTGCGAGTATTCCAGGAAGTGCAAAATGTAGTAGTATGTAGTATAGTCGTTGGCGAACACCGGTACAGCCTAAGCGCACGTGCGGTCGAAAAGCAGCCAATGGTGATTGCATCCGCCCTCAGCGATAAATCAGGCACACTCCTCAACGCTGCCAGTTGCAGTCTGCTGGAGTCTGCACCCTTTTCGATGCCTCCTTGCCGTTGGGCTCCAGATGTTTCAAGCGCTGTTTAGGCCGCTGCAACGCCACCCAGACGCTGTGTGTAGATCTGGGTAGGCTAAGCCTTCTTTTCAAGCCATGCTGACTGGCACCATCAAGTCTTACAACCCTCACAAGGGCACCCTGGCGGCAAGGTGATTTATGCTGAAGTATTGTTACCCTGCAGTGCGAGACTGTGCACACTAAGCTGCCAAGCCTTGCGAGACGCTGACAGTAAGGTTGGGGTTTCATCGAGTGTAATGGACAAGATACCTTCGTGAACAAGAAGGATCTGAAAGGCTGCTGTCCTTCGAAGGGGCACCAGGTTCAGTTCGAGGTGACGCAGTCTGAGAAGGGCTCCCAGGCCATGGGAAAGGGTCGTTGCTCAGTGTGAGGTAGCCTTGGGACAAAAAGTATCCCTGAGAACAGGCCACCAATGTGAGCATCCTGGCACCTCCAGAAGAGCTCAGTTACTTCGGGCAAATCAAGAGCTTCAACCCTCACAAAGGCACCGGCCTGAGAGGCTTCCGTCAGGCGCGCGTGGATTGCAGACTCGGCTGTCGCTTCTGAGGCTATGGCTTCATCACTTGCGAGGCCTTCCTTGGCAAGGACATCTTCTACTACTACTACTACTACTACTACTGCTGTACTGTTATATATTTCTTTTGGTATTTTGTCTGTTCTGCCGTAAGCCAGTTTCTCCGCTTGAGACACGTCAAGGCCCAAACCTCCAAGGGCTTAGGCTTACAGGACTAGACAGGCCTCGGTGAGGGCCATGGCCGCCCCGCCAGAGGAAGAGAAGGAAACCCATGAAGAGAGAGTGGCGTCGTGGCAGCGGAGTCCCGGGACACAGACGCAAAAGGACCTTGAAGCAGCGGCGGAGCTGTTGGAGAGGTGGAGGGCGGCGGAGCCGAGCCCCTCGGCGCCACCAACGCCCTTGAAGCCACTAACCACACAGGACATCGACCAGCATGAAGACTCTTTTGATTGCCCGGGACAACGTGCCCCTGTCCAGGACAAGAAGGCTCAGCTAGGCTCCGCCGCCCTCCACCTGTTGGAGCCCCTCAGCTCACAGGATGGGTGTTTGCAGGAGCCTCACACCCCTCCACGGAAGAAGCAGCGAGCTCTACGACCAGAACTACATGTAAGCACCCCACCGCAGCTGAAGCAATTGACAGTATCAGCGCAGAAACGCTGGCACAGAGATCGACTGCAGAGGCTAGAAGACCCGATCGTCTCCGCCTCCTCATCGATATCACCCTCGAAAGCTCCGTCAGAAGACCCGACCGTCCCCGCCTCCTCGTCGTTGTCTTGGAGTTTGCCCGCGAGAAGCATGCATACATGGGCAGACAGGAAGCCCACGGGCCAGGTCTGCACCTTACAGACCTTTCCGCCAGAGATCCGTGAGTACTATGAATGGATCTTCACTACGCCCAGGTCTACGCGAGCCTGGAAAGAGCAGGTGACAAAGCTCCGTCAGATGGACCCCGCCAAAGAGACCGCGCTCCAGCAGTTCCTTGCCACAGGCCCAACGGACGAGCAGCTGCTACAGAAGTTCAACGACCTTCTTTCCAGGCTCCAAAACACCCTAAAACACCCTAAAACACCCTAAGACACCCTAAGACACCCTAAGACACCCTAAAACACCGCGGCGGAGCCTGGGTTTCGGTGTTTTAGGGTGTTTTAGGGTGTCTTAGGGTGTTTTAGGGTGTTTTAGGGTGTTTTGGAGCCTGGAAAGAAGGTCGTTGAACTTCTGTAGCAGCTGCTCGTCCGTTGGGCCTGTGGCAAGGAACTGCTGGAGCGCGGTCTCTTTGGCGGGGTCCATCTGACGGAGCTTTGTCACCTGCTCTTTCCAGGCTCGCGTAGACCTGGGCGTAGTGAAGATCCATTCATAGTACTCACGGATCTCTGGCGGAAAGGTCTGTAAGGTGCAGACCTGGCCCGTGGGCTTCCTGTCTGCCCATGTATGCATGCTTCTCGCGGGCAAACTCCAAGACAACGACGAGGAGGCGGGGACGGTCGGGTCTTCTGACGGAGCTTTCGAGGGTGATATCGATGAGGAGGATTTGTCACCCGCAGAGACCGTGGAGATGGACATGCGCCTAGCCGTCGAGGCGCAGAATCCGAAGCACTTCCAGCTTGACAAGAAGAGGCTGGCCCGATTCAGGACGGAATGGGGTCAAACAGGGTGCACAGATGAGTTGACGATGCGACTGAGGCATCTGCACAGCCTCGTATATGGGTTCCTGGACGACGCTGATGTCTTGGTCTACAGAGTCAAGCTGATCCTAGCATGGGCAAAGGAGCAGAATGCTGAGAACGGTACCGGGGTGTTCCACGCCTGGCGGCTGGTCAGCGATACTGGCAGCACCGTCTTGAAGATCGGCCGCACTAGTCTCCGTACGGACTGGGTGCACAACGTGCTCGATGCAGCTAGCCGTTACCAGAAACTGCACCATGAAACTGGAGCGAAGCTCACCGTTCGAGAACTAGTGGAGGCAAGATGGGTGGCGGACATGAGCGTCGTGAAGATGTGCGAAGAAACCTTCCACAGCATGGGTGAGTTGAAGCCATGGAAACTCACTGGCTATATCACAGCTGCTGGAGAATCGTCACAAGAGGTCTACGATGACAAGTCGCAGGTCCTGTCCCAGTTCTTTGCGCATGTGCAGCGAGAGTGGCGGCCATATAAGCAACAAGACAGCTATGTCACCAAGTCGTTTTTCGAGTCAGGGCCACTCTCTCTGAGGCAACTACGAGAGAACTTGTGCCGGTACCGGCCAGGCGCGGTTGTGGCAGAAAAGACGACCGCTGATATGAACTCCAGTTGGGAAAGGGACACGTGGCGCCTTATCGCCCAGATGAGCGATAAGGACGACGTGTGGTTGATTTGGTCCGACTCCTTCGGGGCCACGTGCTACGTCCGACCGGCATCCGTGTTGCCCGCAAAAGGACAGACGCCAACTTGGGTCTTCGGCAAAGGATGGCATCTAGCCAAGAACTTCCCGGTCATCTTCTTCAAGTTTTCGCAGCTCCCAGAGGCGACTCGGCAGGTGCTGCTCGACAAAAGTAAGCGGTGGACGCATGAGACTGCAGGGGCTAAGGGCAAGGCCGCACCGAAGGCGGCCGGCAAGGCTACAAGCAAGGCCGCGCCGAAGGCCGGCAAGGCTATAAGCAAGGCCACGGCGGTGCGCTGATACTTTGGGGCTATGTGGATAAAAAAAAAAAGAATCAGAGCGTCCCACATGCTCTTCAAGGGGTAAGAAGCTACTATTCTTAAGGGTTGGGACAGGAAGAGTTCACGGCAAAACGGGGGACCGTGGGAGTGCGCTTTTTGGCCATTTTTCCTTACACGATACATGCTTTTCATACGAAAAAACGCAGAAAACTAGAAAAAAACTTTACAAAAACTCGGAAAACTAGAAAAGAATGCAAAAACTCGAAAAAACCAAAAAAAAACGAAAAAACCAAAAAAACCAAAAAAAACCAATTTCCAGGGACTCTTCCATCCAGGGCCCAATTTGCAGGAGTCCTGGAAAATTGGTTTTTTTTGGTTTTTTCGAGGAAAACTAGAAAAAATGCACACACTCGGAAAAACTCGAAAACACCAAAAAAATCAATTTCCAGGGACTCTTCCATCCAGGGCCCAATCTGCAAGAGTCCTTGAAAATTGTTGTTTTATTTTTGGTTTTTTTTCGTGTTTTTTGCCTTTTTCCTAGTTTTCTGAGTTTTTTACAAGTTTTCTGGACTCTTCCATCCAGGGCCCAATCTACAGGAGTCCTGGATTTTTGATTGTTTTTTGTTGTTTTGTTTTTTTGGTTTTTCGATTCTCCAGCGCGGGGCTTCCGGAAGTCTCCAGTAGAATACCTCGCGCGTGCCGCTTCCGGAAAAATGAAGGACAGCTACTGGGACAACCTTCCGATGATGGATTTCCCCCCCCCCCCACAAGCAAGACCACACGGTGCTCATATTTTGCGAAAGCTTTTGCTGACTAGTGTGTTTCAGTGAGACAGGTGTGATAAAAATCTGCGCTATGAAAAATCCACAATCACTATGTATAAAAATCAAAGCGACTTTATTGAAAAGTCTTTGTATCATAGGGTGCCTACCGTTATGGCTTGATATTTGCTTTCCTTCATGCAGGGTTGGTTTAATAATATGACTTCTAAGCTAGCTATTGTTCTAGCTGTTTCTTCTAATATAGATCTTCTATACTTGCCCATTTTTTGAGGTAATTTGCATTGTATGTCAAATCTAGCAGAGTTTGCCCATACGTAAATATCTTGTAATTTATCTTGTTCCCTTTACTAAGAGGAGCTTCCGTAAGAGTTCCAAGCGTGTTATTTGTTGGAACTTCTAGTATTTTGCTTTAAGCATTTTTAAACTCATCATTCAAGATATCTAAATTTGTATGATAAGATGGGATAATAAATTCCCATCGACAAAAATGATGATTATGATTACTATATATACATATATATATATATAATATCTGAGTTTAAGGCTCTTTGTCCTATGAATTGATTTATAAGTTATTAGGAAATTGTTAATAGTGCAGTAGAGGGCTCTCTAGACTATTTGCCGCATCTAAAGTGCTGTGCAAAAGTCTACTATAGGAATAGTCTTTCAAAATGATTCTTCAGTATCACTTCAAAATTTAAGCACAATTTGTACTTGCTTTGCTAAATGTATATGTTATAAAAAAAGTCCAGTCCATTCTAGCCTAGCTTCTATAGCTTCATTTTTTGGCTAGAGGTTTTGTGAGAAATCTATGCAGTAAAATTGCTGCCAGAATGATGTTTCGTGTTGTTAGAGGCGTTAAATAATATCGTTGACTCTTTATTATAGGCATGGTGTTTGTGAGATTTATTTCCATTTCATCTATAGACATAGATTCACCTACATGTATTTTTGCCGACCTTCGCAAGTTTACATGCTTTTTGAGTCACAGGAATCATTCATTGGTCATTCCCATAGCTTGTATATGCATCTCAGATAAACCGTTGTTTTATAGAGTTGCAGGTGTGAACTCTGTTTTAAAAGTCTGTTTTTTTGTGAACAAAACACGGTGTTCCGATGCAACGTGTTTCTTTGTGAAGTCTTTGAATCACAAAAGCCATATTGATGCAACCCAGGTATTCGTCCACCAGTCACGTATTCAACCCCCCTCGAAAAAGCAATACTGAAGAGCTGCATTCACCCCATACCAATCAGCAAGACTAATAAAAAGTAACTATTCCCCTAATAACTCATTCACTTCCTGATAAACAAGACTTGGAACTTACACTCATCCCTCAATAAGCAAGACTTGATATCTATATTCACCATCCCGATATACAAGACTTGAAATCATAATAGCCACCCTCATAACGCATTCACCCCCAATAAGCAAGACTTGGAATCTATATTCACCAACTAATAGCAACATTTGTAATCATGGTAATCTCAGTCTATTAGGTTCTATACATTCACTACTTGATAAGTAGACTTACAGAATTTATTAGGGTTGGGCGTTTTTATTTATATTAGTGAGTTGTGTAACATGGCAAACCTCATGAAGCAAAAAAAACACAAAAAAGTGCACTCCCACAGTCCCCCGGACTCAAAAAAAAAAGAATCAGAGCGTCCCACATGCTCTTCAAGGGGTAAGAAGCTACTATTCTTAAGGGTTGGGACAGGAAGAGTTCACGGGTTGAAGGGTTTCAGGGTTGAGCAGGACATCTTCGTGCTGAAGTCGGAGCTTCCGGGTGGTTACGGCCCCATAGGGGGCCAGTGCAAATTCAAGGTGGCCGAGGAAGGAAAGGGGCCTTCAGCAAAGGATGTGATGCTCCTGGGCGCTGCCGGCCAGCAAGCGCAGCAGATGAAATCCATGACCTACGTCGGGTCCTATGGTGGCAAAGGGTGGGACAAAGGCTCCTGGGGGAAGGGGAGTGGTTGGGACTTTTGGGAAATGGATGGAAAAGGCAGTTTCGGGGGCTATGACCCATGGATGGGCATGGGGATGGTCGCCCCGCCTTGGAAAGGATATGGCAAAGGCTATGGCTGGTGAGCGGCTGCAGCAGGACTCCAGAACTGACCACAATAGCTGGCCACAAATCTGGAAGAAAAAGTGGCGAGCTTCAAGTGCTGAGCGTCTCACAGCTCGCCATAGACCTTGTGGAGTGCTGCATCTGTCGTCTAAGGCCCTTGGAAGAGTTTCTGCTGCCCCTTGCCATGCTTCGCCATGCTTTGCCACTGCCGGCAGCTCAAAAAAAGACACAGCACGTGACAGTGACGCTGGTGATGGGTCGAGGAAGTCTATGCAGCAACGCACTCTCAGGCAGCTCAAGTTACCCCGCCGGGTGCCGAGCAAGAGGCGGCGCACTTGCAAAGGTGCTTGTAGAGTACTTTCGCCAGCCAAGGCCTGAGCTATTTCTCGCTTCTCTTTTGAGAAGGGATCGCCCATGGGACGGATGCCCGGCTCTGTCCACAAAAAATGTCCAACAAACTTCGCTGGGCCTTGCATGAGCTTGAGATGTTCCGATTGCTGGTGCTGTGTTGCAGTTCTTGACGCAATCCAAGTGAGCGCGGCCATCTCCGAAATGACAGACTGATGACAGAAGCCAATCAGCTAATTCATCAGGGCAGATCTGGCAGTTAGGGACATGAAGCTTAATTCGAATAATGGCTTTTTAATATTCGTTACAGGTACAGGAAGATGCCCCACCCCCCCTGGCACGGTTCTCCGGGACAACTGAGACAAGCACCCCATCCCAACAGCAAAATCAAGTTTCAAGACGGCTTCGGCATCTCCGTTTACCTGCGCTCCTGATCGCAAGCATCCAGGCTCGGGTCAAGCATATCTACCACTGCTGTGTCTACGACAATGAACACTACTACCACTATTACTTTGTACCACTACCACTACTGCTGCTGCTGCTCCTACTGCTCCTACTGCTACTACTGCTACTACTGCTACTACTGCTACTACTGCTACTACTACTACTACTGCTGCTGCTACTACTACTACTACTACTACTACTACTACTGCTGCTACTACTACTACTACTACTACTACTACTACTACTACTACTCGTACTCGTACTCGTACTAGTACTAGTACTAGTACTAGTACTAGTACTAGTGTAGTAGTAGTAGTAGTAGTAGTAGTAGTAGTAGTAGTAGTAGTAGTAGTAGTAGTAGTAGTAGTAGTAGTAGTAGTAGTAGTAGTAGTAGTAGTAGTAGTAGTAGTAGTAGTAGTAGTAGTAGTAGTAGTAGTAGTAGTAGTAGTAGTAGTAGTAGTAGTAGTAGTAGTAGTAGTAGTAGTAGTAGTAGTAGTAGTAGTAGTAGTAGTAGTAGTAGTAGTAGTAGTAGTAGAGTAGTAGTAGTAGTAGTAGTAGTAGTAGTAGTAGTAGTAGTAGTAGTAGTAGTAGTAGTAGTAGTAGTAGTAGTAGTAGTAGTAGTAATAATAATCGTAGTAGTCGTTGCCGTTGTGATTTTGCTCGGTGTCGTTGTCGTGATAAGCATTGATCTGGTTTGCAGTTGTGAAGGCAGCATTGGGCCAAGACGCCGCCCGCACACCATCATCCAAAGAAGGTGAGTCATCGCAGGCTGCACCCTTTCTCAGTGCTGAACAGTACAAGCTTGAGCTCCCTGTGCGCACCGTGGCATTGCCCACCAGACTGGATCAGGTTGGGCTTGCAGCCCCTGCACATGCCAGGTCCTGTGAGTACATACCGAGCATTCTGCCATGCATCGGAGTTTCGTGACCCGGTAGCATGCTGCTTAAAGAAACACGAGGCTGATTGGACGCCATGGCGTCGCAGATGCAGGCATGTACGCGCGGCATTGCAGGGTCACTGGTGGACAACCCTTGAGGCGTGATTCTTGGCTAACGATCCCACGACGCCCCATGAGGCTCAGAAGGAGTTGCGACGCTCAAGCTCGAAGCTTGAGTCGCTGCTTAGCCTGCACTTCTGGTTGCGACAGTTGCCAGTTGAGTCACAGTCTTCATTCCTCCAGACCCTCGATTCAGGAGACAGGGCTACCACCTTGTGTCAACCTGCCCTTTTGAGTGTGACAAACGAAATGGTTCGCGCCTCGCAGTCAGACAAGCAGCGCAGTGCAAGAACAATGGCAATTTTCGATTCTCGCATCAAGCGAAGTCTGGGGATAAATAAGGAACAGACGATGAGAAGAAGAAAGAGAAGAACGATCTTCAGGCAAGGCTTTTGCTCATGGTTTTGGAGCAGGTCTCCAACCCAGCTTGCGCGAAGGGCTTCGCCACAATTTTTGGCGACAACAAGATCCTCACAAGCTTGCGTGCACCCCATGGGATACAGGACGTGCAGATCCGGTAGATAGCAAGATTGCAAGACAAGCTGTGCCATAGTCCGAGTCATAGTGCCCGTCCCCCCCCCCCCCCCTGTGCTCTCACAGAATCTCAGGGCTACATGCTACTTACAGCCGATGCTGAGGCTAGTTTTTGTTCCACTGGGGCTGGCTGCACACCAGCTGCACATGTCCGACAAATATGCCCGGGGCCTGAAGCAAGAGCCAGCGTGCTGTCGATTGGTTCGTCGTTCTTGTGGGTTGTGAGGTTTTCTCCTTCAACTTCCTGGCGATCATCCCGCTGGCATGGCTCATAGGAAAAGCCACGGAGGCAGGTTTCGCTCTTGATCTTCGCTCTGGCTGCATACCAGCTACCCAACAGTCTAAAAAAGATTATGTTAGCAGTTAGACGACGCCTTGAAAGTCTGCTTGCATGTCTGGCGTACAGCGGCAGCACCATATGCAGGGAAGCTACAGGGCTCGCACCGGGGCTTTCCGCACCGTGGTGTCTGGATTTTGTCGGAATGCGCTTCGAATCGCTGCAAAAGCGCCTGTGACAATGAATGTCAAGAGTCTTACACATTCTTGTGCTGGGGGTTGGTTGTGTGAGAGACATGTTGCCCCGCCCAATGTTCCGTTCTGAAATGTCGCAAAATCATGCGGAGGTAAAGGCATGGAACACTTAGCAGGTAAGTATGCTGGAATGACTATGCAATTTCTGCCATAGTTTAACGCTGCTTCAAGAGGGGTGCTACCTGGGTTGGGCCATGGTGCCAGCCTTAATCGAAGGCTTCAACCAACATGCTTGCAACGAGCCAGACTTCGAGGGTACTGGTCATGCAGAAGGTGTCGGTCGGTTCACTGCCTTAACCATCCAAGTCGTTGGTACGGCCGCTACAAAGTTGCACTCCGATGGCTAAGAGAAGTCTTTTCACAAGCTGATTGTAAGCTTTGTGGAAGGTGATCACGCTAGTTGCATATGTTTCTGGAAGAGACTCATATGGGTTGCAGGAGTTTGTCTCCCTGCTCCCAAGAGGCCCAACCATGACGCTTTTGACCCCCAAGACCAAAAGTGGTTTTGTTGGGTTTCGGGTTCGATTTGCATTGGTTATGTTCCTCCTTTGTCTCCAGTCTCTTGGAAATAGTATGGGGTCTCGTACGGAACACGGTCGGGGGCACCCTGCCAGGTACACTTCTGTTTTACCTGACAATCCTGAGTTGAAACCGCAGAAAAAAACAGTTTGATGTTGTCTGACATGCAGCTGGGACATGCTTGGGGACCCTGAACCCAAAAACGCAAGAAAAACCCTTTGGGTGTATCCTTCAAGGATCGACTGAACAAGTCCTCCCTCCAGGGACAACAAACTTAAACCCTGCCTGCGGTTTTGCCAGCTATGCGGGTAAACCCTATAAACCCTATAAACCCTATGAACCCTATGAACCCTATAAACCCTATAAACCCTATAAACCCTATAAACCCTAAACCCGAACAAATGCCTTGCCGGCCTTGTGCGAGTGTGAGAGTCGAAACCCGAAGCCTGGTCTCAGGATGTCGCAGCCAGAATAGGGGAGACGGCTGGCGGCCTCTTGAACGCAACCTTCGGAAATGTGGCCTGAGGCTCATATGCAAAGTCACAGCAGGGAACCGGTATTTGGGGGGGTTTTTGGGGTTCAGGGTTGGGTTTAGGGTGGGAAATATTAGAAACAGTCCTCATTCTGAGTTAAAGCGCTTGTCCTTCGTTAAGGGAGCATTGGGCGCATGCAAATTCCCCATGGCTGTCGTTGAGTTGAATGCACAGCGTCGTGTAAGGTCGAGATGTTGCTTTGCATTGTGCTTTCCTCAGATGAGAAGTGTCCGCAGCTGTCGTGGTTTGGGGCGTTTGCTTGCGAAAGGCTGGAATTCGCAACAATGAGATCAGCGTGCCTCAGCGGCAGTGGGGGAGCAGACGCACTGGACAGGGTATTGGTCCATGACCCAGACGCTGTGTTTTCACATGCCGACCAATACATGCCGCAGGTTGTCCAGTGCACTTTGCTTGGGCCGAGAGCTGAATGTTTCAACCTTTTGTATGCATTCAGTTAGGCTTTATGAGGTCTATTTCCTTGAGTGCGCTGGATGCCGACATATGCCGACTTAGTCGCCCACATCGCAAGAAGCATGCTGGCATAGTGGTCAGGTCCATCCTCAGCAACCTTCTTCTGGTCATGGGCTGGCTGCCAAAATCACTGCGTTGCAAGAATGCACAGAGTGCTCTAGAACCTCTCCAGTGGCCTTACTCTGGTTGAGGTTGTGCCTTCCTCTTTGGTGGACTCTACTACCCGATTCAGCGGTACAACCAGGATCGCGATCTCATATCAACAGCTGTCGGAAAGTGTTCTGCGCCCCCTGGCACGGGTGTGCAAGCATCAAGTTGCGCTACAACGAACCCCTATACAATACCATACTAGGACGGTAGCCTGCTGCATAAGACTTACCTAGTATCCATATCATACGTGTAAAAAGAATCGTGTGACCAGGCCGGAGCAGCGACTCAGTGTTCCTTGATGGCCGTTGCCTTGTTTTACAGGGTGATTCGAGCTTTGCGCTGTGAGCGACGAGCGAGGGCCCGCAGACATTCGTAAGTGCCAACCAACTTGAGGCTTTGAGTGTGTTTGCCATCGGCCTGCCGACTATATATGTCAACGTTCTCAAGCAGGCGGGCCACATGCGAACTTGTGTGCGCGCGTGTGTGTGTGTGTGTGTGTGTGTGTGTGTGTGTGTGTGTGTGTGTGTGTGTGTGTGTGTGTGTCTACGCATGACCTGGCAGCCACAGGAGTCTGAATGGGAGCACATGGTGGAAGTGTCCCGATGGGTCATTGCCTCAAGATGTCGGTAAAGCATGGACAAGTGCATCGAGACCACGATCTCAGCTGCAAGGCTTCCGTTTGCCTGCTTGGCGTGTACTTTGCGCGGGGATCTTAGCTTCTCGCCTGTCGACGCAAGTTTACATTCTCGGGGAATGCTGTGCGCCAGGTATCTAGTGTTTCAACTCAAGACGCACGCCAGCCTGTTCCAGGACCAATGCCGAAGGTTTGTGCCGTTAATTAGGTTCCAGCTACCAGTCGGTTCGTGGCAGGATGAAGGCGGAGAGGACGAAGAGGACGTTGCAGAGCGGTCGATTCATCCCCTCAGAGTCCATTTTGGATTGAACCAGGAAGAGGAGCCGGACCTCAGCCCGGTTACGGCAGCAATTCTGCTGCTGGCTTTTCTCTCGGCTGCAGCTTTCGCTTTAAGCTAGGGGCATGTGCCTGTTGGGAACGGAAATGGGCAAAAAGGTATGCACTGTCGTCACATCCTACGCGACCGATGCGCTCATCGAAGCCATTAAGGCTGGAATTAGCAGTCTGGAGTCAAAGAGAGTCGACTTGCGGCGAGTACATGCACTTCACTCTCACAGGGGACGATTGACGAGTGGAAAGTCTCTAAAGAGTGCCGAGCCTGGTTTTGCCAGAGACGTCTCACGTACTGCGCTCATCCAGATTCGACAATAAAAAAGGCTTGCTGTCTTGACGGAGGTTCATTGGCATTATCTTGCTGCCAATCATTGGCAATGCTGCCGAGCACTACACAGCCATCAAAGTCGAGCCGTCGACTTTCTTGCAGTCCTACAGCAAAATGGTACATACTATCTACCTTGACGTGTATCTGCATGGTTCTGCATGAACAGGTAGCCATGCAGAACAAAATGGACTTGTCTCTTGGAGCGGCTGCCTCGCTGATGACTGGGGCGACCGTCGCAAGACGATTTTCTGCAGCTTGGTACCCGGACTAAGGTAGCTGCGGGGTCATCGTGTCAAATGGCCTTGCTCGTGCTCACCTCAGCCATAAAACCTGTGCATGAATATGTATATATATATATAGATGTTTTGTTTGCATGCATATATACATATGTACACATACACGTTTTCTCACCTATATCTGTATATATATATATATGTATGTCTTTTTCACACACACACACACACACACATATATATATATATATACATATGTGTAATATTATATATCTATCTATATGTATATATATATATATGTATATATATATGTATATATATATATATATATATATATATACCACTATGGCCTGGGAAGGGCGGCTAGGGATTGTGGACTCGTGCAGTGATGTCTTAAGCAGTGAGCCATATGTAGATGAACCCTATGAGGTGACCCCTTTCACTGTATTGGTGGGATGGTGCTATGGCTGGGTGCTTACCTTCACCAGACATGCTGCACCTTTCACGTGTTTGTTGATGGGTCTCAGCGGTTCTCCAGGCACAGAGATGACCTTGAACTTTCATGCTTTCCAACTCGCTGCCGGGCTCTCACCGTGGACGCGTGCTTTCGCAAGATCTTGTAAGAGCTGATTGGATGACGGAGACATACTGAGACCCGCATTCCGAGGTACTTCTGTTCTCGGTGTTCCTGGTGAACTCCATCCTAAATAATGGTCAGTCCAACTGGCTCGAGGCAGACAAATCCACGTTGTTCATCCTGGCGGCCAGCGTTTGTGGCTATTGTGGGACCAAGCACCCAAGCACCGCCCATGTGGCATCGTGCTGTCAGGGCTACATACTGCTCGTGACCTATTTCGTAGTCTCCTTGATCTACTTCTTTGAAGGCCATGTCCTTAGCCAGAACTCTTGGCAAATAAGAAGTTCCCTGCCCTTCGAGTCTTCGAGAAGCCCTGCCCTAGCACTTCTACTCAGGTGCCGGAACAGAGGACTCCCTGGCCGGGTCACTCAGGTTTCATGTTCTTGGTAGGCCAGTGATACCCTTTACCCTTTTTTGGGTTCTGGGTTCCCTTATAAATTATAAAGAAACCAACTTTAAAGAAGGATGCCCTTTTGTGAGATGGTTACTGGGCTACCAAGTGTTTAGGGGCACGGCGCATTCGCGGGTGCAAACGGGCGATTCTCAGCGCGCAAAGCTGTCAAGACTAGTCTTCCCGAATGGTCCTTGCTTCCAATGGTTGGTGCGTGGGGGTAGACCCTAGACCCTAATGGCCCCCAAAAGCCCGTATATTAAGGACCCCAACAAGGCCCCCGAATTTCGCAAACCCCCATATTGGATTTCTTCGGCAGATCAGTCGCGCCAGCGCTCTTACGAATCGCGCGTGTCGTGGCACCCGAAACAGGAGCGCAAGGGTTTGTCTCCGCATTTCTTTGCACCGTTTGCGCCTTCATATTGTGTCTGTGTCTGTGTCTGTGTCTGTGTGTGTGTGTGTGTGTGTGTGTGTGTGTGTGCGTGGGCGCGTGGGCGTGTGGGTGTGTGGGTGTGTGTGTGTGTGTGTGTGTGTGTGTGTGTGAGTGTGTGTGTGTGTGTGTGTGTTTGTTTGGGAGTGCCCAACCCCGGACTCTCCCTGGAGTGCCCAATTTCAGAGTCCGGGTCTCTGCATTGCCCAACCCACAGTGTCCCTGGAGTGCCCAACCCCAGAGATTCCCTGAGTGTCGAAGTAAAATAATTTGTTTGTTTGTGTCTGCGCGTGCTTGTGCTTGCGCTCGTGCTTGTGTTCGTGTTAGCATTTGCGTTTGTCTGTGTTGGTTTCATCTGTTCCATCTGAGGCCACAGTGGCCTGAGGCCGTCGCCCTGGAGATGCCATGGCCAGATCCGTCAGCTTTTTTGCGACTGCTAACAGTAACGTCTGCAACGACTCCAGCCACCAAATGTGGGTTTCTAGAGTGGGTTCAGCTGTTGCGCTCTCTTCGTTGCAATGCTGACCCACTGCGCAGTTCTGATTGCAACTCTGCCATTGTCCTTGCAGCTGCTAAAGTTGAGAGAGCTGACTTCCGCGCCATCTTGGCTTGCATGAGTCTGCCAGCGTGCAGCAGTCGGCAGCACAGTCAGTGAGGTTCAGCTAGGCACCTAGCACGGTCTTTCATGGCACACACAGACGCGATAAAACTCCTCAAAGGCTCAACATGTCTCAACATGTCTCAACAAAGTTCTTTGGGCAGAAAGCTTGCTGGTTGGCCATGGCCGAGAAGCCATGAGCCATCCTCAGAGGGCGCCTTCTGGGCCTTCTGGTCGTGCATGGCATTGCACGCCGATTTCAAGAACCGGGGAGGCTTACAGGGCTTGCAGGGCCTCTTCAACCCGAAAGCTGGCAAGAAGGTCTTCGCAGCATCCCTGGACTCCGTGCTACCCGATGCTCGCTCGCAGAAGTTGGCGAGCACTGGTGGCAAGTTGCCGGTTCTGCAGGCGGCCAGAGCACAAGACCCTTTGAAGTCCGAATCGCCTGGACCACCTGTTGCGCCTGGACCGACCCCGGAGCCTGAGCCTGTAGAGCCCCGCAAATGGTCCCGGGTCTTCCAGAATGCGGTGCAGAGTCTGGTTAAGCAAGTGCATCAAGTCAGTGATGACTCGAAGCCGCAGGAGAAGACACTGGAACCCGAGATTGAAGACAAGCATGAGGCGCCGGCCATGACGTCGACGTTATCAGAGCCGAAGCCGCCAGAGCAGCAGAAAAGCCCGGATGCAAGGATGAGACGTGTGCTTGCCAGGGCACGGCTACCGGCAAAGCAGCCTGAGAGGATCGAAGAGATCAAGAATATCGAGGTCTTCGCGGAGCGGCTCGTGGATGCCTATGGATCCTTGACCCTGGCCTTTCAAGCCTTTGACAGCCACGGCCGAAGTGAGGTCACGCGCTCTCAGTTCGACGCGGCGCTTGATGCCCTGGGCCTGGATATCCCCGAGCTCTGTGACATCCCTGCGTCGAAGCTCTTCAGCCTGGTGAGCCGAGCCTCCAAGAAGCCCATCGGAGCCTTGACGGAGCAAGCGTGGACGGCTTTCTTCAAGAAGTACCTCGAGAAGACGGCCTCGGCGCATCTGCTGGATGCCGACGTCAACATCCAGGCTGCCTTGAGCCAGCTTGCAGAGCTGCACCGCTTGCAGCCACGTCGGGACTATGGGCGCCAGGACAATCAGGCCGCGGCCATCAGAGGGCTTTCGCCTTTCAAGTTGTCTGTATCGTCAGTCATGCGTAATAAAGAGATAAATTATACACCATACGCAGACCCACCGCCCGGCCAGGGTTACCGGCACGGGGCTCCGGAATTAGAAGCTGGTGGACTTATGTGTGCTCAGGGTATGAGCTGGTTTGATCTCCATGGCTGCGTTTCCGGACATGAAATTAGGCTAATAGGGACTGTAATGACAATGTCTATTTGGCAGGGCTCCGAAGCGCCGCCCCGTCGCTGGGGAGTTGTGGCTGCCGCGGCTCCCTGGAGTGATTGGTTCCGGCAACTTCCAACTTACTTCCAGGGTGTGCATCAGCGTCCTACGCCGAAAGTTGCTCAAGTTTCGGAATTTCGGAATACTGTATCCGATCTTCGCACTGCTTGCAAGGTGCTCGACGACGAGGCCATGGCCAAGTTAGCCATCTTCGAAGATGTCGGCGAACCTCAGCTGCCATGGGAGCAGGGTGGGGGTATGCACCTGTGCTTCCAAGTTCCCTTGCTGCATTCTCTCCTTAGGAGAGCAAGAAGAGCTCCGAGACAACCGTGGCTTGGCAGAGTCAGCATCGCGGCTCGAGCTAAGAAGCGCTTTGTCTCATGCCAAGGCCGGCAGCAGCCGGCGGCGGGCTGCGCGCACCGAGGCCCGGCCTTGCTCCGCCTTGGACCCATCTGATACTCTTTTTGCATGCCGCATGTCATGGCGTTTCGTTCAGTGTCATTGCAAGAGAGAACGAGGCGTTGGAGACGGAAAGAATCGAGGAAGAAGATGCAGATGCTTCCGGCTCAGCCGAGTCGGACATCGGCGATGACTCCGACGTCGATATAGATGCGACGAAGACGGAAAGGACACCGCACCCGCATGGTGACCAGGTGCATCCTTTGCCAGCCATGCCAGCCACATCGAGGGCTTAACAAACAATGAACTAGCCCAGCAAGGCGTCGCTTTGGGTCTAGCGTTTTCTTGAAAAACGACATGATCATGACTACCTTCTTGTGGTTTTTCCTTTCTTTCTCAGTCTTCCCTGATTTGTGACTGCGTAGTTGCAGAGGTCTTAACACACTAGTGTGCAGTATACATCGACTCTTAGCGTCGAAGAGCGCAGCGCAGGCGGACAGTGCTGCGCCGCGTCATGGCCTGCATGGCCACGCATCCTCTGGCGCCGGAACAGATGCCGCCGGCGATGGTGCGGATGGCATTTCGCCGGGGAGTGGATCCGGTGTCGGCCACGGTACTTCGGATCCCACGAACGACAGTGACGATCAGAACCCGCAACATCCACAGCATCCTCATGCCCGTAGGCTGGCGCAAGTCGAAGAGGAGACCGACTCGGTCTCTGGCGCCGGTGTGAAGGTAGCGGGCATGGATGGATCTTCCGATGGCCGGGACATGTCCAGATCAACAGCTGCAAGGCACAGGGTGGCATGCGTGGTGTTTTTCTTCCATGGCTTCGACTGGCTTCGCGTGTTAAAAAATGATATTTCGTTAAATAAAGGCCCGCCACGAGCAATTCTTTTCGAATCCCTCCGAGGGATCCAGGGAAGATGCCCTCGACGTCCGGCTCTGGTCACTTTGGTCTCGGCGGTTCTGGATCTTCTGGATCTGGTGCCAATGGCAATGGCTCATTTGGTCCAGGCTCTTCCCCTGCTGCTGGTGGAATGAACGCTTCAGAAGCCGATAGGAAAGTGACGGTCGCTTGACTCTAGCTCAAGGCGTTGTTTGGTTGTACTGCAGTGCTAGCCTGGCGGTATGTTGTCCCGGGAGCTAACACGAGCCCTAGACCTTGAAGAGGGATCACATACCCCCCCGCCCCCCCCGCTACTATACTCGCTTCGACGGTATATGGAGTAAGAGTGCCTTCGGGGCGCATTGGGACGGGTTAACCCGGAGCCATGATCTAAGGGAGGGCGAGTGCAAGATGACAGTCGCAGGCCAATGACAAAGTGTGGTCAAATGCGGTTGTTTAGCTCCGTGTGCAGATGCATGTGTTTCGCATGCGCTTGGCTTGAGGCACAAGGAGCCAAGCACGCATCATGTGCCTTTGCGGCACTGTGCAGGTTATGGAGAGCTGCAGCATGTTTTGCTTGAAGCTTTTTCCAGGGCTTCTTGTAGAGCAGCAGATTCATGTCGGCGTCATTTCGAAAACTTTATACAAGTATTATACAGCACATGTTGAGCAAAGTGTGCCGGCTGTTGGAGCAAAAAACGGTTGCAATTGTTGGAAGCAGTGGCAAGCAGCGCAGTGACTTTGTAACAAAGTCGGATGACGACCATGCTCAACACAACCTGAACACACTGCCTAGTCTGGATCCAGTTCCGAATTACTTAGACGCCAGACCAAGGGCCAGGCGTCCTCGCATTCGGGCCGGAACGGGGACAGCCTGTCTGGAGACACATTCGGCTCAGGCCCTTCTGAACTGCCAGCGCCTGAGCACATGCCTTGTATGTTTGGGACATTTTGGGACCCAGGGGGCTCTCCTTGTAAGGCTCTCTGCCGGCACCGGAAATGCCGGTACTGGAGATCAAGCGACTTGAAATGCAGAAGCGCTTGTGTGGAACGAGGGATGGTGAAGACGGCATACCATTACATATCCATGCAAAGTCCCGGACAATCAGGCTGCAGGAGAAAACGTATTTCGACGCGGCGGCCATGGGGACCAGACTGGTGTCAAAGCAAAGGCCTTGAATGCAGTTGCCTCCTTGTGTCGCGTCGTGTCCAGCGGTGGTTGTCGCATTGCAGGAAACCCTAAACCCCAAACCATCCTCTAAACCTTAGACCCCTAAACCGTACACCCCTAAACCCTAAACCCCAGAGCGACGAAACCCTAAGCCCTAAGCCCTAAACCCTAAACCCTAAACCCTGCAGGATCGCCGCGCTGGGCGAACAGGTCTTTCAGGTTCCGTCTCCGCGGCCGAGCTGGATGGAGGGCCCATGGGATCCGAGTCGTTTTCAGGACCAGAGCAGAAATGTGGGTTTAGGGTTTAGGGTTTAGAGTTTAGAGTGGTTTAGGGTTTATAGGGTTTAGGGAATTTCGGAAGCCCCTTAATGATGCCGATAGCTTTTCCTTTTTCTGCTTGTTACGGCCGTAGGCCTCAATCTCGAAGGAGTTGCGGACGAAAGCCGGAAAGCCTACCATACCGATCCGCATGATCTTCTAGCAGGAGGATCTCAAGAAGAAGTAGCTCAAGAAGATTTGCCGGCAAAACCTTCTTGGGCTGAGGGCGGAGAAGCAGATGTTGCTTGCAAGCATTGAGATGCCGACCTGCAATGTCAACGCCCCCGAATGTGGGTACGTCATGTTAACTCCCAGGTAACTTCTGGCCTGAAGGTGTTCCACGCAAATGGCAAGGCATGCTTTGCTGACCGAAGAGCTCTGCGGTTTAGTGAACCCTAAACCCTAAACCCAAGACCCTAAACCCCATCTCTGTCCAGATGATGTCAGGCGGAAGAAACCTCCGACTCCGAGGTGGATGATGAGATCAGCAGTATTGAGGACTCAGCTATGGCTGCCCTTGCCCTATCAAGCCCCCCAGTTCTCAGGTGGATTAGGGGAACCCTCTTCTGGCTCTCTTAAACAGGGACCTGATTGAGAGGGTCTATATCCGCAACGGTCCCCTTCAACTTATCCCCAGCCAGTCTGCCCCACATTTTGCTTCTCTTGCTCGCCATGCTTGGGCTTGTCACCTGAATGCTAGACAGGAGGAGAAACCTGCCAGTGACCTTCAATCACTAGTGAAGCAGGTGGGCGGGCCAAGGAAACGGCGCTAGGACTTGTTTCCAGGACAAGGCTTAGCGCACAGGGTTCGAGACCCGAGGTTTTCAGGCTCTACGCCACTGGCTATTCGAAGGGCCAGTATGACACCTGCCTGCAGATATGAGAGGGCTCGCCACAGCCCTGCCCAAACAGCCTAAACCTTAAACCCTAAACCCTAAACCCTAAACCCTAAACCCTAAACCCTAAACCCTAAACCACATTGCCGTGGCTAGTCGGGTGGCAAAAAAACCCTAAACCCTAAACCCTAAACAGTCACCTGAGCACCCTGAAGGTGTTCATCCGGAATCCCGACTTGGCCCGCTTCATGGAGGATGCAAAGGAAGCGCTGCCTGGCCACCGGAAGAAGTTTCGACGCTTTAGCATCAAGGCTGCAGAACGAGGCAATTAAGCACCAGGCAGCCGACTTGTCACTACTTCATGATTCTGCAAGTTGGGGCGGGGGCTTGATACTCCACTGCGCAGAGTAGTCTCCGCAAGTATCTCCAGCAGTGATGCGAAGACTGTCATCCAAGAGCGAATATTCGAGTCGATCTTCGATGACACGATACAGCTTCAGTGTGACTTGGCAAGGGGAGTTGGACAAAGATCTGCAAAGGCACCGTTCTGATCAGCAGCTTGAAGGCTTGTTATCCGTTCGCACCAGCTCTGCGCAGGTGACATGCCGGGTCAGGGCATGCGAATCACAGCGGGCTTGACATTGGCAAAAGCCCTACAGCGAGTCTGTTCTCTGTGTTTCGCCATGTGCTTCTTCCGAAGTAGCCGCGCAAACGATAGAAGACACGCTCTTGAGCTCTTGTGAGAGACTTGAGGACTGGTTCCAGGTGTTCGTGCAAAAGGCCGTCCGTCGCGTGGGCACGGAAGTGATGGGCTTCTTTATGGCCCTGCTAGAAGCGCAGGGCTGCTAGAAGCCCGGGGCTTCCATGGGCTTCCAGCCGAAGGGGAAAATATGCGGGGTCTCGGAAAATAGGGGTACCCTTCTGGGGGGTCCCTTTAAGGGGGTTCTATTCCATTTGGGGTATAAACGGGGTACCCCAATTTTTTGAAATACCCCCTCTAGCAAAAGGTCGCGGTGCCTTTGGGAAGGCTCCTTTTTGGTGTTCAGGATCTTTGTGCTCAGAGGTTTTGACCAGTTTGGCACCCTGGCACCGCAACTCGAAGGAAGCAGCAAGACGCTGCGCGTCGAATGCTTTTAAATTTATCTGGTTGGAGATGCAAACCGCTCAAGGCGTTCAGGCATTGCAATGGAGTGTGAGCTGAATTTCAGCTGAATCTGCCAGCCGCTCCCTTTGGGAGACTTCGTCGCTGCCAGCCTCCAAGAGGCCAGCAGAATGCGCCCCACAGAGTCCCTCAGACATGAGCCTGGCAGATGGTGCAAAGGCTGCCAAGGATGCATTCGCTGGGCTGTTCTGTGGAAAGGCTACCTTTAGTAGCGAAGTTAACCTCGCAGTTACGGAAGTCTTGCTATACCTCCTCTCAGCTACTGGGCTCAAGATCGGCAGGCCGGCCAGTGAAGCCCAGCGCATGTAGGTTCGTCGACAGCATATTCCATCTTGCGCTGGTGCCCTTCCCTTCCAACTGTGCCCATGACCGTGACCTGCTGCTGCCCAGACAAGGTCTTTCAACTCTTGCGGAGCCCTCGCGGTGGTAGCCGCCGCCCTTCCCAATTCTTGTCGCAGGCGATTCGACGGCGAATCCTGAAGCAGCATGGGGACACGCAGGACATTCACACCCTGCTCCTGTGCCCAGATCCCTCTCGACGCCTCAGCAAGTCTTACCACTCTGCTGTCCCACTTGGGGCAGGGGGATTCGGGCAAGTCTTCCGAATGGAACACAACTTGACCGGAGAGACGCGAGCCATTAAGGTCATCCTCAAACCTCCAGAGGTTGAAGAGCTGCAGAGGATCTTGAACGAAGTGTGTGCGCTCCTGCAACTGGACCACCCGAACATTGCTAAGCTCTATGAGTATTTTGAGGACCGCAAGGCCATCTACATGGTCACCGAGCTGTGTACAGTTGGCAACTTAGGGGAGCTGGACCCGCTTGAGGATGACATGGATGAGATCCGGCTTCTGTTCCGAGATGTCATGCGTGCAGTGGCGTACTGTCACTCAGAAGGCATTGCGCACAGAGACCTGAAGTTCGAGAACTGCTTGCTGACCGATTGCCCAGGCAGAAGATCTGGGCGCATCGCAAAGGTTATAGATTTTGGCCTTGCTCGAATGAAGCGGGCAGGAAGCACAGGAAGCAACTGGATGAATGAAGTAGTAGGAACCCTGTACTTTCTGGCCCCCGAGGTCTTGAAGAGTCAAGATCCCTTGTACAGCTATGGCTTCGAGTGTGACTTGTGGTCCCTTGGGGTCATGATTTTCTTTGTCTTGACTAACGAGCATCCCTTTTGCAGTTCTGCCTCTGGGCCGGAGGATGCGTACAGGCGCATCACTCGCGGCTCCCTCCGAGCGTCGTACTTGAAGGCCCCCGGGGTCCCCGAGGACGCCGAGCGTCTTGTGAAGCTGCTCCTGGTGAAGGAGCCGCGGAATCGGATAAGTGCGGCCAATGCACTCCTGCAGCCCTGGCTGAGTCCCGAAGGCCTCAGCGATAACGAGAGCGAGGGTTCCGGATCGCCGTTCCAGGCCGCACACTTGGCGGGCAGAGCGGGCCAGCTCAAGTGCCTGGTGGAGCGTATCCTGTCCTTTGCGAAGTTCTCTCGCTTCGAGCAGGCGATCCTGACAGTGGCTGCCCATGCAGCGAAAGGCAAAGACATCGAGAACCTCACTGCTGTGTTCGCGTGCCTGGACTCTTCAAACCATGGCTGGATCACGTGCGATGACTTGCGTCGTGCCCTGACAGCGGCAGAAATCAGCTTAAACGGCCTAGAGGAGGAGGCGGTGCTCGGTGCTCTAGACCCAGACTCGGACGAGAAGATCCAGTATACGGATTGGGTGGCAGCAACCTTGAAGCCAGCACATGTCACGTCTGACAAGAGCGTCGAGGAGCTGTTCAACTTCTTTGACCTACGCGGAAGGGACCAGATTACACTTGACGACTTGGTCCAAGTTCTTGGACAAGAGATGGGGTGCCATGCGGCCATGCAGGCACATGCCAACGAAGAAGGCGTTATCTCAAAGAGCAGCTTTCGAAGCTTTATCTTGAATGCCATGGCTAAGCTTGAACTTCAGTTCCAACAAGACAAAGAGACACGGGCTTGTCTTGACACATGTTCGGCTGTACAAAAAGAAGTTCCTTCCCCATCAGGCGCTCCCATGTGCATGCCGTCTTGATGTGGCGCTTGTTCTGGACGCCTAACTGCCGGGGCCGGTAGCGTTAAACGCCTTTTGTGAATGGATTCCCTGCCAGACCCGTGCCGATCAGTCAAAATGCGCACGCACCGCGTAATCACATGTCTTCCCCTCGTCCTCAGCATAGCCTTAACAGGTCTGCCTTCCACTCTTCGACGAGCCCCAAAACCCGGAACCCACCTAAAACCAATCAAAAGCCATCGAAGCCATCCCGGTTCTGTCATTGTTTCCTTGCGCCTTGCCTGACGCTGCATTGCGCTTTGCCTTCTGCATTGAGGTCAGTGTTCTGAGAAGGATTGCAAGAAATTCAAGGGAAGGAACATCTGGTGCGAACCTGTCAGCGTTCTTTCCGATGTGTGTTGTTCTTCCTGCTTCCTTTTGGGTTTCATAGTTCATGGATGTTCGTAGTCCTTGTGGCGAGCAGCTGGTGTACAAATCAGCAACCACTGTGTGATGCCCAAACATGGGGCAATTCCACAGTTGCGCTTCCCCCGTTCCTAGTTAGCTGGTGAAGGAGTCGTTCAGAAGGGGGTTGAGGGTTGAGGGTTACGGTATCCACCCCCAAGGCATCCGGTGTCTTCTAGCACGCGCACGTGTTTCACCGATCTCGAAGAGAACGGCACATTGAGGCGGCAGTGAGATACAGTTGCGGACGATGGCAGGAGTCGTTGACAGTTACGAACTGTATCATGCTAAATCGTGTCGTGTCGTTATTTGGCTTGCTTCACTGTACCTCACATCCATTCGCAAATGATCCAACATGACATGGATGGACTCATGTGTTATGCACAAGTAAGCTTTACTGACAAAATCTGCTCTTGAAGATACACTTGACTGGCAATGTGTCGACTTCCAACATTGGGACCAAAGAATCAATTTTCACGGAATGTCGAGACAAGCCGGTGAATATGAGTTATGAAATTACGCAGCAACAACAAGTAACGTCATTCATGGCTGCAGTCAATTGATTGCGGTGGGTAGTGTGGGAGACCCCAGCGACAGCGCTCGACTTGCCGCGGAGCAGAGCCAGTTTGAAGAAATCAGGAATGCCTTTTGTGCTTTGATGTTCTTATTCTCAACTTGACTGGGCACTTGGGGAATGTACCGGTGGCGTGCAGGATGCAGAACACGGATGTTGTGGCTCACAGCAGTCGGTCTCATGTTTCGCATAGCTCGCCGAACAACCTATCTCGTATACTGCATATTCTGCGTAGATTCCGGGCAGATGTGCTGTCATTTGTGCAGTTGAGCCCTCGCCCCCGCAGATGTGCATCTTGAGAAGCACGCGCGTAGTTTTCAAGAAGCAAACATGTGGTTTAGGACCTTTAATTTTAGCATGCATGATCCGTGCTAGTAGCGAGACATGCGTGCGAAGCGCAAGCACTCATCAAGCAGGACACGCTGTTGCAGGGCTTCTTTTCCAGAAGAGTTTGCAAAGTAGATGACGAGCAGGAACCGGTGGCCATGATGCAGAATGTAGATCAGGGAGGTCGTATTATTAAGTTACTTACACACATTTTTTTAATAACAAATGAATAAATATATAGATATATACATATATCTGGCATTTGTTTTACATCACTTTCTGCAGCAGCAAGACTGGCTGGTTCTTCATTATTTTCCATAGCATTGCTGTCAAGACACATTGGTGAACTTGCAACCTGTTGTGGACAACACGCGAAAATCAAACTCATCTCTCTTATTTATATACATATATGATAAACACATGTATATATGTATATATATATATATATGCTATATATGTGTGTATATAAATATATATATATATATATATATATATATATGGCCACACCCGCCCTGCGTGATCCACCTCTCTCTTTCTGTGTGCCCACGCCTTTAGCCTAAATGTTGGAAACACCAGTATTTACGGTTCTTTCTCATCTTTGTATCTACAAAGTCACAACTTCCTACTTGATGCAGGTGGTATGAAGCAACAGAAATCGACAAACAGAACGCGGTGTGTTGTAGATGCATGTGTGGTTCTGCATGTCATGATGAGTCTTCCGCGATTCCCAGTCCATGCTGCAATCTCGCATGGTAGAATTATACGGCTGAAAATGTTTGCTTAGTGAAAATGAGCACACTTCGACGGTTCAAACTGTTACTGACAGAGAATAGAAATATGTGTATATATACATATATGTTTATGTCGTCAAGTCAAATGAACCAAGTCGACTGGATAATCAGACCGACTAAAGGATCAATTCGCAAGGGCGCTCGAAAAGAAGCACGCCATTAGAATCAAGGCTAACTGTCTTGAATAACTTTACCAGGCTATCAGTTCACAAGGAGACCTTATCTTTCCATTCGCTGAATTGGTGCCTGGGCTCCCTTATTCACTGTACAAGAAGATTAATGTGGGGGCTCTACTAGCATTGTATCTAATTCTGTCAATAGAATGTTCAATAGAAGTGAGGCTAGTTTTAGTGATTCAAGCAAGTACGGCAGGAACTCAAAAGGGAGCCCGAAAACAGCTTGGTTTTTGAGCTTTCCGATGCACACCCTCCAAAAACGAGCTTCACTGCTATTCGGCTGAATATCTAGCATTTCTCAACCCAGAAGTGGTGCCAATTGAAGTTCATCTTGGCAATCAGTTTGTAAACCTGACTTGACATAGAGTAACTGTTCTGAGTTCAATCAGGCCGTGGTACCACATAAATGACTAGAGTGCGTTCGTTCATACCTGTATACGTAAAGCCATCTCGAAGGATGTGTTTGCCCAAAGCAGCCAGGCGAGGGGCATAGATCCCAAATTTGAGGTCTTTGTTGGAACGTTTGGACCGGCTCGGTTCTTTGTAACAAATCTTGAAGCACGGCGTCACGAAAACTTCAGAATTTCTGAAACAAACTTAACGTCTGGCATGTATGCGGTCTGGCGGGGGAATTCGAGCCTGTTAGAGTCTTCATGACCTCGTGCTTGCAGATTGTTTGGATGTTTCGAGCCTGGCGTTGATCGGCAAAACAACGCAAGAAAACGACGCCTTTTGCCGCCACCTGATGCTTGGAGAACATGTGGTTTTTTGTTGGTTCGATCGGTGTTTCAACCCACTCACAGCCCCCTCCACGTCTCGGATCCGCCTCTTTTTCGAAGCAGGGAGTAAGTTCATGGGGTGGGGGCTCATGAGCACATATGTATATGTATATATGTGTACATGTATATATATATATATATATATTTTTTTTGCTCATGTTAAATTTATTGTCCGTGTGTTGTTTTTTTCGCACAGGTACTCATACTTATTTTCCTAGAGCCCCATGGATGCCTTCTGCAGGAGTCAAGATCTCCAGCTTGTTCCTCAGGCCCAACCGGCGGCTGGCTGAGCTGGATAATTTCACACGATAGGTTCGGAATATGTCCGGTGAAACCAGTGATCAGGCCTCCGTGGCCAAGAAGGCTCGATATCAGGCGGAGGCCGCAACCGACCGACCATTGCTTGGCGTTTAGGTGCATGACCGCCGTGACCCAGGAAAACGAAACTTTGGCGGAAGCGGACACGGAGCCTCCTACGGCAGCTCAGTGCGTCCCTCAGCCCCTATACACATCCATGATAAATTTTGCCAGCCCTTCGTGTCTGCCTCGCCCAGTGCAGGCTTCATCCTCAATCCAGCCGTAAATCCTAAAACCTACTGGTACCAGGGTGCCAATTGCAAGCCTGCTAGCAAAGCAGGACAACCACTACTCCAAGCCTGAATCCCGGAAGCTGAGGCCCCCAACCCTCCCCGAAACCAACATGCACTGCTTCAACTGCAAAGACGAAAACCATCCGAAAACCTAAAAGGAAGGCTTTCAGCTCTCTCATCCCAAAGAAGTCGACCATTTTCCCTTCAAGAGGCTTAGAGAGGCTTTCAGCTCTGTCAGCCCCTCATAATGCAAGTCGAACACGAAAGGCTCCCAGCCCTCTCGGGGGTGAGGGCCTTTGGGCACCTGTGGGGGGTACTTCAGGATTCGGGGCAAAGTGCGGCCTTGCCCCTGAATGACTTGCTTTTGCTGAGCTATCGTATGGCCGTTGTTATTGTTGCTGTTGTCTGATGACGTTCAATGAACTGACTGGTGCCTAGAAGTGAAGTGAATGCAATCGCAGATGCCCAGTGTGGCGTCCAGTCAGGACAGTATGACTTGAAACTTTGCCTGCCGTGTGCGAGAGTGACCGACGAGAGTCGAGACTCCTGATCCTGATGTCTTGACCCCGTGCTGCAGACCCCACCCTTGCTTGAAAACCCTGCTCAAAAGCAAAAGACTGGAAATGTTAAACCTTGGAGACTGCAGCTGGTGCTTTGTTGGAATGAAGGGGCTGCCGGGTTGCCAGGTGGGCTGCGGGAATTTTGCGCCAAACGAAGCATGCCTAGCAAACGGTTTTTGGCGTAGAGGAAGGCCGGTTCTATGAAACCTAGGCGACTTCGTAGTCCGGGTGGGTGTGAGGCATGAGTGCGGAGTCGCTCAAGCTGCAGATGGTCGGTGGGAGGCAGGGCGCATGAACAGACAGACATGTTGCCTGCTTGGAGCATCGTGTTGCTGTGCTCTTTACCCAAAGAGCGTACGTAGTTTGTGGTACATGGCATGTGTTGCAGCGCTTTGAATCTGCATGTCCACATGGACTTCGGCAGGATTAAGCCCATGAAGTAATTGGTCACAACATGTCAGTTTTGACACGGCAGGTTCGACTGACTGACCTGCCGAATGGTACAAGCTGGGGGCCATGGCTTGCCTCTAGGACTCTAAAAACCACAATCAGGGACCAGAAAGAGATCATTTCTGAATTTTATTGCTTGAGAGTCTGCCCTGTACCGCTGAGGTGCGAAAAGCCTCCGTGCTTTCCTTGGTGATGAGGTGGTGTGGTTCCAAGTTCCAAGTTGTTCCGACTCCAGTGTGCATCACGAGACCTGAAGCGTTGATAAGGAGCTGTCGTCAGTACGGCTTGATGCGCAAGCAGGTGCTGACTCTAACATGGTCCTCAAGACTGCTGTGTCGCAGCATAATTGCGAGGCCAAGCGGTCATAACGATGACGACGCGGCCAGGCCAATGCCTGGAACATGCTGCACACAATGCAGGTATCAGTTTCAAACACTCCAGGCGCGGAATCCTGTCTGAAACGCTGGGAAGGGTTTGCAGCCGCCGTGGGTTCCGCTTCGGCCTGAGAATGCGCGGACCTTGCTCTGGACAAATTGCACCGGAACCCTCCGTAACGAATGTCGCGAGGCGCCAAAACGACGCCGAGAGGCTCCCAGAAGGTGGTCAAGTGCAACGTAGGAGTGTCTGAACCAAAAAGAACAAGAAGAACTACATTAATTATAACACTACATGTGCGCCACGTGAGGACCAACATGCAGTTTTTCACAACAATGGCTCTGACAAGCCTATCTCCCACCTGATTGCGAGCCGCCTTACATGTGTCAACTGGTAGGAGCTGCTTCTCTCAAGCGCTTGACCGATAGCTCGGCCTGCCTCTCTGATGCTTGAGCTCGCAACCTAGAATGTCAAAGCACGTGGCATATGGTGACATATGGCAACCCGAAAACATCCCCCGAAGTTTGAGGCCAGATGCGGTCCCGGCTGCGGGAAGTCACATGACTCACGTGAGCCATCTGCAGCCCTGAAGCACGGAGGGGGCAACGCAAAGCTCGACCCCTTCTAAGCTTTTCCTCGCCAGCTGAACACGGCAATCTCAAACTGAGGGATGCTGAGCACGCGAACCTGGTGAGCTCTCCCATACTGGCCCCTCGGCATGCACCAGGGCGGGTTGGTGATCGCGGCCAATTCTGTGACTTCAGGAAGTCGACCAGAAGCAGCTGCACAAGGAGCGCGTCTCGAAAGCGCGGCAGACCATTAAGCAGGACAGGGTGCGGTGCCTCGCTTGCAGTGGTTTTTCGAAGCCTCGTGCTGTTCTGCGTGCTGTTTGCCGGTGACAGCAGTCAGCCAGAAGGCAATCTCGCTCACAACATCGGGGTACCGGTGGGGGAGCCTTGTAGCTTGGCACGTTCTGGTTACTATATCCTCCTTGGGCATTGTTCTTTTAGTTTTTGTTCATCTAAAACCCAAGAGGATAATTTCCATGTTGTTTTTTTATTAAGGTTCTACGGGGAGTATAGGTTATTTTGTCCCGCAAGTACACCAGACAGATCTTTGACCTCGTTGGGTGCCGCCAAGGAGGTTCGAATACCTTCTGGTGCCATTTGCAATCAGGCAGCACAGGCAACAACACACATTTCCGGTGGATTTTGAGCTGATTGTGTATCGCTTTAGGGAACAAGTTGGTCTAAGGTGGAGTCGGACATATTTGAGCTGAGCATCGGTCTGGTCATCATCTACAGCACGATCACTATGACGCTGGAGGCTGCGCATAGAATTCTTGCAGAGCCACTGTGGAACGAGCATGCGATTGTAGCAACTGTTGACTGTAAAAATCCTGCATGATAATCAGGAATACACCATGCTTCCCATGGCTTAGGGTCCTTGAGGTAGTGCAGGATTATGACCATCAACCGAAGGTCGACCAGGTAGATTTGCCTATGTTCATCAGCTTCTCGGAGAGCTTCCTCACCGCTTTCTTTTTCCAAGAGCCCCGAGCAGCAGAAATCCGGAGTGGCACACCATATCATGGATTTTAGGGTTTAGGGTTTTAGGGTTGAGAGTTTAGGATAATTTAGGGTTAAGGGTTTAGGGTCGTCTCTGAGAAGGGATGCCAGCTGGGCACGATGTTAGTCTTTCCGCCTGCCAAGGAATGGCTCACGCGCGTCTTCATCTATGGTTGGCCTTGGTTTCGTTCCATGGAGAACCTCTTGGACACATTCATTGCCCTTCAGCTGCGACAGCTGCGATGTGAGCTGAGCACCTGCAGAACTCTTTGGGCGGCTCAGGTCTGGGTCCCTGGAGTGCTAACGGTATGGTTCTTGCAGCCCATATTTTCGAATTCAGCCGACTTTCTGAAGCTGTGCCGCACGGAGCGCAGGGAATGCTGTGGCTGCTATTCCTTGCTCTGGCAAGTCGTGTATGTTGGGTTGGCGAAAGAGAGACTCGTTGCCAGCTGTTGGGCCAGCGGCAGCTGAGGAAGACCATTCGAATCGTTCGAATGCTTCGACTGTTGAGACTAGCCTTTTGTCCAATCTAGTATTTGCAGCATCTGCGCACGTGAAGCCAGCAAGCCAAAAGAGCAGCTGCGTTCACTGATTAGGTGAAAGTGTTTCGGCGTCTTGGCTTTGCACATTACAGAAATGCGAGACATGCAGTGGCGAGGACACCTATGCCTGTACCAAGGACCCTCCCAGTGATGCAGGATCTCTGGATGCTTGTGCGCGGGCTTCTGAAGAGTGGAGGCTGCCGAGATGCATTAGTCTTTCAGCGAACTGTGCGAGCTCGCGAAGTATGACAAGATATGATACACCAGACCATCAGGCGACTCACAGACGCACATGCGGAAGCGCGCACACACATACACACATATATATATATATGTATATCACATGTATGTATATATACACATATTTGTTCATGTTTCCTGCTTACCCCCCCCCCCCCCCCCCAACAAAGGACCAACCCTGCCAATTCAAAAAATGTACGCCTGGATCCTCGCCCACATCTGCTCGTGTTCTGAGTTTTAGATCACAGGCTTATTGAAGTTTGAATACATCTGCAGAACATGAATCATCAAGATACCGAGCGAAGATCCCCAGACATCTTGAATCTTGGATCCCGGGGTGTTAAACAAAAAGTATATGAAGCTGAATAAGCTGAATGAGGTCCCAGAATTGTCTCAGATTCAGAAGGCAACTAAAGCCGAGTTAAAGGAATGAGGTCCCAGGGTTTCGCCTCGCCCAACCCCACTGCTTGTGCATTTTCTCTGAAGTGTAGAATTGGACATGGGAATACCTCGATGCTCCTTTGTATTGTAGTAGGTAAGAACCTCTGTTTCCTCCACATTGTTTGAAAAGAAAGCCTCGATTTCCTCTATATTTTCATAAGACAGCCTTTATATCCTCTGAATTTGATAGGAACACCTCTATTTCCGTGTTATTTTCACAGGCAACCCCCCATTTCCTATGGCATTTTACACGGAAAGCCTAGACCCCCTTAAGACAAGGTACAAAACGCATGCCCAGAACCATTACTCAACCATTAGTAGGGGAAGAGAAGGAGAGACTTCAAATCCATCAGTAAATGTGTCTTCAAATACAGGCAACTTACGCCTAAAGGCCACATCCGGATTGAGGTTTGCTGATTCTGACAATGCTTTCAAACAACTATCTGCTCTAAAGCCCGGGCCAGTTTCGGACATGTTCTGCATGCTTCTAAACGCACATGTTTGCCCACTCGTTTGGGGAACGACCTGGCATTGTATTTCGTTTAATCTTGGAATTTTCCTTAGCTTGGGAGTCGCTTCGCCCAGGAGTAGTTCAAAAGCATACCTGCCGACATGAAGGGAACCCAAATCGAGTTTTGGTGGTCTGGGGTTCCACGTCGTGGGCTATCCAAGATCCACCTTTGCCAAAAGGTATTGGTAGCAGCACATCTTGGAGGGATGGCGGACATGTTCTTTGCAAGTTCTGCCCGTGTGTCTGTGTTCTTGCATGTATGTACGCAAATGTCTTTCTCTCGCGCTATGTATGTCGGCACAGACACACATTGTCTTGTAGTAGACTGCCTCGCGCCCCTCCTCCCGGTTCCGGAGCAGCCTGTGAAATTCAGGCACTTTGGCCTCCGCGATGGTTTTGATCGTTTTCACATTGCTCCCCGGTCAGAGATAGCTTGAGCGGGCCAGGAGCAGAATGCAAGATATGCTGAACAGGACGAGCAGGAACCCGTCTGCACACACTTCCTGCTCGTGCAGGTTCGTTTTTGGCATCGCTGCCGTCGACCTGATTGCCAGAGCCGACTACAGCGATGCTGAAGAAGTCCATGGCTAAAAAGACAGTAGATACTGTACTCGCACCTTTTCTGGCATACGAAAGCTTCCAGTATGCCTCGGAGTGTCCATCGCCGAGGACTCGAAAGTAGCTCAGTCTCGTTTCTTTGGCCGCGGCCTGTGATGTGACTTTTGTGAGGCATCCAGGGGCTGTACGGATTGGCTTTGAATGTGTCAGGCCTTTGGTATGCTATGCTCACCTTGACAAGGCAGGGCTCCCACATCTTTTGTCCCATGACTTATGCCCACACGGGTATTTCCCAAAATAGGAGTACCCCTTTTATACCCCAAATAGAATAGAATCCTCTTAAAGGGAACCCCCCAAAAGCGTAATTACCCAAATTGTCGGAAACCCCCACATCTTTTGCTGACGTTTAGCCGATCCGAGCACCTCGTCAGGTTTATGCATGCCGATGATGCGCAGGGCATCATGGATGAGCTTACTGCACAGCAACCCTACATATGGCACTAGGCTCAGCTGCATGGTTCACCCCCCAAGGAGCAGAGTTTTGCAATCAAACTGCTGCTTGGAACCAAGGATCTTTCTCTGGGTCTTTGCAGCTTGTTCAAGCTTTGCTTCTTGCCTAAAGGCAACTTTTCGCACGGCGCGGTGCAGACTTGGCCCGCCTGTCATCCGAGTAAGTAGGTGTGCAAAGTCGCTGCATTGCCAGAGTTAGGTGCTGCTGAACCTCGTTACTGCCATCATCTGCAACGAAGCCTTTGAGACGTCGAAGGCCGATGAGGCAGATCTAGCCAAGCAGCGGCTCGGCTCAGGTGTTCAGATCTTGGGTTTATCCCCTATGCCCTTACGACAACATCTATATGTTTTAGAATAGAGCATACGGTATCAAGTATATATATGTATATATATATATATAGAGTAAGAAGAAACATATACATATATACCCTCACACCTTTGTCTCGCAGGTTGAAACTCCAAAAAGAGCAGGAGATGCGGGAGTTCAAGGAGGGAGCCACGTACCCGGGAAAATTTGGGGAGACAAGGGGGCGTAGCGAACAGGAGTAGAGTTTCCCGTTGCTTCTGCTTTCGCATGCCTGCGAATTGTGAAAGGACATGTTCATTGAGCTTGATGAAGACGGAAGTGGGCAGGCCGGCCCTTGAACACTGCGCGCATTCGGGTTGACCTAAACATGTTTGCCCAGCTCAGGTGACGCTGGATGAGTTCACGAATGCTTTCAACGTAGATGTGACTTGCTCGTCATTCATGCACGTTTTGCTGGTGTTTCCTTTTTTCATACAGCGTCGTGGATATGATCCGCTGCAGTCCATCCGCAACAAGCTCGTCGTCATGGGGCTCTCTGAAGACGCACTGCTGCAGCTCTTCAACCTCTTGGACACCGATCCTTGGGCGTATTGGGCGAAGTACTGTAAGTGAAGCCATGTGTTTTTTCCTGTTGGCGACATGCAGAAGTTCTCCCGTTTTGTCGTTTGGCTTTTAGATCTCCACATGCTGGCGCCTCCTCAGCTTCCGGCTTCCTTGAGTTCTTTTCCGCTGAGGATGGCGAAGGCGAGCTGAGCCTGGCATCTTGGTGTGCCAAGAAGGCTATACCATAAAAGGGCCCAATGCCCCTTAATTAGGGAATACACCTTAATTTATAAAGGGATCCTAAGTATGAATTACGGTAAATTGTTAAATTAAGGGGGGTATTGGCATTGGCTCTTTGGGCACCATAGAGGGCCTCGCGTGTTGCGTTTAGGGTTTAGGGTTTAGGGTTTTAGGGTTTTAGGGTTTTAGGGTTTTAGGGTTTTAGGGTTTTAGGGTTTTAGGGTTTTAGGGTTTTAGGGTTTTAGGGTTTTAGGGTTTTACGGTTTTAGGGTTTTAGGGTTTTAGGGTTTTAGGGTTTTAGGGTTTTAGGGTTTTAGGGTTTTAGGGTTTTAGGGTTTTAGGGTTTTAGGGTTTTAGGGTTTTAGGGCTTAGGAGGGTTTAGTGTCTGTGCACTGCGGCGGGCTGGCCAGTCTAAGGACGAGTTCATGGGGGGCATGCAGTCTCTTTCCGGCCTTGCAAATGCCAAAGATATGGTACCTGGGCCGAGGAGAAGAACTGTGTATTCAACGGCGCTCCCACTGGTTTGCTACCGACTTTGCGTCTACTGAGGTGATACTAACCAAGGGCCTGGAAAGAATTGAGAAGCAAGTCAGCCTACTGTTTCAGGCCTCATTGTCGAGTGGTGACTTGGCTGGGACATTGCATTATCCCAATTTAGGCTATACAACAAATATCATAATATAGCTAATTTAACTTATAACACGTAATATATAATGAGAATTGTACAACAAGCAAAAATGATTTGTAATATGTCGTACATAATCTATAGCAAAAGAAATATGCAATATGTAGTCTATAGTTGCCAGTGGTCGGTTGGAGCTGCCCTCCCGCAACAGAGCTTCGTTTGAGCTAAGGCCTGCCAACGAAAGAGATGCTTCAGGGTCAGATGACTGAGGCCGTTACGAGCAAGCATCTGTATGCTAAGACACGCCGGCAAGCCAGAACGGGACGCCAGGTGCGAGTGAAAATCGATGATCGCTTCCGAAAAACGGAGGCGTCGCTGAAGGACGAGCTGTCGTTAGCAAGTGACATGGGCGGGTGTGGTTGAGACAATGGTAAGACAGCTTTGATCTGGGTTAAGTCCACTCGATTAGGGGCACTGCTGCCTCAAAGTGCCTTACGCAGTAGCTGCGAACACGTGGCACGCTGAAGGACTTGACACATCAGCTCCAGCGCATCAGCGGCAGAAGCCAGGCCAACCACCAAACTTTCGGCCTTCGACACAGAGCGCGTGCTTATGTTGGCGAGCTGCTACCGAATGCTACGCAGGGAGCCACGAAAAAGGCCGTCACAAAAGTCAAGGCAAAGAAGAAGGCGCGAGACGGGTGAGCGAGGGAAGAGGTGAGAAGGTATTTGTATGTATCTAGAATCTAGATGCCTTCACCTTGGCGCAGGTTGTAAGAATGCCGAAGGCATCGATAATTAGTTCGTCGTCAGGCCGGGTGACTGCTGTCCACTGCTCATGTTGATGTACATGTCTTATCCGAGCTGTGACATCACAGGTGAAGGAGAGCGAAGGTCCTGAGCGCTAACAGCCGTCTAACAGCCGTGCTGTCTACGAGCACACCAGCGCCGGGCGTTGGCATGCTCGTGTGGCAGTGCAGTGGCCGACTCTGGCTGTAACTTTCCAAACATGACAAGGAACTATCTGTCGAACCCCTTGCTGCAAAAAACAGATCCGATCAGAGCAATAAAGTGCAGCCAGCCTCGTACCAGGCTTTTCCGGCACTGTGCATTTACTTTACATGACAGTGATGGTGCGACGCACGTTTGCCACAGCCATGTGGCTGGCAAGATTGCGCCGTGCCACACTTTGGGACGCACTTTGAGCAGTTTGCCCCAAGGGCGGTTGCTGTTGAGACTTTCGTGCGCCCTGTGGACCTTTCATGGTGGCTCCGCAGAGCAAAAAATAGAATGCAGTGGTTTTTCCTACGCGGATATGTCCAAAATAGGGGTACCCCTTTATACCCCCTGTAGTATACGATCCCCTTAAAGGGACCCCCGAAAAGGGTACCCCTAGGTTCGTAAACCCCCATGTGTTCAATTTAACAATGTGAAGTGGCTGCAGTGGCTGTTCTTTCCAGGCAAAGTGCGTGGAAGCAGACAGCAGAGCCTTGGAGCCGTGCCGGCTCCGTTGGAAGCTTAGTCCTTGGGATGTTCCCCCTAAAACAAACAGTCCTGACTATTATAGTACCCCCTATTATCATCCCGATGAAGGGCTGTGTTAGCATATTATAAGGGGGAACATCCCAACTTAGTCCCTTCATGTTGTTAGTGCTACACAAAAAAGGTGCCCAGGTCCAGGCGCGTAGGCAGTGGGTGGATGTCAGTGGCACAGGGGGGGGGAGTGCCCAGGACTCCATCAAAGGAGTCCAGGTGGAGCCCATGGAGTCCAGGGGATTCTCTGAATCTGCTCTGCCAGCGCGAGTTGTGCGACGTGCACCGACACTCTTTTGCCACTCCTGAGCTGTGATGGCCAGGAGGAGGAAGCAGGCCAAGGTACGTGTCCTGATGCGACCCACAGCAAGAAGTCGTGCTTCGGTGCTTTGTTGCGCAGGAGGGGAGATGCCCGCAACGAAGCCTGCGAAGCAGCGCAGCCGTGGACCAGCTGTTTCAAGCACCGGCTTTCGAGACATCGCCAACTTGCTCAGGTCCTGACGCGCTCCAGCAGTTGATCAGGACCCTCTCCTTTCACACCTTACACAGCCGAGTGCGTGTCAGTCACGCTCCACCGATGAGATGCGACGAGAGCCTGACTGCTGCCTGTAACGGAGCAGCTGCCGCTACTCAGGAAGATCGCTGACTTTGCATCCCGCCGACGTCTACATGATGCCTGTGCCTCATGGGCGGGTTTTTTCCGCGCTTCAAAGATGACCGACCTGAGCTGCAACTAAGGCAGTCAGGACCTTCGGCGAGATCGAGAAACGGGGGCTTCAGCCGAGCTTCTGCCTTTAGCAGTGTGTTTCGCAGTAGCGCACCACGAGTGGCATGCCCATGCAATGTGCTGGCAGGGGTGGGCAGGAGTCAGGAGTGGCATGACCCAAAGCCTCGAGGTGTCCAAGCCTATGCCAGCTTGATCAACGCGTATGTCAACAGTCAGGCACTCAGGGCACTTCAGAGACGGTTCAGAGTTGCGGCCGCAACGGATGGCCTCAACCTCCGCACGGCAGGTTTTGATTGCCATTGATTACCGAGGGCTTTGCCTGTTGTTCTTCCTTGTTCAGGTGGTGACATGGTTGGCGCTGCCAGGCACTCAAAGTTTGTGTATGTGAACTTTCGTGGCAAATCATCCATTCGTGACAAAGGATTCGGCGTTCACTCAGATGCTTGCGGCTGGACTTCGTTCCAACGTAGTGGTCACGACCTGCCAGTTTACATGCAGATACGTGTGTGGAATTGTGCGAAGCCACTATGATTCCGTCGTGTGGCCTCTTGCAGGTCTGCACAGCGTTGCTGAAGGGTTACTGCCTTGTCCTCATCTCTATTTGCTTTGTGTCTTCCTGGTCCCTTCACGTGCAACGGGAGCATCAACACCGCCTAAGATACGAGCCACTTCAGAGTCCAGCATCGCAGGCCGATGTGGCGATGTTCAGGGTGCAAACTCTGCTGATGGCTGAGTTTCAAGCGTCAGCCTTTACGGGCCTCATTTTCCAAGTTCAGTTGAGCTTGGGTTAGGTCCCTCCGGCATGACTAGTTCAATCATGAGTTTGACAAAGACGATGAAACGAGGAGCAGTCTCAGTAGGGAGTCCACAGATAATATGGATTACTGTGCCCATTGATCGGGGCCATGCAACTGGGAGACAACCGACAAGTGGTGCAGGCCCTAACGAGCAGTAGTGATTCTGGTACAAGTAGTGTACCCTCTTCGTAAATAGTATGGCGGTACGGTCTGACCCAGCAGAGTTCTGCAATGTTCTCTGGCAGCCCTTTCTTAAATTCGTTTGATCTCGCCCATCGGGCTCACTCAATCTGCAAGCAGCTTCTGCAGATTTTGCTTCATGCTGGCTCGAAAGATGTCCCTGCTCCAAGGGTATCTCTTTTTGAAGACAACCCGGACGAATCGGTGACATTCGGCGGCTTGTCTGAACAAGGTTTAGCGTGACGGCCCAGGTCCTGGAGAAGCTGTTGAATCAAGAGCCTCCCGCGAGAGCCTAATGACTCAATCGCTTTGCCGAGTATCACTGAGCACCGTTGAGTGATGAAGGTTTCGAATGCTTGTTTTTGAATGTGCTCGAAGTGCGTACGGCATCCGCAGCCAGTAGCAGTCAAGACGCTGACAGACCACTGAATAGGGCCTTCCCCGCCTGGTCAGTGCCAGCCACATGTCAAAGAATGCTCAGCGCAATGAGAGGACCACTGCTGCCGCTCAAGAGTCTTGGCAAGAAGGTTGTGCAAACCGAATCTTCCCCTCTGCCAGGAGAAAGGCCGCCAAGAAGGAGCAGGCCTTATTATTATCTTTATTATTATTATTATTACTATTGTTGTTATTTATTAATTCTTATTATTATTGTTATTATTACTATTATTACTATTAGGATTTATTCTTGTTCTCCCACTTGGGGTGCCCGCGCGCGATTTCGCGTCTCTTTCGATGGCACCGCGAGGCCCGGGCAGACGAAGCCGCGTCTGCCGCAGCTTCAGGAGCCCTCCGCTGCACTCCAAGAGGGACGAGAGTTAAGGATGCCTATAGATGGAATTTTGGGGTTTAGGTTTTTTAGGTCTTATAGGGTTTGTAGGGTTTATAGGGTTTATAGGGATTTTTAGGGTGTTTAGGGTTTTTAGGGTTTATAGGCTTTATAGGGTTTATCGGGTTTATAGGGTTTATAGGGTTTATAGGCTTTATATGGTCTATCGGGTTTATAGGGTTCAGGGTCTAGGGTTTAGACCGATCCAAAGCTTGTTGGTGCGCGTTCACGAGTGGTCGATCTCATCAGTGGCCTCCTCACGACGTCTCGTGATGTTGTTGCATTCGGTTGCCTCCTCTTGGGTGACGGCTCTTAGGTGTCCATATATATATATATATATAGAGAGAACACATGTATTTGTCAAAAATGTATACGTAAGTATATTTATATGGCTGTCTACGAGTGTTTACATCTTCCGCATGAGAGGACCCAAGCCCACAGGCAGCCTAGAAGAGCTGCAGGAGTTTCTTGGTCGGACATGCGAGGGCCACTGCAGCAACAGCGCGCCCAAAAGAAGCCCCAAACAGCACCATGTTGGTGGGCATGGGCAAGGCTTGGCAAGTCTTTGTTCCTGGGCTCATGTGCGGCAGTGTATGTGCAGCACTCAGCCTCATGCAGATGGTGATGTAGCAGAATGACAGAACGGAATACTGCGAATAATTTGGATTTTCGAGGCTCCGAAGCTGCCAGACTTGATGAAAGAGAATGGCAAGGCTCCGTTCCACAATCGTCGCCAGGTGCTGAGCAAGCCCGTGCGTCAGGTAGAGCCAGAGCCGGCAGAACCTGAGATAAACACGGAAGAATCGGAGAAGGACCCAGCGCAGGCAGGCGTGAAAAGACCCTTGAAGATCAGGGTCCATGCCCAGAGGACTCCCCAGAAACAGAGCCAGCGACTTTGTCCGAAGAGGCCAGGTTTGGATGCATTCTCTGAAGTGCAGCAACTTGTATCTGCTTTTTTTCGCCTGCTTTCTGTCGTTCATGTGTTGCCTCACTTGCGTCCCTTTTGTCTGCAAACGACAGCAGTTGCGTGCGAGCGCAGGGAATAGAACTTCCGTGACTTATAACCGCGACCCACCCAGACCCTGCAGCCACCGCATCTTGCATACAAGTGAAGCGCTGTGAGAACCGATTCATTCCTGGCACCCTGAAGTGTGCCGTTGAACCTAGAGACCCCAAGCCACCAAAAAGTCGCCAGCTTTTTGGTCGGGATAGAAAACCTGGGTTGTCCGAGATGTGAGCAGCAGGTCAGCTGCCTAAAGTCGGGCCCTTGCTCGCGTACCAGCATCCTCGCCTGCGGATTCCATACTGAGATTCGAGATACCTTTGACCGCCGCGCAGTGTGACAAACTCGTAAGCTCTGAAAAGCGCAAGCCACCAAAAGCCCTAAGCCCCAAAGAACCCACAACCTCAAAACCGCAAATCCTAACGTGATGAAACCACAAGACCCGCAAAGCTCTAGGGCCGCAAATCCTACACCAAGCCCCAGGCCCGAAAAACCCGCGGCCCTCACAACCTTGAATCCCCAAAAGCCTTTTCCTGCGTGTTGCGAATGTGAGCGTCGAAACACCGCGGTCAAATCCCAAGAAACTGTGGTTTTGACAAACTTGGAGAAGAAACAAGTGAGGTAATACATGCAGATGCATCGAGCCATGCGAAGCATTAAGAGCTGTTGAAGTGGCAGGGCTCGGGAGCGATCTTCTCCAGCTTGGGTGCCCGCCTTGCGTGGCACAACTGCCTTGGCTTGGCAGAGCCACAGACTGGCGAGGTGTGGATGCCTTGTGTTAGCAATGTGGTACCAGGATGGGCTGTTATACCCTACAATCCCTTGCAGGGCCCTTTATAGGGTTCAGTATGGGGATGTTAAGGCCTAATAGCCCATCCTGGTTAGCATCATGCGACTGCCCCTTGAGAAGTCACTGCACTCGGCTGATAAGGAGGCTTGGCAACGGTGGATTGCCCTGGGTCGGTTGGAGATTGATTTTGGGCCGAAGAAGGCCAAGCGTGGAAGCCCTTCGTGGGACAGGACCTGCGAGAAATGTTTTCCGGACATGCGCGTATAGGGCCAAGTGCTTCCAACGTCGGCCTTTTCCCTGGTTTTTCCATCAACTTCTTAGTTTTCCTTTTTGTTGTTTCATGGTTGTGCTCTGTACTTCCCTTCACTGTGGCAGAACCTGTCCACTTGTGCTCCTAGCTGGCCCCCTTGTTTGGATGAAGGATTTTGGCCAACCTATGCGGGAATTTGCCGCACCTCAGCCACGCAACGAGCGAGCACTGCTTGTGCATCAACACACGGGATGGGCTGCGTCTAACGCAAGCTGCATCGTCAGGCAGTATCTGCACATCCTGCTAGCTTGCTTCCCAGCTGTGCGTTTTGGAGTTGAGTGGGTGTCCGGTGATGCTGTGTGTCTTCGCTTGAGGCGTTGGCAATGCTCCATGCCTTCTTCCTCCGATCGTATTTTGCCTGCCTACCATGGCTTCTGGGCTGGCAGCCACCCGGCTGTACTCGTAGCAGCATGCAAGGACCATCATCATCCGTCCACGTCTGCACGCGTCAACTGTTGCCCAGGATGGCCTCCTTGTTGATTCCTTTAGAGACGATCGAGCAGGCAGGTGCCAGCAATATAATTTTAACGCTACGCGACCCGCCTCGGCCCGGCCCAGCGCATCCGCGTGAGCATGGTGATTCCGCAGCGCCCAAGTCGCTGGACCCCAAGCAATAAGGGTTGGGTTGAGGGTTGAGGGTTGAGGGTTGAGGGTTCCGGGTTTATGGTTTGGGGTTTGGGGTTGAGGGTTAGTTTAGGGCTCAAGGTTCACGCTTTGGGGTTGAGGGTTTTTTTGGGTTTAGGGTTCGGCTTGGAGTGATCGTAGGGTTGAGCCAGGCCCCTTAAGGTTTCAGGCGACTTTTTGGCAGGGTGGGGGGGAGGGGGGAGGTGGGGTGGGGGGAGGTGGGAGGGGGGGGGGGGGGGGGGGGGGGGCTGCAACTGCCTCTGGTCCTGGCGAGACATCCGCTTGCGGACCCTCCTCTCCTAGGGGGGTTACCCATTTGAAGCAAAAAAAGGGGGCCGAAAAGTGGCTTTGGGCTTGGGGGGAGGATTTGGAGGGGGGTGCCTGTTCTGACAACCTATACACCTTCGGCCCGAGGCCTCGGCGGATATAGGTGCCAGCAATGACCACTGACCTTGGTGATATGTCCGGCCACAGGTGCCGCAAGTGCCACTTAGCCAGTGCCCACGAAAGTTTCGCCACAATCTCAGTGAAATCTCCTCTGCCATTGCAATTCATGAGCTTGAAAGTGCACGACTGTGCCTCAAGGCGGGACCATCCTGAATCCTAAACCCTAAACCCTGAGGCGTAGCAGCCACTTTGGGCATCCATGCTTTGTTTCTCTTCTTCTTTGGCCTGGAGCCACTCGGCTGTGGTAGACTTCAGTTCTGGCGTCGAACATGTAGTCTAAGAATGTGCTTCGGTAACTATACATAGGTGCCTGAGATGTCTGCTGGCCCAGGCTAATCTGGCGAATGAACTTCCTTGTGAAGTTTCTGGTGCCTGGCCTGTTATTTCCCTGGGCATTCAAGCAAGACGGTGTTGTTTAAGCTTTCAGCTGCGAGAAAAGGTGCTGCTTTGTTAATCCAGTCGCCATCATTTACCTTCCAAAGGGCGCAGATGCATCTGCTCGGTACGCCGCTTTTGCAGACTGTGCGGCCTGTCCACATAGACGGTGATGTCAAGGGCATGTCCCGGCATATCTTTTCGCACCTGGTCCTTAATTGTAGCTAATGAATACGTCTGATGGCTGAGTCTTGGTCTTTGCACCTCCTTGCGCGTCCCAGGTACGGCCTAGAAAACCCTCCAAATGTGGCAGGTGCTGGCACTGGTCCTTCTCCATGCACATTCTGTGAGACCAGTGGCCGCGTAATCGCCCTGGCCTGGTGATCCGAGGACATGCAAAAAATCTTTGGCCACACCTTCTGAGATCATGTCCCGATTCCCCCCACCCCCCTCCGCCACCCAATTGCACTGCACGAGCTCAGTCATTAGTTCCCCTTCATACCTCCCCCCAAAAAAGAATGCCAAAATGCGGCGCGGCCGCAAAAAAGGATGAGACATTAGGAGGGAAGTCGACATAGCCAAGCTCGTTGCAAAAAGTCGACATTATGGTTTGCTGCCCCGGGACCCAAAACCCTAAGATCAACCCCAAGCTTGATCCCTCATTTCTACAGACCTAGCTCCAGGCAGGTGTAGTATCGGACTATTTTTTTTTGGGGGGGGGGGGGGGGGGGGCATCGTTGCAGGTTTGGGAAAATGCTTGAGATTGGAGGGTCTTGGGGGAATGGAGTACTTGGGTGGCTAACTTCAAACTTAGGCCACTAAACCCCAATCGCTTGGCCTGATTAGTCGGCAGTTGCTCGGTCAGCGGCTGCGCTGACTGACATTTTGACTCGCCTTGCCCAGATCACCGTGCTAAAGGCAACACGCCAGCGGCAGTGGTTGGATGCCTGCCCTAAGCTTGCGGCCGCTAGACCACGTCGCGATCGGCGGTTGACAGGATTGCTTTCGAGAAACATCCGCACCGACGCCAAATCCAGCACCGTCAACTGTTCATAAGCTGACCTCGCGCAAACGTTTGATCCGCATCTCACAGTGCTAAGGTCAAGCCCGACTTGCGTTGCACTCTTACATTGGATCACCAATCTTCACATGCCTCCACCGCGGGCTGTCCTGTCGTTTATGTTCTCTTCAGGGCTCGTCAATACACTGCTTCGTGGCTGTGTCAGGGCCCAGGCCTCAGCTAGGAGTGTAAGGCGATGTAAGGCGTTTTTGCGGGGGTTGGGCGCCTGCTACGTCCCCACGTGCAGCTGTGGGATAAGGCTGGAAACCTCGCCGTCGCTGAGTTCTTGACTTAAAATGATGCTGTGGCATGCCACATCCGACGACGATCTGCCACTCCCTTTTGAAGCTGGAGGTCTGTTTTTCATCGACTGCAGCAGTGGGAGCTGAAGCCAGACGTCGGACCTCACAGAACCACCGCAGTCCTCCTTGCCGAAGATTGTTCCATGTTATGGCATGTTTTGATCCGTTGTGGTCCGTTGACTTAGGCTTCGACTTGTTGCTTCATGGGGCTGGCTGCCCGGATTGCGGCGACCGATGGCTCGGTGGCCCGACTGGGATGCATGGTGTCCATATGCAATCTTCAGGTCGCTGCTGGGCCAGGGGTTGCAGGTCAAGAAGGCCCTGTTGCACTTCGCTCCCGGCACTGCACGTTGTGGAACTAACGAAGTGCAGATTGCCGCACTCCTGAGCCGGCCGCCCCTGGCAGCCTTGCCCTGAGTAGTAGGCAATCCAGCGCTCTGCGTGTTTTGATTTCTGGGCCAGCTACGTAGAGAGGCAGCCCCTCCGGAAGTCGAAGGACTGCATGCGAAGTTGCTGTGGTTCAAATCTTGCCGGGGGGGGGGGGGCAGGGCGGACACAATAATGGACACGCTTGAACATGCAGAGGATCAGAAGGAGTGCCGTCTGAAACGCAAGAAGCTTGCAGGCCAGGAGTTCTTGGCTGTGCTATTTTGGCAGTGTCTGAGATTCTCGAAACGTGGATGCGAATAGTGTTATCAACATGAGCATGATCGCCGCAGTGAGTGGCGCAGGTTTTGGCTGAAAGGGAAGTGCAAGAAAGGCCTGCAATAATTTTGTAGTTGCGCCGTGTTGCCTCGTATTTCATTTTTCGTGGATCATGCGTCAGCATCGGAGGAGCTGCGTGTCCTTTCTTCCATGATCCGGCTATTGCTTGAACCTCAAGCAGAAGCAAGCTCGTTAGTGGGACACACAGTGCAGCTGACACGTTTGCGAAGGAACTTGCCAAGAGAGCAGCAAGTGAGCCAGAAAGACTTGCTGCAGCACCACCCTCAGCACTGTGAGTAGCCACGACTGCGTAAGTTCCTGCGCGCACGTGATAGCACGCTGAATTCTGTCCGCTGAAGCAGTATGTGCTGAGGTTTTCGCAATCAGAGCAACTTTGTTTTCCCAATGTCAATGTTGTTCCATTTTGTTTCGAGGTTGCCTGCGTTGGTTTCGGCCTGAGTTGGCGGACACTCGGGCGGATTGAATTTAAAGTTGCCATGTCCGGTGCATGAGGCTTGGATCATGCGCGTGCAGCAGCTTTGCTTCGTCGTCCGCTTGCTTGCAAGCGTGCTTTGCGAGCAGTGGAACATGCTCTTGGAGCTGCCAAGGTGCGCCTGTTGCCTTACGAAGAGTGTTGGTGTCAATGTACATTCCGAGTAGGCATTCTGCACGTTCGGGCCGTGCCGTGCACATGTCTGTTGCAGGACGCACCACGGGTGCGTGGCTCATCCAAGGAACGCCAAGACAGCAATCGGCGTGAAACTCAAAATGATTCCAAAAGAAAGCTCAACACGAATGGCTTTCCAATTGCTTTGACGATGTCTCAGCTCGGCTGCTTGGACCCGCAGGCATTCTTGCCTAGCGCGCATGGACACTCTAAATTCCCCATAGCTTAGACCCATTCTTGAGTCGTAGCAGCTTCTTGGCTGCATTGGTTGAGTCAATCACTTCTCCAAAGATGTGTGAGTGATCGCGTTTGTTAACAATGGACGGAACATGCCGAACAAGCCCGCAAGGTTTCGGATCCGCATGGCATGCCCTCACCTGCGGCAACCGGGTCCACTGCTGCGACAGATGAGCCACATGAAGCTCTTCTTTTGATTCATGGTGCCTTCAATCCAGCCGCATTCGCTGCACTATGTATGGCTTGCTGGCATCTTTCAACGGCAGCGTAGGCTTTCCATGTTTCAGACAGTGTGTATGTGTGTGTGTCACGCAAAGTGTGATGGCGAAGGTCCACAAGCACCACATTGCCATGATGGTGCAGAGCAGGAAAAGGGTTGAGCAGGCAGGCTACAAGGTTGTGGGCGGTCTCCTAGTGCGGAGCTTAAAGCCAGAACCAGTTACAGCAAGTTCGCGGTTGAACTGTGTGACCCTTGTGCAAGTTGCATAAGTTGTGGAATTGTGCTGAGACGCCGAGGCAATCAAGAGTATAGATTTCATCAAGCGAAAGAAGGAAGCTGATGCAATGCTCGACAAGCATCGGCTGACCGCCCTGGATCTGGCGTGCCATTCAGTCGATGGAGGGTGGCTGAAGCCAGATGCAAGGGGCATTAACTTCGGCTCGCCTGGCCGGATGATTCAGCTACTTCAGGATAAGAACCGTGGAGTGACGATTTTCAATGTCGTAGGGGCCGACTCTGTCGTGAAGCTGTGCAAAAATGGCTCGAAGTTCATGCAGGCCATGGTGGTTGTGGGACGGGCTGGCTCCAACAACAAAGTTGTTCAGGAGACGGCCGAGCTTTCAGAGGCAGCTGGGGCGCCCGTGTACTACGTGGAGGAGCTCCCTGGAGCCATCACATCGACAGATGTCCTCGCAGCCCTGCAAGAGGGAGATGAAGAGATGGTGCGAACGCTAATCCCTCCATCAGCAGCTGAGTACCTCTTAGAGAACCGGGAGGATCTCTTTGGCGAGAACTATGTTCCGGTGAAGAAGCCGCCCAAGTTCGTTCCCAGCAGGGGCGAAAGAAACTTCAACTTGCTTGCCGATGATGGCCCGAGCACCTCCAAATCCGAGCGCCCAGCCCGGAAAGGAGACTCCGAGAGTACTGGCAAGGAGAATGACGAGACGAAGGAGGAGGAAGTTTTCCAGAAGCATGGCGTCAACGGTTACAGTGCTGGTGGTGAGACGACCGATTCTGGCACGAACATGCCCGACTCTGCCTATGCACCGCCGGGGGGGCGGCCCTTGATAAAGGGACTTCCTCCAGGAAAGCCGGCTTGTGTTGTTGGCATTACAGGTGCCCCCTCGGCAGGCAAGACGTCCCTAGCGCAGGAGCTCCAGTACATGCTGTGGGAGCGTTACGGAGCCCGTTCGACCAAGATGATCTCACAGCAGGACTTTGATTTGGGCAGCAGTGCCGGGGCAGGGGCATGGTCCTGGGAGCACGGCAAGTGGCTGTCGTACTGGGAGTCCCCTGATGCCACAGACTGGAAGAAGATGGAGCATGCGACTCTTGAGGCAACCAAGCATCATCCCATAGTGATTGTGGAGGGCCATTGCCTTTTCAGTTCTGAGCGAATGTGTCGTTTGTTGAACGGTCTGATTTGGATGGACGTTGACCAAGAAGGATGCTGGGACCGTAGGGCTCAGTATCCAGAAGGATGGGAGCCCGCACACTACTTTTACAAATGCTTATGGCCAGGCCACGAGGAGCACTTGTCCCAGGCGTTGGGCGTACAGAAATGGGCGCCGGGGTGTGGTGGGCGGTCTGCAGGCATCGGCCCAACTCGCTCTTTGAGCCTCAACGGCCTTGATCAGCCCACAGCACTCCGCGAGCGAGCCCTCAATGCAGTCCTCCGATGGGCCTTGACAGGTCCGTCGGACCCTGCACAAGGCCCACCGGGCCCTCCTGGCCGCGCACTCCCAGTACCTGGTGCAGTCTCCGGCCCCATGCTCATGCAGTGTCAGTAGCTCCGGCAAGTGCTTCGCTGCTGCCCTCAACCAACAACAAACGGCATGGCGACGCCATGCATCACCAGGCTGCACCAGACAGCGGCCGTGCCTCGCTTCGAAATTTGAGATGGATGGTGGCATGCGTGGCGCTGCCGCGTGACACAGGAGCTAGCGTGACTCTTGCGTGGAGAAACAAGGAGGACTTGCTTGGCCACTGTCGTCGCTTGATATGTAGAGCTTTGTTGAGTTTTGCGGAGGCGCGACCAGGAGTTGGAGATCGAGCTCATCAGGCGCTTTGCAGGCCTTACTGCAGCCTGTCCTGCACAATTCTTGCTTTGTGCTGGAAACTGCCAGATAACTCTCTGGCGTCCACCGGCAAGAAAGGCATCCGCTGTCTTGTTATGTTCCGAAATGTCAGCCAAAAAAACCAGTGTCTCACTCACCAAAGCGTTGAGTTGCACGCTGCCCCAGGACATGGCTTCAACTTCGTTGACTTCCTTGGCACGCGGGCTTACATGTGTGATCCGCTGTGAAGGCCTTCAGGTTTTTTTTGGCAGAATCTTCCACCGGGCCAAGGCCGCTGCTTTCTGATCCCAGTGGTTGCCTCACTTTGATGTGGAGGGAGCAGGGCCGAACTTTGCCAAACACAAATCAAGCCAGGACCAGGGCGCAGTTTATTGAAGAGAAACATATTGGGTGATAGCTTTGGTTTCATGCCCTTTGCCCTGTTGTCAACCCACCGCAGCCCATGAAGGGTCTGCTGTGGATGCTCAGACTTAGGATCCCGTGGATCGAACATCTGCCCTCAATCGCTTGGATCAGCAGGCGAACCCTTGCTAGCTGCTAGATGCTAGAACTATATGCAGAAGCGACTGGATCAACAGCCCATGCAAGCTCCCTTCCCATCCTTGGTGGTCCCCTTCCTTGTGCACACCCCATCTTCAGCACGCGAGTCCTAGAATTCCTAGAGTCCTGCCCCTTGCCAGCTGGACATCCAGCGCAGCGAATCCTCGCTCCCCTGCTTGATGTGAAACAAACTTTGGCCAGAAAGAGCAGTTGGGACATGTCTTCGGTCTTCGTCTTGGTCTCAGAATGGACTGGATGAGGCAGATGCGTCGACTGCAACGGCCAGTGCTTTTGTTGCCCTCTCAGTACTGGTACCCAGAGCGGCTAAACACGAGGTGTCCTCCTGTAAATGCAGCTTCATGCCATTCAGCTTGCAGTGGTTGTCATGCTGGCAGCCATTCCTGCTCAAGACAGTCGGGCCGCTGGTGCAGTCCCTGGGCCCTAGAGGCCTCCCTGGTTTGCAGCCATAAGATTCTCCACGCGTTTTTTTTCTCGATTTTGGTGCTTCTGAGGCATTGGCCATGCAGCAGGCTCCGGGTGTGCCCTCACTTCTTCAGAGCAACAGGCAGACACTGCCGAAGAGGGTGCAGCGTCCAGACAATGAGCGTAGGGTGACCGTGAACGTGGTGGCCGCACCGATGCAGCTTCCCCTACCTCAGTCTCCGCAGCTTTCCTGCGCCTCACCACTGTCAGTTTCGCCAGTTCACTCTCTCCTGCCCACCCCAAATGGAAGCGCACACTCGACGCCACGATGCGGGGGCCCCTACAGCCCCAGCACTTCTCCAATACCCTTGCGGCCGCAGCCTCTCTTCATGAGCCGCAGTGCCGACCAACTTCCTGGTTTACCCAGTTTACCCTTCCCTTCCCTGCTGGCCCGGCGTCCCCAAAGCCAGCAAAGTCCCCAAAGTTGCCAAGGAGCAAAAGGATTCGGGGTTGACAAAGCCCAGCCGCCCTTTCAGGGGCAAGGCTTCGAGGTGCGCGACTTCCCTCTGGGAATGGTGGTCTTCGACCCAGCGAACCCTTCGCTGCGAGCACAGCTCCTAGGAGCCACTTTGTCCTTGTGGAGCAACATATTTTCCTTTTTTAAGGGTACTTAAACACTTACACACAATAAGAAATGGACATCTAAGTTTCTAATCCTATGCCAGCCATGAACGAGGCCATAGGAGCTCCACCCCAGTCGACCTTCGAGTCCATGCGCGGATTCCACGGGGGCATGAACGAAGGCCCTTCGGCAAACCCTCATAATTCCACCCTGCTTCTTTGTGGGGAATGAGGGAATTCGGGCCCTATCTTGCACCCTTTAAAGTTGAAAGGATGAATATAGGGTACCTCAGTCCCTCATTCCTCATATTCCTGCACAGAACCAGCCAGTCATATCATCGTACAGTAGCGGTGGACATGGCTTACTTTTAGCAACTGCACCAGCTTCCCGAAGCTCAGGCATCTGGTTCGTGAAGGGAGGAGGCCAGATTGAGGAAATCTTTCCCAGCTTTTGTAGTTCGCCCTAGACTTCTTGCATCTTGCGCATCAGGTGAGACATTTGTGTTGAAGCTCGTGAAGTTTGATCGGCCCCTCATACGCGAAGCCATGAGAGTCAGAGACCCTAAACCCTAAACCCTAAACCCTACAGTCTCGAGCCGAGGTTTGCCCCTCAGCAATTGGTGGAGGAGCGCATGTTCACGAAGCTCTTTCAGGACTTCGTCCGCGTACTTTTCTTGAGGATCACTAGGTGCTGTGTGCTGTTTTGGGGGCTGTATTCTTGAAGTAGGGGGGGGGGGAATAAGAATACCTCATTTCAGGGTTTGGGGGGGAATACTAACACCTCATTTTAGGGTTTAGGGGGGGAATACTCATACCTCATTTTAGGGTTTGGGGTTGCAGGTGGGGTCAAGGCGGCTGCTGGTTGTCACCGCCACTTTCGGCAGGAGCTCGGACCAAGCATCACTGAAGATCCCAACGTGGCGTTCCCTTTCAAAGTATTTCGGCTATTGGGACCTAACAATGTTCGCAAGCATGCGCCTGGGTTGCACAAGGTTTGGAGGAAGTGACCGATGCTCTGTAGACGTTCAGTGCAGCTTAGGGTTTACAGAAGAGCATGGAACGTATGCTGGCGCCAGCCGTCCTGTGCCGCACAAGGATCTGATTGTGATGAAAAAGGCTCCTGGCAAGTCTTTGGACTTTGTCATCTCGGAGAAGTGGAGGAGGGCTCTTCACGCACATGACCACATGTGACGACCGATTGCAGGGTCCATAAAACGTCGTGTTGCTGGATGGCTCTTCAATGCCCACACTACAATGTTCCTTTGTGTTGCGGGTGTCTTGGACCAGGAGGGGCCGGAAAGCCGATCTCATGCACATCTTCAGGAAAGTTGGCGAGTGCATGGCGAGTTTTCACAGGACTGCCGGGTTGTTTGCCTGACGAAGCTTGGGTGGCTCCATCGAAAGACAGTCAATGTACATCGACAGCGCTTGAGTTCAGGCGCTATGGTGGCCGGCAGCACAACGATGCCGGGACCCAAAACATTTTGTGGGACGAGGACTTGCAGTGACTTGCACTTGCCATGACTCGACCCAACTCTGCATCCTGAACACTTCCATGCCTTGAAATCACGTGCAAATCAGTTTGGGTTGTTATCCCGGTCTCTTCAAAACATTCCGCCCGAGCGATTGCGCAGATTTGACGAGGCAGGAGGCGAGCATCATGAGCATCAGCTGGGTCGTTTTCCCGGTCACATGGCCCGCCAAGCTCCAGACGCTTTTCAAAACATTCCGCCCGAGCGATTGCGCAGATTTGACGAGGCAGGAGGCGAGCATCATGAGCATCAGCTGGGTTGTTTTCCCGGTCACATGGCCCGCCAAGCTCCAGACGCTTTTCAAAATCCACCGCCCGAGTGATTGTGCAGATTTGACGAGGCAGGAGGCGAGCATCATGAGCATCAGCTGGGTTGTTTTCCCGGTCACATGGCCCGCCAAGCTCCAGACGCTTGCAAAACCCACCGCCCGAGTGATTGCGCAGATTTGACGAGGCAGGAGGCGAGCATCATGAGCATCAGCTGGGTTGTTTTCCCGGTCACATGGCCCGCCAAGCTCCAGACGCTTGCAAAACATTCCGCCCGAGTGATTGGGCAGATTTGACGAGGCAGGAGGCGAGCATCATGAGCATCAGCTGGGTTGTTTTCCCGGTCACATGGCCCGCCAAGCTCCAGATGCTTTTCAAAAACCCACCGCCCGAGCGATTGCGCAGATTAGACAGGAGGCGAGCATCATGAGCATCAGCTGGGTTGTTTTCCCGGTCACATGGCCCGCCAAGCTCCAGACGCTTGCAAAACATTCCGCCCGAGTGATTGGGCAGATTTGACGAGGCAGGAGGCGAGCATCATGAGCATCAGCTGGGTTGCTTTCCCGGTCACATGGCCCGCCAAGCTCCAGACGCTTGCAAAACATTCCGCCCGAGTGATTGGGCAGATTTGACGAGGCAGGAGGCGAGCATCATGAGCATCAGCTGGGTTGTTTTCCCGAGGCAAGAGGCGAGCATCATGAGCGTCAGCTGGGTTGTTTTCCCGAGGCAAGAGGCGAGCATCATGAGCATCAGCTGGGTTGTTTTCCCAGTCACCTGGCCCTCAAGCTCCAGACGCTTGCAAAACCCACCGCCCGAGTGATTGCGCAGATTTGACGAGGCAGGAGGCGAGCATCCTGAGCATCAGCTGGGTTGTTTTCCCGGTCACATGGCCCGCCAAGCTCAGACGCTTGCAAAAGCCGCCGCCCGAGTGATTGCGCAGATTTGACGAGGCAGGAGGCGAGCATCATGAGCATCAGCTGGGTTGTTTTCCCGGTCACATGGCCCGCCAAGCTCCAGATGCTTGCAAAACCCACCGCCCGAATGATTGGGCAGATCTGACGAGGCAGGAGGCGAGCATCGTGAGCATCAGCTGGGTTGTTTTCCCGGTCACATGGCCCGCCAAGCTCCAGATGCTTGCAAAACCCACCGCCCGAGTGATTGGGCAGATTTGACGAGGCAGGAGGCGAGCGTCATGAGCATCAGCTGGGTTGTTTTCCCGGTCACATGGCCCGCCAAGCTCCAGACTCTTGCAAAACCCACCGCCTAAGTGACTGCGCAGACTTGACGAGGCAGGAGGCGAGCATCATGAGCATCAGCTGGGTTGTTTTCCCGAGGCAAGAGGCGAGCATCATGAGCGTCAGCTGGGTTGTTTTCCCGAGGCAAGAGGCGAGCATCATGAGCATCAGCTGGGTTGTTTTCCCGGCCACATGGCCCGCCAAGCTCCAGACGCTTGCAAAGCCCACCGCTCGAGTGATTGGGCAGATCTGACGAGGCAGGAGGCGAGCATCATGAGCATCAGCTGGGTTGTTTTCCCGGTCACATGGCCCGCCAAGCTCTGGACGCTTACGAAGCCCACCGCCCGAGTGATTGCGCAGATTTGACGAGGCAGGAGGCGAGCATCATGAGCATCAGCTGGGTTGTTTTCCCGGTCGCATGGCCCGCCAAGCTCCTGACGCTTGCGAAACCCACCGCCCGAGTGATTGGGCAGATTTGGCGAGGCAGGAGTCGAGCATGCAAACCTTACTGCCCCAATGGGGGTGGGCATCACTCTTTTACCGTTGAGGAGACAGAGCATGTGACATTTATCGACCTTGGCTGCATGGGCAACAAGTCTAACAAGACGGACGTGGAGCGCTTCAGCCAGGCCCATGCCTGCAAAACATGAGGGCTTAGGATGCCTCGTAAGGGATGCCTGAGGCCTCTGCTGAAGGCTCTCCCAACATTCGCTTTGTGTAGGTGTGCGACATTGAGTGTAGAGATATGGGACCTATCAGGCTTCTTCAGGCAGGTGCAGGAAGAGTGTTTAAGTTTGGGGACGTGCCCAAATTTTAGAAAGACCTGACCAGTACCTGACCGCTGCCAAGATCGTGACAAATCTGTCGACATGCCCGGCTTATGGACCGGAGCTTGCGGTTCAAGCCTCAGTACGTCCCAACTCCACAAACCTGAACCTTCTGGGATCGGGTCTCTATAGACCCAGGGGCGCGCAGCTTGTTTTTCGCAACTAGCTCAGGCCGCTGTGTCTCAATTCCGAGAAGGCAGGGTCGGTGGGTCGGATGTCTCGGAGCCCACCTACAATGCCCCCTGCGCCTTCGGTGCCCATACCGTCATCCCAGCTCCCCTCGCATGTCTCCCTTTGTCTTACCCAAGCCATGGGCACACATGTCGCACCCCTCCATGACTCATAGCGTCAAGGGCTGCGCCTGGTGGGTTCACTAAGTGTTGATTTAAGTTATACCCTCTTTGTGCTAGTTGCGCAGCGCTGGAGTATGTGCCAGTCGTCGGCTTCTCTCCAAGTGGTGGGAGCTTACAAGGGGGCATGGGGAGTAGCGCTCTGTAGAATGCAGGGAGTGGGATGGAGGGAAGTAGCCCACAATTGGCACAAGGGCTTAGAAGTGGAGTAGAGGGGAAGTGGGGAGGAGGAGTGGATCGGGGGAGCGTCTTCGTCGCCCTGGGTGCACTTAGGCCGTCAGTGTGCGCTCACCTACTCTACCCATCGCAAGAAAAGCATGCTAGTTGTGAGAGGTTTGCGCCCTCAGTCCGCCAGTGGTTCTATGATCCGTTTTGGCACCCTGTGCTGATAGAGTCTAGTGTTGCGCAGGCTACAATCAAGCGATGCAAGCGAAACCGGACGGCGAAGGATCGCGTGATTGCTGAAGCGGCATCCACTGTCTTCAGCGGGAGGTTTGTGTGGCTTGCCTTTGGTGTCTAGCTCATCGGGTAGCTGTGTGGAATGAAATAGCTGGGGCTCTCCAGGGTAGCGTGTCTAGCATCATTTGTCATGTTATGGGTGCCTGCATATCCCTCTCCTTAACTGACGTTTTCAAGGTCAGAGCTTTAAGAAGCGTACTGCTAGCCACTCTCTTAAAAGAGCAGTGGCTGAGCTCTCCAAAACACAGCAAGCGACTCACACGTGGTTGCGATGCTGATCCTATTGCTCCCAAAGGGTTGCACATGGTTGCAGCTTCATTTGATACCCTCGCTGCAGAGGCAGAAGAGGTACCTCTTGGGGTGGTTTTCCCAGGTCTCTGTTGTACAAAACACCCCACACATTGATTGGTTCGGTTGTTGTGTGCTCGGCTTCTTTAGTCACCATGCTGGACCTCGCTGGAAGCTTTGCTCTTCTCATTTTATGGTTCTGATTCGATAATGCTGTCTTGATTATGGCTCTCATCACTCTTTTATTACAGGCACTGGTAGCAAAACGTGTTGAAGGCTGAGATAGCACTACGATCGAAGCAATGACTTCGTGCGGCGGTACTGCGACAGTTTCGAACTGACGGCGAGTGCCCCAACGAAGTTTTTCCTGCTGGCTTCTGGCCGCGGCACTTGGCAAGGGCAGATCAAGCAGTCCTGGGACACGGCTAGTTCCCCGAAGTGTTTGTTTCCGAGGCATAGATTTGTCCTGCCACTGAATGCGTGACAGTTCTCTGCGAAGACAAAGTTCGCAGTTGTAGACTAGAGCCGCACATTGGAAGATGTTGGAAGCTGGAGGAAGTTGGAGAAATTATACAAACATCCGAGAGACTAGGGACAGCAGCATGGCATGCCCGTGCCGGCTTACTTGAGGTGCAAGAGCTGGCCCGAAGCTGGGGTTTGAAGAAGTTCCGTTTGATGCTCAGACTGACCTACAATTGCCTACAATGATCAGTTCTGCCATCATACCATGTGCCAAAGACTTTAGTCAAACTCGAGGGGCCAGCGAAGTCAAATTTTAGCACTCCAAGGCCCGGCGGCCCGCAGAGGCTTGCAGCAAAGGCTCCAGCAATGCCCGGTCACCCAGCTTTTTTAGGCATTGGCACTGTTTGGGCATCGTCTGACGATCCCGTTGTTCAGTGCTTGCTGGCGACCCGATTGCGCGATAGGTGCAGCGGTCAGAGCAAAAAGCAGCAAAAACAACAAACAAAAAAGAAACAAACAAGAGACAAACGAAAACTAGCAAGCAAACAAGCAAGCAAGCAAACAAGCAAGCAAGCAAGCAAGCAACACACAACAACGAGAACACGGAACAGCAAGCCACACACAACAGCAACAAACAGCAAGAAACAGCAACAAGCAGCACCAAGCAGCAACAAACAGCAACAAACAGAGCAACAGCAACTCATCAACAAGCAGCAACAAGCAACAAAGAAGAACAGTGAAGAACCACGAAGGACTACGAACGAACAACGAACCACGAATGACCAACCACGAACCACGAACGACGAGCAGCGAACAGCGAACAGCCGAACAGCAAACAACTACAACGACCACTACCACTGCCATTACCACCACCACCCCCACCACCCTTCTGCTTCTGCTGCTGCTGTGGTGCTCTCCTGACTCTTCCATCCAGGAACCTGAAGCGCGAAAGAATGCGAAAGAAAGTAACCACCCGACCGGTGCAAGCATGTGGCTTTGGGTGTGGAAGAAGTTGGAAGTTGTTAGATCTTAGAACGGGGCTTCGCCGAGGAAGCACGAAAAACTCACCCAGTGCCTTAAGGTCTCGACGGAGCTCATCTTAGATGGACTCACGTGTCAGCGGCTCATGGCCAACAACCCCTGATTGAGTTTAGTTTAGGGTTTAGGGTTTAGGGTTTTAGGGTTTTAGGGTTTTAGGGTTTAGGGTTTAGGGTTTAGGGTTTAGGGTTTAGGGTTTAGGGTTTAGGGACATGCATTGTGGCTCGAGCTGCTGATGCCGAGGTTTGACTGTTCCGCAGAGAGCCTGGGCCCGGTCCACCTGGAGCCTGCATCCTGGCCAGCTCTTGTGGGATGTGGAAGTTGTCAAAATTATATAAGAAGAAGAATGATCATAATAATAACAAATTGAGAACAATGATAATGATAATAATAATCGTAATAGTAATAATAATAGTAATAGTTGTAGTAGTAGTAGTAGTAGTAGTAGTAGTAGTAGTAGTAGTAGTAGTAGTAGTAGTAGTAGTAGTAGTAGTAGTAGTAATAATATAAAAATTATGGCCCCTTTCTGGATCCCTATTATCAATACGGCACCGAACAATTTGGGGGTACCCCAAAAGGGATCATAATCTTGACAGCCACCCATGTGGAAGTTGCAGAAGCAGCAGGGATATCAACGCAGGTAGCCCGAGCCGTTTCAGGCAGAGATCAATCACACCAGATGCAGAACTCCGCTGTAAGATGCCGTAAGTAGCACTCCACGTAATGCAGATTGCATTGGTGCCGTGGATTCATCGAGCATCTAAAAGCAAATTCCATATTGCATGAGCCGCCGACGCGCATGGCGGCAGACGTTGCCGATGAAGGCTCATGTCCAGAGAATCTCAGTTTGTCAGTTTGCTGATGCTCAGTGCATGCTGCGGTTATCCGCAGTTACTGCAGTGCACAGTTCTCCCGGATTTTGGAGGCGTGGTGCACCCGCTTGAGCGGGCCCGATGCTGGTCCGTGGCAAGCATCAGCTGGCTGACTCCCTTGGCACGGAAAGCAGTCAAGGGCGAGCTCCGGGCCCACGATGTTTGGCAAGCACCATCAGGCCGGGGGTATGGGAAAGGACCCCGGAATAAGAGCGGAAATCATTTGCAGCCCCCTCAGAGGCGAGACTGTGGATGCAGCCCTGCATCGCTTCAAGCGCGCTTGGGAGATGGAACAGTTGCTTGGCTTATCGAAGGCAGGTTCCCGCAAAACCTTCTTCATCGTCTCAAGGCCTTGCGCTCGTGTCCCTCGATGCAAAGTAAACAGATCGCATGTTTGCACAGCCAGCTCCAGCGAACAACCCTCCAACGGCTGTGCAGTTCTCATCCTTTCAGCCCTGCTCCCGGGACCTGGGAGCTCAGTTGCTGAGGCAGAAGAAATCGCCATCCGTGGCGAGGGCGATGCTCCGAGCTCACGCATATCGCGTGGTGCACTCCTCGCTCCTGCTTCTGCTCTTCATGAGCTCCTTGGAGAAACGCAGGGAGCCAGAGGTCATAAAAGAAACGTAGGCTTGCTGAGTGTTTTTTTACACCAACCCTGAGGTGCTCAGTTGGCCCAGCCTCTCCTCATCCAGAATCTGATTGAGGAACTCGGCACGCCTGGAGCATGGGAGGGCCTTGGCCTTAGTTTAAAGAAGCACGTGGTACGGTCTTCGCTGCATTCATGCTTTCCGAGGTGCAGGCTGGTTCATGGCTTCATTGATCTTTGCATGTGCGCTAGCATCTTCGCTGCTCATCTCCGAGTACTTTCGGAACTGCTTCGTGTTAGCGGTGCTGTGGAGGAGCCTCCCCAGAAAGAGCGAAACCTTAGTGAGCCTATGTGTTGTTGACCTGGAAGGACCTAAACCCTAAACCCTAAACCCTAAACCCTAAACCCTAAACCCTAAACCCTAAACCCTAAACCCTAAACCCTAAACCCTAAACCCTAAACAATCTTTGAAAGCTGGAAGGACAGCCGCCATGGCTGTGATTTACGAGAAGGCCATCAATATGTCGGTTTTGGCACGGTCCGCTGGATCCACTGGCCAGACCACGAACCTCATGGCTGTCGACTCTGAGCCACTTGGGTTTAGGGCTTAGGGTTTCAGGGTTTAGGGTATAGGGTTAACAAGCAGACCCGGAAGGTCTCTGAACCTGCAACTTGCCGCTCTCAATCATCGTAAAGCCCCCAAGCGACACGTGTGAGGAAGTTCGTGATCGCTGGGCAATGCTTCCATTTTCTATGGATGAGTCCCGTCATGATGCTGCTTTGTGGCGTTGTCATGGCCTTCCGCATAGGTTTTGTGGGCTTTGTCGGTCTGCTCCTGCTCTACATCACAGTCCCCATGCAGCACATCATTGCCAAGCGAGGGGGTCGAGTGCGAGTGAGAGCACTTGCTTTCACTGATGAACGAATGAAGTTTGTCACTGAAGTGGTGCAAGGAATCCGAGTGGCTAAACTTTATGCTTGGGAGGATGCCATTTTCCGCTACGTGTCTTCTACCAGACGACGGGAATGCTCTAAGCTCTCTTTCTCCCTGTTCCTGAAGATTGCCGTGCGCGAGGGCCTTCTCTTGATAGCACCGGCCAGGGTCTCAGCAGAGAGCAACTGAGGGTTCTTCTAAAACCCCACTTTGGGGTTTGGATGTAGGCTTCGGAGACCCCCTCCTCCCCGAAACAAACAGCTTCACAGAGCAAGGTTTGTGGCCTAGGGTTAGAGGAGTAGGGCAGCGGCACTCGAGTACAGAAAGCAACCCCCCAACTACAGTATCGGACCTTTGTCTCCATGCTGGTACCCGAAACTGTGCGTTAAGGAAAATGGACTCAAAGAGAGCCCCCCATTTCCACCTCTCAGGGTTTTCAGGGCTTCTTTGGACTCGCGAAGAAGAGTGACCTAGACGCCAGGCACTCGCATTGGCCCTGATACTGGCGGGGAAGTTGTGGCAGGATGGGGAACTGCAGCTATCACAGGCAATCATGATCTTGGGGCTCTTGAATACTTTGCGATTTCCCATGAACTTGCTCGCCACCTCGTTTGCTGCAACCCAAGATTGCTTGGTCGCCGCGAAGCGGATCTCTGCTTTCCTGCTTCGTGAAGAGAGCCGCCGGCAATCACAACGCCCAGCGAAAGGCACTGACAGCGAGGGCGCGGACCATGCTGCTTCTGCCAACGAGGTCGTATGCTGTTGGGATCCCGCCCTGTCTTTTCGCTTACGCGTGCCGTCTTGTGGCCTGGCACGCGGCAGCCGAGTCGCTATCCTTGGGCCGGTTGGCTCTGGCAAGACATCCTTCCTTTCCATGCTGCTGGGTGAGATGCACTCCCTACAAGGTGCGCCCGACCATCAGCATATAGAGCCCGAGAGACGGAAGGGGGACCATGGGGAGTCGATGGGCAACCCCTGGCACGAGTCGCAACACTTGTTCAGGGTGGCGAGGTTTGCGCATGGAGTGCAAACCTACCCTCTGTCACACACATTCCATGCCCCAAAGGTAGGCAGAGGTTCAGTTGATGGAATTGGTGCTCTCACATCCACTTCTCAATCGCTCCGGGTCTCACTCGTGAACCCAACCCTTCTTGAGGGAAAGGGATGGGCAGTTGTCAAAATTGGAGTCCCTTTTTTTGGAGGAGGGGGGGGTGGGGGCTTATAAAGTGCTAGACCAGGTAGGAACTCCAAAGGGCAACCCGGATCGGGATGGTTGGATGTTCCGCATACGAACAGTCCTTACTAGGGATTCTGGTACCCCCCAATTATCGTCCCCATGAAGGACTGTTCGTATAAAGGGGAACACCTGAGAGGGATGACGGTGGATCCTGAAGCTCCCGCAAGGCAGCAGCTTTCTGGACGGTCGGGTGGCCTACATGGCGCAGGTTCCGTGGATCCAGAACACGAGTCTGCGCGCGAACATCCTGTTTGGGCTTCCCATGGATGAGGACGCCGATCATGGGACCAAAGATGGGTTTTCAATAGTTTTCATGGAACACGATGGTAGGCAGTTTGACATGGAACGATTACGAATATCCGTTGTCACTCTTTGAGCCGTAGACGGCATATGCGATAATTGAGTCATTGAGCAGTCATGAGTAGCCAGTGTAAGAACTTTTCGACGAGTTTGGCGCTCCGCCATTTAGCTTTGCAAATCGGGCTCCAAGGGTGCGACTCGCGAACAGGTGTCATGGCGGCATATTTAACAGGCAGGAGTCATGAGTCCGCCTTGGTGAGGGGAATCAAGGCTTTCACGATTGTGCAGGACATCTATGATCAAGTGCTTGATGCGTCAGCTCTGCAAGCTGATCTGGAGGTGCTGTTGGATGGAGACCTGACCGACATTGGAGAGCGAGGGATCAACCTGTCTGGCGGCCAGAAAGCTCGCGTGGGGCTTGCGCGCTGCCTTTATGCAGCTGCAACAGGGAACGCCGATGTCGTCATTTTAGACTCGCCCTTCGCCGCATTGGATATGCTTACGGCGCAGACGGTCGTTGAGGGCCTGACGCGCATGACCAGCGGCTGCACCTTGGTGTGTGCCATGTCCTCCCACACCCACCTGCTGGGAAACTTCGAGAGGATTCTGATCATGAGCGAGGGTGTTCTGGTTGCAGATGGACCCCTGGAAGAGCTGCAAAAGCAAGTCGGGAGTATCTCCTACGTGGAAAAGGTGAACAAGGTGGACAAGGTGGACAAGGTACCGGCACAGACCAAGCCGGTTGAAACACCCAAGTCCCCGGCACATGTCTCCCCAGCATCTCGGCGTTTGATGCGGGCAGACATGGGTGCAAAGACTTTTCCATTCACTGCTCTGGGAAAATGGCTGGGAGGGCCTGGCCATCCAGTGCAGGGATTCCTGATTGGTGTGCCCATCTGCATCATCTTCCTGTCAGGACAGGGTTGCAGGGTCCTGTCTGATGTCAGCCTGACGCAGTGGGCAGCTGGTGAGACGGACTTTGCCACCCCTCTCGTCTTGCTTTGTGTTCCTTTGTCATAGTTGGGTAACATTTTTTTCATTTTTAAGGGTACTTAAACCCAATAAGGAATAACAGATTGAATTGCAATATTATCCCAACCATGAACTAGGTTCTGGTGGTGCTCCTGATCCTGCGGATATGTTTGTGCGCACTGGCGAATTTCCGTGCCGCGCGGCTTCTGCACAATGCAATGTTCTGGCGGCTCCTTCGAGCACCCGTCACGACCTATTTTGACGTGGTGACCAGTGGGGAAATCTGCAACAAATTTTCTAAGGATCTTGAGTTTGCAGATGTTCAACTACCTGAGCTCTTGACGCAGTTCCTCTCAAACGCCGCGCAGCTGGTGATCATTTTCGGGTTAACCGTCTTTGCTCTGCCCTGGTTTGCCATTGTTCTGTGCCTCTTGTCCCTGGTGTTCGTGGTCGTTGCAGCTCGGTCGGGATATCTCTTACGTGCTCTGCAGAGATTCGAGAGCTCTACCAAGTCCCCAATTTACACATCCTTTTCTGAGACGTTGTCGGGTATCCAGACGATCCGGGCGTGGGGCCGCCAGGAGCGCTTCTACGCGGCACACATGCAACTCATGCGACACAACCTGCGGTTCTTCCATGCAGTCAGCATGTCCGAGATTTGGCTTCAGTTCAGGCTGGAGTTGCTGACCGTGGGGATTATTGGAAGCTTCAGCTTCCTTTCTGTGGCTTTGCGAAGCTCTGTGGATGCCAGCGCAGTGGGCCTGGCACTTGTCTACGCCATACAGATGACAGCCATGTTTCAGCGATGCACGAAGCTTGCAATCCTCATCGGGCAGATGCTGACCGCTTGCGAGCGTGTGTTGAGCTTCGAGAAGATCCCGCAAGAGCCGGAACACGCAAACCTGGAGGACCTCAAGCTGCAACAGAGCCAACAGTGGCCCCAGGGATCCATCTCTTTCGAAAATGCCGCTTGGGGGGCAAAACTGACGGTCCGTGAAAAAGGGCATCATTCTGAATCATTCTGCCTTCTAGAGTTTCACTTTAAGCATCCTGCGAGGTTTCCGTGCAGTACCGAGATGGCGACCTCGTGCTCAAGGAGGTTTCCTTCAGCGTGGCTGCCGGAACCCGGGTTCCTCGGACTGAAAACCTTACACTGTTAGCCCGAACACCGACATCTTCTACCTACCGCACTGATTGGGCTTCACAAGCACATCAGTGTGCCAGCAACACTTATCACAGCTCTGTGAGTGATTGCCTGGTTGTGAGATGGAACCCGAAATAGACCCCTAAATTGCAAAGGTGGGGGTTTGCGGGCGAAGTGGCGCTGGCAAGTCCAGCCTAATCATGGCGCTGTTTCGCGTGGTTGCAGCTCGACTTTGATTCGGAAATTCATGCTGCTTGCTGAGTGTGTTGAACTTTATGATATTCGTATATCGCATTTCAGTTTTGAATTTTGTATTATTCTGATACTCTGCTATTTCAAGATTAGAGTATCAGAATATAAATGTTCTTCATATTGTAATATTGTACTAGACTATAGTAGTATAACAATATTACAACTTTCTAGTACTTTCTAGTATGTTAATGTTCTAATATTCTAATCGTGTAATATTAGAATATTAGAATATTATAGTACTCTAACCTTCTAAAGTTTAACATGACGTTTAAATTGTATTTTCAGTTTATAAGTATTGTCTTGTTGTATTGTCATGTTATAGTATTTTGTTGCTGTATTAGTATGGTCTTGTCTTAGTTTGCATGTTATTCCATTGTCCTATTTTCTTTTGTTATACTACTTTTCTAACATTCTTATAGTATGATTTTGCTAGATTCTCATAATCTTCGACTACTATATTCCATATGTTATATAGACCAACTTTCATGAGGACCACAGACCCGATCGCACCGTCAGGACCCGGTCGCTGGCAGCATCACGATCGACGGCGTTGACATCACCACGGTCGGCTTGCATACGCTGCGCCAGAACCTGGCGATCATCCCGCAGGATCGTGCCTTGTTGAACCAAGAATGCCTGACGTCAGTGAAATTACTAAACCGCCACGCCCTTAGCATCCTCGAAGCGCGTTGATCATCGCTGAAATCTCACGCTAAACCCTAAACCCTAAACCCTAGAATCCTCAAGCAGAACATGACAGGAGTCCATCGTTTTCAGTGGCTCGCTGCGCTCCAACCTGGATCCGTTTCGGCGCCTGTCAGACGATGCCAAGCTCATGGAAGTCCTGGAACAAGTAGGCCTACACAGTGCCTAGAAGCAATATATATAAATACGTTTGTGCAATTTTGGCTTCAAAGTTCTGATTCTGCGACAGCTTCTAACACTGCCCTCAGAAGTAGGTGTTGGTACACCTTGTTGCTCTGATGGCTTCCATCACGAAGCGCCGGCAGTCAAGGTTTGGTGAAAGATGCTGGTTTGGAGATGAAGATCGCCGAGCAGGGTGGCAATCTCTCCCAGGCAAAGTTGATCTCACACAGCATGAGCAACGCATGGCGAAACATAGTTTGTTGCTTTGCCTTTTTAATCGTTCGTGCTGTGAGGGGCAACGGCAGCTACTTTGCATTGCCAGAGCACCCCGGCTGCTTACGAAGATGACCCTGTCCATCGACGCTTGGCTGACTTGCGGAGGGCGTCAGACGTGCTGAGGCCTTTGTCCGGGAGAACCGTATCATGATCCTAGACGAAGCCACTTCGTCTGTGGAGCCTTGACTGGATCAGAGAAGGCTCCGAAGCCTGTTCTTCGTTCCTTGTCCCCTTTTCGCCAGGATGAGCAAACTGACAGCCTGATCAAGAGCGTGCTTCAAGCGCACTGGTCCAAAGGCAACAGGGAAGAGGATCGAACTGTAGAGCGAGGGCATGTCAGGGCTCCCGTTTTCTTGTTACTGGAGGCCATCAAAAGTGCACTGTCCTCACAGTCGCCCACCGCTTGAGCACCATCCTGGACTATGACAGGACAGGAAGCTGACAGTACATGTGTCCGGCGTGGCTTTGATGTGACTATGTGCGAATGCGTAAGGATCTTGGTGCTCAGCAAAGGGGAAGTCGTTGAGTTTGATGCTCCCGCCAAGCTGCTCTCGCGGCCCGGAGGTCACTTTGCCAAAATGGCGCGGCTCACCTCAGATAACCTAGTGCTCGTGCATTCATGTCTTCCTTCTTAACTTGTTGGTATCGTTTTGCTGCGTTTAGAGATGTGCTCAGCCAAGGAAGGAGACCGTGCTTGAGAAGACCAAAGCCTCCTTATAGCCCCAGATGCCTTCCTTTATATCCCACCTGGGGCTGTGTTTCTCGAAAGGAGGCCCATAGAGCTTCTGGCGCTACCAGATTACTAGATCGCACACGCGTGCGGTTCTCTTCGCATAGAGGTTGAAGAAGCGCCTGCGAAAACGAGGAATACCCTCCAGCAGGCAATCTTCGACAGTAAACCGGATGTGTGTCGTGCCGCATAGTTGCTTGACGCGAAGGTGTGCTTCATTTGCCGCGAGAAACGCCTTCGTGGACTACATGATATGCGTAGCATGCATACCTCCACAACGTAGAAGTATACATAAATGCACTTCCACATCCTTGCACCATCTACATAGCTATCTGCATCCTTATCATTCCTCTCTCTCTCTCTCGCGCTCCCTTGTCGTGTTCGCACTGTAAAAATTGCGATGTTTTTTTTGGCGTGTTGGAGCTCGTGGAGCCGAGGCTGGGTGCTGGTGGTGGTGAGTGGGTGGGGCTCCCAGCGCCTGGAGATCGCGTCTGCGCGCTTGCCAGGATGGGCTATTGCACCCTATAATCCCTTAAAAAGGCCCTTTATAGGGTTCATTGTGGGGGATTTTAAGGCCTAATAGATCCTAATAGCCCATCCTGGTGCGTCGGGCCCTTCAAGGAGTGACGGGTGGTGATGGTCAGGTTGCTGCGCAGGCTGCCCACGACAGCCACGTTAAATGGGCCGGCCTCCCTTGCATTGGCTGGTGTCCTGAGCAGCTCAGCTTTTTTAGCCCAACTTGATTTCGACCTTTCCGGCCAGGTCGCCCTGGAGATCATGCGCGATCGAGCAGTGGCCCTGTGGCACAACAACACCACGCCTTCTTCTGCAGGCGAGTTGAAGATGCGTGTTGCACCCGTGGCTGAGGCGCACAGCATTCTGGAGAAAGCCGCATTCCAGGCATGCGCCTGAGAGGTATTGCGCGATGCTCAACGCCTGAGCAGCAACGCGCAAGGACCTTCGCAACATTTGCATCATTTGCGGTGAAGCTGCCCGGACGTTGGAGCACAGCACCTGGTTGTGTGTGATGCAGAAGCTTCATGTGTGAGTCTTCTGTATATTTGGCACAGGTCACTTGTTCCAAGCAACTCCGTCTCCCACATCTTCATCAATTTCCCTGAGCCGTTGCGGGCTCAAAGCCCGCAAGACCGCCACGGGTGGAGTCCTTAGGAGTCCTGTGCAACTCTGGGACACTCTGAGGCCTTTCGTGTCCGGCGACGAGGCGGCAGAGCACGGACTCCTAGCTGCTCAGCCCTTCAGGTCCCACAGCTTCCTCACTGGCAGTCCAAGCTGAGGTCGAGCTTTCACATGATGACAGATGAGCTGTTCATAGAGTCTGCACCACAGCTGCTTGTTGAACAGCTTTTTCAACGACATTTCTTATATGCTTCATTCTAGGTCTGTCTTGCAGTCGTTACACATGGAAGTGAGTGAGGATGCATCGCATCCTGCAGAGTGGATGCCGCATCACCATCCTTTCAGACAACGCAAGGCAGGCACAACCCTCGCATAACACTTCCACACGCACCAGTCGTGCACTTACAGAACCTACAGAACCCAAGAGGTATATGCGGACGCTTGCAAAGACAGCCCAGCACCCAGCTCGTGACGTCTGGCGACTGCTGATCCATGTCTGATCGGCTCGTCACTGCGCACAAGTCAGGTTGCCGGCGGGGGCCTCGCCTCCGAGAAGCATCGATGAAACCGAAACTTTGGAAGAACAGACGAGCCGCTGTTGCTGGTGTACGGTTGTGGCCTATCTACCATTTGCCTAAGAAGCCCCCAAAAAATAATAATAATCCCCATATGACCATTAATAAGGAAGAATATTTCTATTTTTTGGGGGGTTCTTAAGCAACTAGTAGTTATGCAGCAGCTGAAGGCCTCTCTTCGGCTGGGAAGGCCCACTTCACCTCCGCGCTCGCCTTGGGCTTCCTGGGCTCTGAAGCCGCCACTCATGGCACGTCACTGCACGCCCGTCGGAATGACGCTGTTTCCCGTGCGGCTTCAGGCTGGTTTAGACGACCTCTGTTTTGGGTGTGGTGGGGAGCTTCAAACGATACCCGGTTTTGAAGAACCCTCTCGTGATGCTTCCGCAAGTCGACGAGTTATGTCGACCACCACGAAGTCTGCGCACACCCAGTCTCTGAGATCCGGACAAGTTGTGCTTCATTCATAGGGTCGTAGGGTGTTTGAGTCAGATTTTGTTTAATGGGGCCTGCAATGGGGCTTTTGAGGGTTCAAGGATTATTTAGCATGTTCCTTGAGCTCCCAGGCACGTACTGGCTCTTGAAGTGCAACACCCAGAAACTCTTCCCGCAATTGAACTACATCTTCCGTTCATGTTGGAGCGGAAACCTGACTTGAGAATTGTGAACCCAAGACTGCAAAAGAACCTTATTCTGTTGAGAAAATTCAGAGGCCACTCCGAAGATTCTGTGGGGAAGCGGTGAATGTCCGGAACATGAGACTGTTCATGGAGTGTGGCTCTTAACATGTCTTGGCCGGGCTGCTTGTAGCGTTAGCCCAGCACGCTCCGCGGCGCTCCGTTCCCAGGTGGAGCTGTACCAGGGTTGGCCGACAGCTGTGTGTGGCCATGCGGCGCGTGACTCAGGATCGCTCAATGCGCAGTCCTCTGGCACTTTAATTAGCACTTAAAGTGTGCTCACAACCCCAAACCCTAAGGTCAAAGCTAGCTCTTACTTCGACACACTCTGGGCAATGGGCAAGCGTGTGGATCGATTTTACATGGTGCTGCACCGGCCTCGGTGCACCCTTTCCCGCATTCCCACGCTGGATCTATGCGTTTCTATGCCTTCTCAACGAGTCGGGGCATATGCGGTGGCAGGCAGAGAGCGCCACTTCAAGCCGCCGGAAGCGCCGAAGGCGTCACCGTGAACAGAGCTCAATGTACGGGTTCCCTGTGGCTTCATTCGGCTTCATACTCGCAGGATTTTGAAGAGACGGTTGCACTTTTCAATGCAGAACTAAGATGCGCTGAATTCGTGCTGGGCAATGAGATCTTTTCAGCCTGTGTAGGTTGTGTGATGTTGACCGAATCTAGCTTGTTGAATGTCGTTCGACGCCGAGAAAGCTGACCACTTTTGGGGCTACCAGAATGTTTGGTGCTTCAGAGTCCGAAAGTCAGTTTCCTTGGTGAAGTGTTTTTTTGAGGCGTCTCGGCATTCCTGCAGGTGCATCCGAAGCTTCAAAGTCAAGTGGCCGCCGGCTCAGACTTAGACTCAAACCCCAAAGGCATATCAGGTTTGGGACATAGGAGTTCCATGTACACTCCCTTAACGGGCTAAGCGTTCTGTAGGGGGGATAAAAGGTACAACGCTCCGCTATGCTTTGGTGAGACGCTTGCCTTTCCCAAGGTGCTCCGAAGAGAACAGGCAAAGGGCGCCTTACAGGAAGGCCACGCGAAAAAAGAGGTTCCGGGCTTGATTAGGGTTTAACCAGTTTAGCCCCTAATTAATTAAGCGAGACGCTTGCAAAACCCACCGCCCGAGTTAGTGCGTAGATTTGAGGAGGCAGGAGGCGAGCATCATGAGCATCAGCTGGGTTGTTTTCCCGCTCACATGGCCTGCCAAGCTCCCGACGCTTGCAAAACCCACCGCCCGAGTGATTGCGCAGATTTGAGGAGGCAGGAGGCGAGCATCATGAGCATCAGCTGGATTGTTTTCCCGCTCACATGGCCTGCCAAGCTCCAGACGCTTGCAAAACCCACCGCCCGAGTGAGTGCGCAGACTTGAGGAGGCAGGAGGCGAGCATCATGAGCATCAGCTGGGTTGTTTTCCCGCTCACATGGCCTGCCAAGCTCCAGACGCTTGCAAAACCCACCGCCCGAGTAATTGCGCAGATTTGAGGAGGCAGGAGGCGAGCATCATGAGCATCAGCTGGGTTGTTTTCCCGCTCACATGGCCTGCCAAGCTCCATATGCTTGCAAAACCCACCGCCCGAGTGATTGCGCAGATTTGAGGAAGCAGGAGGCGAGCATCATGAGCATCAGCTGGGATGTTTTCCCGCTCACATGGCCTGCCAGGCTCCAGACGCTTGCAAAACCCACCGCCCGAGTGTTGAGGAGGCAGGAGGCGAGCATCATGAGCATCAGCTGGGTTGTTTTCCCGCTCACATGGCCTGCCAAGCTCCAGACGCTTGCAAAACCCACCGCCCGAGCAATTGCGCAGATTTGAGGAGGCAGGAGGCGAGCATCATGAGCATCAGCTGGGTTGTTTTCCCGCTCACATGGCCTGCCAAGCTCCAGACGCTTGCAAAACCCACCGCCCGAGCGATTGCGCAGATTTGAGGAGGCAGGAGGCGAGCATCATGAGCATCAGCTGGGCTGTTTTCCCGCTCACATGGCCTGCCAAGCTCCAGACGCTTGCAAAACCCACCGCCCGAGCGATTGCGCAGATTTGAGGAGGCAGGAGGCGAGCATCATGAGCATCAGCTGGGTTGTTTTCCCGCTCACATGGCCTGCCAAGCTCCATATGCTTGCAAAACCCACCGCCCGAGAGATTGCCCAGATTTGAGGAGGCAGGAGGCGAGCATCATGAGCATCATCTGGGTTGTTTTCCCGCTCACATGGCCTGCCAAGCTCCAGACGCTTGCAAAACCCACCGCCCGAGTGATTGCGCAGATTTGAGGAGGCAGGAGGCGAGCATCATGAGCATCAGCTGGGTTGTTTTCCCGCTCACATGGCCTGCCAAGCTCCATATGCTTGCAAAACCCACCGCCCGAGAGATTGCCCAGATTTGAGGAGGCAGGAGGCGAGCATCATGAGCATCATCTGGGTTGTTTTCCCGCTCACATGGCCTGCCAAGCTCCAGACGCTTGCAAAACCCACCGCCCGAGTGATTGCGCAGATTTGAGGAGGCAGGAGGCGAGCATCATGAGCATCAGCTGGCTTGTTTTCCCGCTCACATGGCCTGCCAAGTTCCAGACGCTTGCAAAACCCACCGCCCGAGTGATTGCTCAGATTTGAGGAGGCAGGAGGCGAGCATCATGAGCATCAGCTGGGTTGCTTTCCCGCTCACATGGCCTGCCAAGCTCCAGACGCCTGCAAAACCCACCGGCCGAGTGATTGCACAGATTTGAGGAGGCAGGAGGCGAGCATCATGAGCATCAGCTGGGTTGTTTTCCCACTCACATGGCCCCGAAGCTCCAGACGCTTGCAAAACCCACCGCCCGAGTGATTGCGCAAATTTGAGGAGGCAGGAGGCGAGCATCATGAGCATCAGCTGGGTTGTTTTCCGGCTCACATGGCCTGCCAAGCTCCAGACGCTTGCAAAACCCACCGCCCGAGTGAGTGCGCAGACTTGAGGAGGCAGGAGGCGAGCATCATGAGCATCAGCTCGGTTGTTTTCCCGCTCACATGGCCTGCCAAGCTCCAGACGCTTGCAAAACCCACCGGCCGAGTGATTCTGCAGATTTGAGGAGGCAGGAGGCGAGCATCATGAGCATCAGCTGGGTTGTTTTCCCGCTCACATGGCCTGCCAAGCCCCAGACGCTTGCAAAACCCACCGCCCGAGTGATCGCGCAAATTTGAGGGGGCAGGAGGCGAGCATCATGAGCATCAGCTGGGTTGTTTGCCCGCTCACATGGCCTGCCAAGCTCCAGACGCTTGCAAAACCCACCGCCCGAGTGAGTGCGCAGATTTGAGGAGGCGGGAGGCGAGCATCATGAGCGTCATCTGGGTTGTTTTCCCGCTCACGTGGCCTAAGCTCCAGACGCTTGCAAAACCCACCGCACGAGTGATTGCGCAGATTTGAGGAGGCAGGAGGCGAGCAGCATGAGCATCAGCTCGGTTGTTTTCCCGCTCACATGGCCCCTAAGCTCCAGACGCTTGCAAAACCCACCGCCCGAGTGATTGCGCAGATTTGAGGAGGCAGGAGGCGAGCATCATGAGCATCAGCTGCGTTGTTTTCCCGCTCACATGGCCCCTAATGCCCGAGTGATTGCGCGGATTTTAGTATGGGTTGTTTTCCCGCTCGCATGGCCCCCTTGCAAAACCCACCGCCCGAGTGATTGCGCAGATTTGGGGAGGCAGGAGGCGAGCATCATGAGCATCAGCTGGGTTGTTTTCCTGCTCACATGGCCCCCTAAGCTCCAGTGATGGCGCAGATTTGAGGAGGCAGGAGGCGAGCATCATGAGCATCAGCTGGGTTGTTTTTTCGCTGACATGGCCCCATAAGCTCCAGACGCTTGCAAAACCCACCGCACGAGTGATTGCGCAGATTTGAGGAGGCAGGAGGCGAGCAGCATGAGCATCAGCTGGGTTGTTTTCCCGCTCACATGGCCCCCTAAGCTCCAGACGCTTGCAAAACTCACCGCCCGAGAGATTGCCCAGATTTGACGAGGCAGGAGGCGAGCATCGTGAGCATCAGCTGGGTTGCTTTCCCGGAGCTCCAGACACTTGCAAAACCCACCGCCTGAGTGATTGCGCTGACTTGGCGAGGAGGGAGGCGAGCATCATCCGATAAGATTGAATCTCAATGGGAGCTTTTTGCTGGTTTTGGGGCCTGTGCCCGCTGGAGCCTTTTTTTGAGCAGTTTTCGGTGGCTGCCCGGGAGCCCAGTTTTGGAGACTGATGCTCCTGATGCGTTCGGGCCCGTAGCCGGCGTTGGGTTTGCCCAGCCGGGCGACGTATTCCAGAGAAGGTAACTGCACACAAACTACCGTTACCGTTTGGGAGCCCTGAAATGGCCTCCCCTTGAACCATGAAAGCCCTGTTCGCTTACTTGCTGTCCCTTTCGGGGCAGATCCATCCCGGAATTATGTAGAGGGTTCCAATGGTTCACTTACTTGCTTGAAAGGAACAGCTCGCACCTTGTGGTAACTCCATCCAAAGACACGTGGAAGTTTCAAGGCCTTGGCTTGCAGCATTGCTGGATTCCCACTGTCACCATGCATCTATACCGTTTCGCAGTTTTTTGGCTGCAGGCCACACGAATCAGCTTTCCTACTGAAACGCAGCTCCTGCAAAAGTAGCATCGCCCGAACTAGTCGCAAAGCTACAAAGCATGGTAGCCGAAATTGCACATCGCGCAAAGCAGTAGTCTTTTGGACTGTTCTTGGCCTCCATTCTGAGCAAGAGGCCTAAACACAACGGCACATGTGCAAGAACTCCCCACAACTCGTGTTTTCTCTGAGGTCATGTCGGCCTCGGCTGCTGAAGAGCACCGCCCCCACATGTTTTGTCTTCGTGGGATCCTGCAATGGCACTGTTCATATTAGGGTTAGGGTTTAGGGTTTAGGGTTTAGGGTTTAGGGTTTAGGGTTTAGGGTTTAGGGTTTAGGGTTTAGGGTTTAGGGTTTAGGGTTTAGGGTTTAGGGTTTAGGGTTTAGGGTTTAGGGTCATATTGTTCGCCGCGGAGTTCTGGCTGGCATGTGGATAGAAGCTTGTGAGGCGCGTCTGCTTATTTCAGGTTGGTCAAGAAGGCCGAGCAGAAGATGAAAGGAGGCGTGTTGCCAAGCTTACAGGGCAGCCAAGATGTCGGCGTCATGCAGGTTGAGAAGATCTGTGAAGTGTGAGGTGGCGGTCTCTGGGGCTATCTCTCCGGTGGGCCCAAGTATGATGAGGCGCGTACCCTGGCATGACTTGCGAAGAGGATGGGTCCTGCAGCCGTTCGAAAGGCTATCGAGATCTATCAGCAAGCAGCTAACCAGTACAAGATGGCCAAGATGTGGCAGGAGGCCAGTGCCGATCAGCACAAAGGAGGAATTTCCATGCACCATTGCCCATGGCCGTGTGATAAAATGTATTGCCTGTAAATTTCGCAACATTTTTTACAAGACTAAATATTTTGCAAATCGGTCGGAGAATTCTGAGTGACCGTTCAAGAAGCCTTGGGCATGCCGAGGCTGGGAGCTGCTTCGTGCAGTGCGCCTTCTGCGCAGAGAAGTCGGGCTCGCAATCCGATCAGGCGCCAGGGCTTCAACACACTTTGGAGCTTGAAGTGTTTAGGGTTATGGGGTGAGGGGGAGGGGGGGGGGGGGCTTCCAAGGTTTGTATGAAATAGGCTGTCAGTTATAAAACGGACTCCAGGGTGTAAAGGATGTATGTGGGGTTCAAGATGGTGCCACACTGTCGGGCTGCAACATCCTGCGAAGCCTCGAACAACGTGTCTTGTCTGTGGGGGACGATGAGTCGGACAATTTCCGTAAATTCAGTGTTTCCTAGGATGCGTACTATAAATGTCGCGTGCCATTTATGTGCTCAAAATGGGAGCCTAACTTGGGGATCTGGGCATGTGCGCTCACAGGCCAACTACCTCTCCGAAGCTGGAAATGTGCGACACTTGGCATTGGCCCGCTGGTTGGGCATTCTTTTCTGATAAGTCGTTAGGAGAAGGAACCATGCCTGCATTTGAGAAGGACATGGGGTTGCTACCTTCCCAGGTGCTGAAAAAGGTTTCCACACAACTTGCCGTCGAACAACTGGAGCAGGTGAGGGCCTCGTGCAGTGAGCAGTTCTCGGGTTCGTGGCCATGTATTGCACAGGCTGTCAGCATATACAGCGCGGGCGGCCGATTCCAGCAGGTCGTTTGCAGAATGTGTCATTACGAGACGCGCCGCGACAGTGCAAGTTCTCAAGGACAGGATTTTAGGACGTGATTGGGGCAGGCTGGCAAGCTGCTTTTGTCCGTTGCCGAGCTCTATGAGGCCAGGTATGCTTGCTGTTCTTGATGACTTGGTGGACCGACAGTGCAACATCCCTTCGACCACAGAAACCACGGGCCATATTTGCGAACAGCAATGGTTGCAATTTGTAAACTTGCATGGGGTTCGAGGCGGAGCGCTTGCAGCACAAGGAGTGTAAGGCGCGTTCGGCTTCGTTTGATTCTGTGTCAGATTCTGATTAGAAACTTAGTAACACCCCCCCCCCCCCCCCCCTAATATCTAAAGAACATGTTTTCTTTGGGCCCGGATCCCGGACCAAGACTACTTTTGGAAGGGCCAGGCCCAAGACTACAAGCAAGGAAACTTACGTCCCCAAACCGTCCCGGACCGCCCGCAATTGAATGAAGCAAAACTTGCAAGGCCTAAAAAGTGGGGTTCATTATGTTGTGTGTTAATGTTTAAGGGTTTAGGGTTTTGGGGTTGAAGTGTCGTGCACTGAGCTGGGGCCTGAGGCCTGCAGCCTAGAGAAACAATTTGAGCTTGCAACCTGACACTGTGGATTCGTTGCAAGATTGATTATAAGAAAATTTCTCAAATCATTCCCTTGAGCTGCTTCAAATCTGTCAGGGCCATCCAGATTAACAAAGCCACCCACAATCATAGCAAGTTCCGGGGCCCAGCCCGGCTTTAAGGCGTACTCCTCCTCATACTCCTACTCTACTCCTACTGTAGGCTCCTACTCCTACTGTGGCCGTTTGGGGAGGGGTGCCGTATGATTCTGCATGGCGTCCCGTCTTAATTCTGAGGGACCCCGCTGAATCAGAAGCACATGATCCGCCCGAGCATGACTGGTGACGGAGAGGCTTTTTACAAACGGGCCGCTGAAATGTTTGAGCTTGCGGACCACTCCGAGTCGAACTTCTCGAAGTCCGTGCCCCAGTCTTCTCCGTTGGCTCGAGATTCGGAATGAGGCTCATGTGCATTGGTCTCGTGGGAATGTCCCTCGTTATATAGATGCGTAGATTCAGGGTCGTGAAAGATTTTGCAAGGAAGTTCTTCTGCAGCTAATGTTGAACTACGGCCCCTATTGCACGTACCGTGTATGGTAGGGTTTCTCCATCGCCCGTTCTCGCCCTGTCTCAAGGCCTTGAAACCTAAAGTTGTCATGGGAAAGCGTACGATCTCAGGGCGTTTGTTCCTCGATGTTCATCATTGGTGCCATTTGTTCACACGTTGGAAGCCTCTGTCTTTGTTCATGTATGCTGGAGAGAGGCTTAGAGATGCATTTCCGGTTTGGACGTTCCCTCCTGCAAAGGTGCAACCTCAAGTATGCCGAGTTTGCCGCTAAGGTCGCGGGAGCCATCTCTCTAAGAGTAGCTTCGAAGCAACAGCAGACGGGATGGAGCTGCGAAGGTTTAGCCAAATACATCCTAAACCGTCAACTCTAAATGCTAAACTGCAAAAGCCTATACCCTGCAACCCCATGCCCTACACAATAGACTGCTACACAACTCCCTTCATCACAAGGCACTATAGAGCCTCCCAAAGCGCAGGACGGCGAGCTGGAGGAAGCCATCCGAATATTCGAAGCTGAGGGCCCCTTCCTTGGGGCACACTCCCGGTTGAAGGGCTTTGGGAGCTTTAGGAGCTTTAGGAGTTGTAGACACAGGAGTTGCAGGGGGCTTAAAGATGCTTAAAGAGACTTGAAGGGCTTTGGGGCTTAGAATGGTCTGCGTTGTATAAGGCTTTCTGAGTGTCTTATGGATTTTGGGTGAGGGGCGCCAAAAAGCTTGTAAGTTTCTAAGGGCTTAGGGCTTAGGGTTGAAACGCTACGCCTTGGGTCAAGGTGAGAAGGCTCTCGGGAAAACGCTGCTTCAGTTCGGAGCCAAGGACCTGCTGCTTGCGGTCGTTGATCCTTTTCGCATGTTGAGGGGTGCTCAGCGCAGTCTCAGCGCATTCTCTTCTCTACAATCAAAAGCGCTAGCTGAGCTCAGCTGCTTGCCACTCACAAGCGCACATGAGAACGACGGGAACACAACGGTACCCACGCAGGTTGACAGGAATACAGGAAGTGGTTTGTAAATTTAAGGCATCTGCTCGCTGGAAAGGAGCACTTCCTGAACGCTGGCATTCTTCACCTCGTAGGCGTGGTTGCAGTACTGTTTCAGTTGAGACTTCCGGACACCTTTGCAAGTGCTGCAAGGCACTGACTGGTATCCCACGTTGTGGCATCATTGACGTAGTTAGGGCTTGGCTCGAGTTGACGTCTACAGGCACCCGCTGCTCCATTTGTCGCCCCCTCGCCTTGCCCCCCCCCGCACCGCCGAACATTTCCTCACGCTGTCACCTGGCAATGAACTATTCACAACACTGTTTGCGTCTATTGTGTTTCCATCATGCGAGGATGACGTCGTCCGTTGGTTCGCCTGTTGTCTCGCGTCGTCGACCGAACCCTCAGGCCCTCTCCAGAATCCCAATTCCCAAACGTGAGAGAATGATGCGAGTTCCCGCAGGCGGAGCAGCCAGAAACCGTGGCATATGATACCAAAGGTCGTTGGACGTACAACAGCAGCAACGTGTGCCGCCTGGGGATCCTTGGGGAGCAAGCTATGGGGGCTGGGGTTAATCAAACCTGTGGGTTTGTTTTGCCTGCTCTGCTGTAAGACATTTATTTCACTGCAAGCTCCTTGCAAGACAGCTGAAGCAGCTGCGGCATGCTTTGCTGCAGGTGGTGACAGCGTGACCGTCAACTTGGCCCTGGACAAGTACAGGTGCGCTGTGGCAAATTGAGATCGTTAAGAGCTGGGCACGCTTGCTGAACGCCCGAAACACCTGTGACTGCGCAGATGCCTGGAAGGTCTCTGGATCCTCGTTTCGCTAGCTCCAGAGAAGGACCCGAGGGTAACTTCAGAGGGTTCAGGGCACCCAACTGCAACTCCAGGAGAGCTGCTGGGCAATCTTGCTCAGGCCTTTGAGGGCCCGATCCCCAGCAACCGCTCTCCTAGCCCTGGTGTTACTCAGTTCCCTTGCCCGCCAAGATGGTGACGTGGATGCCTTTGTCGAGAAGCTCGGTGACTTTGATGATGGGAGCCCAGTCGTGCAAGAACGCTGGGGGTCGGTGCATGCATGAACATGGATTAATATTTGAGTACACATGAATTAGTATTTAATTAACATTTAACTCTTTGCGGTTCATGGCTTAAGGCAATCAAGCCGCTGGACGCTTGGAAGACGGAGTTCCTGGTGAAGGTTGGCTGACCTTCAAACTGAAGTGAAGCGTGGAGAGAAAACGCGTTTTTGCTGCAGGTGAAGGAGCATCTGCAGCCTGCCAATGCACATGCCACGGAGGCCATGTGGGCACCCTTAATACCAAAGCCTAAGCCCCAAGCTCCTGCTGCCAAGGCGGTGGACCTCTCCTGAGACACCTGCCCCAGCTCGGAGTGCCGGTAGCGGCTGTGCAGAGTGCCATCGGCTTTGATCGGTTTCACCGCCACACACCTGACCAACACCAAGACATCAAAAGTCCCAGCTGACAGGCATAACAGGGCTGATTGAAATCTCAGACCTCAAGCGCTGCTCTGAAAGGGGCCCGGGATCCTGATCACAGCAGATGCAGCCGGTTCGCCCCACACGAGCGCATTCCACACACAAAGACATTGAAGCAGCAACCACGATGGCATCTCCGGACAGCATAGGGCAAGGATGCAAGGATGCATACAGCGGGTGTCGGCACATTCCTTTGTACCAAGGGCAGGTCCTGCCCTTGAATGGCGCACGGGGAGTGCCAATCGCAGCTCATACAACGGCGCCATGTGGCGGCCTTGGCACCACATCTTCTTGTTATGAAACAGTCATGTCGGTTTGCGCGCGCATCCACGAGGTGGTCCTGGGCAGCCCACTCATAGACGGTTTGGCTTAGCGCTGGTCAGAAGGAGCCTTGGCGATCATGAAGCCCGGCTTGGCGCATTTGATCTGATGCCTTTGAGCATGCGCATCTCCTTCTGCGAAGCTTGGCCGGCTCGGTGTAGATTTGCCATATCCTGCTCATACATTTTGCTTGCAGACATGTGCATTTCCAACCGCAAACTGTGCGCAGTGTATATTCCGCACTGAGTTCACAAGGGATCTGTACACTTAAGAACCATGGCAGCCACGGAGCGCGAATACCTGGTGAAGAACGTGATTGACACGCACATACACCTCAGCCATCACTACTCTGGAGGCTTGCCGAACACCTGGCATCCCCAGGTCGGGTTGCAGCAAACAGCCGCTGAGATGGCTTGAAAAAATCTATCTATCTATCTCTCTATATATACTTTTTTTTTGCGGGCTTTTGCTGGGCATTGCAGGGTATAGGCTTCGGAGGCTGAGAGATTTGTGGAACATCTGGAACTTCCTGAACCCTTGGAGGAGGCGGAAAGCTTCCGGCGCGACTGGACGCTGGACGACTTCCGCAAGTCCACGCAGACCGCACGTTTCCAGATCTCCCATGCCACTATATCCCCCCTGGGAATCATTTTTTTGTTTACATAAAACCCAAGAGGAGATTTAAAACAAGATATGTTTATTCAGATTCTAAGGGGAGCATAGGCCATCTTCGTGGAGTGTGCGAACCAGCCGGCCCTGGAGGAGGCCAAGTGGGTCCTGCGGCTCATGGATGAGGTGGACTCTCCCATTGTGGGGCTTGTCGCCAACATTTGTGCACAGAAGGGAGCAGCTGAGGTGTCCCGATTTTTAGACTCCCTGCGGGATGCAGACGGGCTGCTTCCAAAGGGCCTGAAGGGAGCCCGCTACGTCTTCATGATGTGGGAGAACCAGGCGGACGATGCCTGCTTGGATGCGAGTTTTCTGGAGGGGCTGGAGGCGCTTTGCAAAGCGGGGCTGCTCTGGGAGTTCTGTTGTGAGCCACGAATGGCACCTTTCTTATCGAGCTGCATCGCGAAGGTCCCGCACATGACCTTTGTGGTTGACCACCTTGCCCACAACGGCAACAGGGGAGGCGACATGGAGACCTGGGGACCAGCCATGGACAGCCTGGGCAAGCTGCCAAACGTTTATGTGAAGCTGGGCGCTACGGAGCAGTGGGATGTACCGAACCCGGAAGCCTTCCTGGACAGAGCAATCCAGGCCATTGGGTTCGACCGCTTGCTCTATGAGTCCAACTGGTTTGTAAATGAAGCCATGGGGGATTCTTATGACAGAAGCGCTGGTCTCGTGTATGAGGCTTGCAAGCGAGCGGGTGCCAGCGAGACAGATCTCTGCAAGGTGTTCCATGACAATGCCTGCAAGGTGTGACTTAGCAGCACTGCTGTGGCCTTGTCCGTAGAAATTAGGCTTCTTGGAACGTCTTTCTCAACTCTACCTCGTTCAACTTTGTTTTACAGCAGGTGCTGAAACGGGGGTATCTTGATGAGATTTCTAACTATTGGCTCTTTGGAAGGTACCAGCTGGATGTCTGAGATGTGTGGATGACGTGGCTGGGAATGAGGTGTTGCCAATTCCTGCCCCTCGCAAAAAGAACTTCCGGACCGCTGAAGGGGGGTGCACTGTCGGCATGATATGAACCACTTATGAGACTTGTGAGTAACCCTAAACCCTAAGCCCTGATGCGTTCCCAGTGTATCGGAAGCGCTCGGCAGTCCTTAAAAAAAAAGGGTTCCCAGTGACCTGCGTACTTCGGAAGGCGATTCCTGCAGACGTGCCCCCGGCAGTGTTGCGCCCGGGCCTCAGATTCTCACATCGTAGGTGGCAGCCTTCGTGAAGTGGTTCTTCCGGTGCATGGATTCAGTAAATGTCTATCCATATAAGCATGCATATATACATATATACATATACATAGGCATATATATATATATATATAGGTAAAATGTATACTATATACATATTCTGTATATACGCCTATAAACGCATTCCGCAGTATCTACCAGTCGGAGGTCCCATGGAGAGTTCTGAACGGAGCTGAGGCGGTATGTTGTGTCTGTGCCCGGTGAGGCTTCGGCTCGGGGCTGAGGGGGACTGGAAGAGTGAACTTGTCGAAAGCATGTTAGGGTTTCGGGTTTAGGGTACCAATTATCAATATCAATATCACCAGCATTAACATTGATAGGAAACATGACTGATATCATTGCGATGATTCCTAAATATTGTTCGTATTGATACTTATTGCCAGGTTTTTCTCGGACTCGTGCCGGATTGATACCATTACCTTTGCATCCCCAGCGCTTCCAGCATCATTTAAGCAGTGGTCTGAGTGATTCACGCAACTCCTCCGTGGCTTTCCTGCCATGAGCCCAGTGAACGAATCGAGTGCAGACGTTCGCCATCACCGACCCATGATTTCGGCTCAAGTTTTTGTTGGGGTGGTACGTACACCGAAAGCGCTCATCCGAGTCCCTCTTCTGGTTGCAGCCTGATGCAGACCGGAACGGTGAAGTCTTTCAACCCCCATAAGGGTGGCCTGCTTGCAAGATGAACCCCCTGGTTAGTAGGGAATGGGGAAATGAGGTACCCTACGTAATCCCCTAAAGGGTGTTTTTACCCCTTAAAGGGTATTCTAATCCCTTGAAGGGTATTATAATCCCTTAAAGGGTATATACAATAGGGATGTAGGGTATCTCAGTCCCTCATTCCCTACTAAGAACAAACCAGTCAAGTGTTCATTCGAAGCTTCTGGCAATTTTACATTTTGGCTTTGACTCTCATTTTGAGGTTGGGGCTTCGTGGAGTGCAACGGTCAAGACAGCTTCCTTCACCAGAAGGAGCTGAAGGGGCAATGTCCATCAGCGCCCCGGCAAGAATCAAGAGCCTTGACGGCCCCATCCTATCTCATCAACCCAATAAACCACCCCAAACCCCAAAACCCTAGACCCTAGACCCTAAACCCTAAACCTGCGGAGACAAGTTCACAGGCTGGTGATTCGGTCACCTTCAAAGTGGAGAACTCCGAGAAGGGCACCGTAGCAACAGAGGTCACAGTGCAGGCGCCCTCCTCGGACGAGGCGCCTTTAGGGTTTAGGGTTTAGGCTGTAGGGTTTAGGGTTCAGGGTTTAGGGTTCAGGGTTCAGGGTTTAGGGTTTAGGGTTGCGGGTCTAGGGTTTAGGGGGTTTAGGGTTTGAACCAAATGCAGGGGCGGGCGACTTGCAAGGAGTAATGTAAACTTACTGCATCGTGGGCTACCTCGCAAGAGTGCCGAAAGTAAGTAACTCCGGATCGGCGCGGGTCGCCTGCGCAGAGCCCCCCTTCCCCCCTCTCTTGGCAAGAAAAGAACCATCCACCCCATAAAGACCAGAGAGAACCATCAAGCTGCCAAACACTCTCTATGAAACTGCGGATAGAACCCAAATACAAGCACGCTAGAGTCCTCTAAGTTTCACTGGGATGTAAGTACACCTATCACTGGCTTAGAAGTACTCAGCAGCAACACAAGAACGTATCAGAAGGACTTTCGGAGTTCTTGCCCCCTCACCCCCAACAGCTTCCCCCTGTGGAATGATTCTCCAATGCTTGGATTGAGTACTCAGCAGAAGCCAGCAATGGTGCAGACTGCTGACAGTCTTTTGTCTAGTTCCCGGGCAACATCTGAGGCCTTCTATTTTGGTGAAATCAAGCGCTTCAATCCCGTGGTTGCCTCGGAAGTGCAAGAGGCTCCGGTACCTGGTGTTTGTTTGTGAAGGCATAGCGCACTGGTGGACGCTCTGAGGTCAAGGGATATGGCTTCATCTCCTGCGAAGCTTTCCCTGAGCAAGATGTGTTTGTCTTAAAGTCCGAGCTGCCACAAGGTGGGCATCAGTAAGCCGATGCATGCCACACATCATGCCACAGTACAGAGCAGTAGGTTGGAGGCTCCATCTGCTGTCCTTGTGCTGTCCTTCGCAGGCTTTGGCCCTGAGGGGGGCCGGTGCAAGTTCAAGGTCGCCAAGGAGGAAAAGGGCCCAGCCGCAAAGCAGGTCCAGCTACTGGGAGCTGCTGAGCAGATGAGAGCTTGGATGGGTTGGGGCAAAGGATGGGGAAAAGGCTACGGTTATGGCATGCCCTACATGGGCTGAGTGAAGTGAAAGTGAAATGAAACATCGGTTTGTGCAAGTGATCTCACTTAGAACCCTGGGCACTCGCCCTGTGGGTTCATGTTCCAGGAAGTGCAGCCTGTTGTCGATAGCAAAGATCGGTGCAGCCTAAGCGCGCGCAGTCGAAAAGAGCCTGCAAGCACATGCCGCATGCCGTTATGTATCCTCTGCATGCAAAAGTGTGTGTGTGTGTGTGTGTGTGTGTGTGTGTGTGTTCTTTTCCTTCGTTGCCTCCCAATGTACCACTGGGCTTCCATCCCCCAGTGCGAACTTGTGATGGCCCCAGGTCAGCCTCAAAAAGTTGGATCTACAACTTGATGCAGAAGGCACTTGCCTTGTCAGATGGTTTTGCAGCAATTGCAGATGCCAGCAGAATCTCAGCTTCAATTGTACATACTTGAACCCATTAGCCCATTCGTCGTACGTCTCGGCAGGCTGCGCATGGAGCTCCTCGAGTGTGCCATGACGGAGCTGGAACCTGAGCTGCGGACCGGCATGTGCTCATGCGTGCTTATTCTGGGGTTTCCGAGAATTGGTGTACCCTTTTGGGGAGGGGGTCCCGTTAAGAGACTCTGTTCTATTTGGGGTCTAAAAGGCAGCTGGGAATTATACCCATGTTAACTAGATAAATCCGGCTTCGCAATGTGCACCGGACCAGGCCCCTTCATACCGTTATAAGGATCATGTGCGGGTGCTGTCGCATGGAAACAAGGATGTCGTGCTGGATCTGTGTTCACGTCGCTCATTCCTTTGTAGGTAAGATCGAACTCATTGGCTCGAAGCCGGCCGGCTCGTGGGCGTGAGCTGGCGCAAGTGAGCTTAATGATTGTGAGGAACCCTAAAGACAGAGCCCCTCCACAGCCACCACTTCGGACCCTACGTAGCAAGCGTGTTTTGACAGTTGCAAGGGAACGTCATGGCCCCAAGAATTTGCCCTATGTTGCCTGACTGAGGCCGGGTCACAGCGCAGCTGGCTTCCATGCGTCCGTCAGACAAAAATTGTCTGACGCGGCAGTGCGTGGATCAAGCATCTGCAGACAATGCGCTGCAACTGCCGGTCTTGGCCCTGTCTGGTGCTGCAATGGCAGCCAAGCTTCAGCAGCAGGACTGCCGCAAAGAGCCCTGACCTCCAACAGGTCCACCGAAACCTGGAAGCCTGGCTTGTGCAAGTTGGATCCAGCTGAGGTGTATTGTTCCGATTGGGACCTCATCTCATCTCACTCATGCTCACTCGTGTGTTCCAGCCCTCGTCTGTTCGACCATACTCGAGTTTAGCTTCACGAGCTTGCCATCACAAGCAGATGATCAAAGGACCAGGGTGTTCTTTCTTACGGTCCTGTCGGCAGTCGCTTGCCGGGCGCCATGCTGAAAGTCATGCGTGCCTGGAACCCAGGAAGAGAGAGTCGCTGTGCCACATGGGCGCCCATGTGGCACCGCGAAAATCTTTGCTGGGCTCAAGCAAGATGTTTTTCGCGATCCATCGCAGATTGGAGTCGTGCTTGCCACCCGAGATGGCTCTGCGGCTCGCTTCAAGCGAGCCGCAGAGCCATCTCGGGTGGCAAGCACGACTCCAATCTGCGATGGATCGCCAAGAACAGTGGCCTGGCTTCCTATGTGTGCGTATTGCAAGAGGGGCGGCTCCTTTTCATCCCCAGGCTGCTTGACACATTGAGGTCGAAGTCACAGCAAGTCAGTTGTCGCACCTTGCATGGGTCAGCAAACGTGGAGCTGATGTCACCATGGTGTGTGGCGATGGCAGCCAGCCGATGGCCATCAAGGTCAGTGGCGACGCTTGGCCGAAGCCAGCATCCATTGCGAAAGATGCACACGCAGACATGACAGAAGATTGACAAACGGAAGCAAGCAGAAGAAGCGGCTGCATTTCTCGACCTTGCTGACTTCGCGTGTTGTCAGGATGGCAAGAGCTACATCAAAACCGCCAGCATGGTCTAGGATCTTCTGGCTCTCCTGTTCCTTGGCGTAAGGCTGTGGACGGGCGGGGGCACCTTGCCTGCATTGAACATTTATCGTGCGCAGGGGTCTTGGGGGTTGTTGGAGGTGGGCGGAGTAGGAATAGCGCCAGGTGAAAACAGAGAGAGTTCGCATAGCTAAGGCCCTATACAGGCAGAGCGTCGTGCGGCCTTAGCGCAAGTCCCTGCGTGGATTCTCGAGCGCGTGACTGCAGCCAAAAACAATTTTCGGTCTCAACTCATCCCAGTAGTTAGTGATGTCGTGCGCCGTAGCCCGCGCTGTAGCGCGAATCACGGCTTCTGGCTGTTCTCTGAGGGGTTTTGTTTGTTCGGCTGGACTCGTCTGACCTGACCTTTCCCTCCGCAGAGCGTGTGTGTGTGTGTGTGTGTGTGTGTGTGTGTGTGTGTGTGTGTGTGTGTGTGTGTGTGTGTGTGTGTGTGTGTGTGTGTGTGTGTGTGTGTGTGTGTGTGTGTGTGCGTGTGTGTGCGTGCGTGTGTGTGTGCGTGTGTGCGTGTGCGCGTGCGTGTGCGTGTGTGTGTGCGTGCGTGTGCGGTGCGTGCGTGTGCGTGTGTGTGTGTGTGCGTGCGTGTGCGTGCGTGTGCGTGCGTGTGCGTGCGTGTGCGTGTGTGCGCGTGCGTGCGTGCGTGCGTGCGTGCGTGCGTGCGTGCGTGCGTGCGTGCGTGCGTGCGTGTGTGTGTGCGTGTGTGCGTGTGTGCGTGTGTGCGTAGTGATGTCGTGCTCAATGTTCTTTATTCAACCACGTAGGCCGTTGTGGCCCATCGCCCTAGTTGCTCTGCGGCCTCTGCAGGGTGCAAGAAAGAGGCCTGAAAATGTCACATGACCAAGCACAGAGACCCTGTAGGTCTCGCGACAAGCTATGACTTATACTTGATGGGCACTTGATGGGTTTTCAACTTTCGCTTGCTCGTAGGGCCACTTGTGGTAACATGTGGTAACATGCTTCGCGTCACGAGCAGCGCAAGCTCTTTGCGAATCCTCGGGGCCTGCCGCAGTCTGGATCGAACATCAAGCGTTAACGGCCTGAAACCCGCTGTGCTGCAGACAATGCGCTGCAACTGCCGAGGGCTTCTTTGTCTTGGCCTCCTGGCCTGCCTGATCCTGCGATGGCAGCCAAGCTTCAGCAGCGGGGCTTCTGCAAAGAGCCCTGACCTCCAACAGGTCCACCGAAACTTGGAAGCCCTGGCGAAGACGCTGGGCACTCCTCGTCGCCAGGCGCGCGTTCGTGTGAGCCTTTTGCTCCCTTCTCACACAGCTTCTTGTGGTGCCAGGTGACGCTGAAGGAGTATTTGTTAAACGATGCCTACCAGCCGCCGCTGGCTGAGTACAAAGTGCGAGCTCACGGCAGCTCCTACTCAGCAGTGGCCGAGTTGACGATTGGCTCCTTCCAAGGCGTGGGCTGCTGTATGATGCTGTATGCAGCTGTGCTGTGTAGTGTCGACACATGTGAGTCATGTGACTGATCCCACTCCCCATCGTGCCAGGAGCTCCGGCAAAAAGCGCCGAGGAGGCCAAGGTCAGCGCGGCGCATGCGGCGCTGCGTTCGCTCCGCGCGCGCGGCGCGGAGGAGACTCCGAAGGCCTTTCACGCCGCCCGGCTTGTGCCAGTTGGATCCAGCTGAGGTGTATTGTTCCGATTGGGACCTCGGACCTCATCTCATCTCACTCATGCTCCGTGTGTTCCAGCCCTCGTCTCTTCGACCGTGCTCGAGTTTAGCCTCACTGGTCCACTGGAGCCCGCCATCAAAAGCAGACGATCAAAGCCCAAAGCTTCAAAGTCCAGGGTGTCCTTTCTTAGGGTCTTGTCGGCAGCGACACAAAATCCATCCGAATGAGATCGCGCTGGGACTCTGGCATTTCAGCTGATGTCAAGCCGGCGTAGCATGTAGGAATGTAGGTGCTTCGCTTGTCTTTGAGAGAAGCCTTGCAGTGCTGCAGTGCTGCAGGGCGTCATCATGCCTGCCGAAACTTGCAACCCAGGAAAAGAAGTTCGCCGTGCCACATGGGCCGCATGGCCGAAACCTGCAAGCGAGCCGCAGAGCCATCTCGGGTGGCAAGCACGACTCAAATCTGCGATGGATCGCAAAAAACAGTGGCCTGGCTTCCTATAGTGTGCGCATTGCAAGGGGGCGGTTCCTTTTCATCACAGGCTGCTTGACACATTGAGGACGGGGTCACAGCAAGTCAACTGTCGAACCCTGGGTCAGCAAAGGTGGAGCTGACGTCACCATGGTGGGCGGCGATGGCAGCCAGCCGCTGGCCATCAAGGTCAGTGGTGACGCTCGGCCGAAGCCAGCATCCCTTGCGAAGGATGCGCGCGCACGCGTGACCGAAGGTTGACAAACGGAATCAAACAGACTCAAACAGATGAAGCGGCTGCATTTCTGGACCTTGCTGACATCGCGTGTTGGCAGGATGGCAAGAGCTACATGAAAGCCGCCAGCATGGTCGAGGATCTTCTGGCTCTCCTGTTCCTTGGCATAAAGCTGTGGACGGGCGGGGGGTACCTCGCCTGCTTTGAACCTTCATCCTGCGCAGGGTTCTTGGGGGTTGTTGGAGGTGGGCGGAGTAGGAATAGCACCAGGTGAAAAAACAGGGAGAGCGCAGAACGGCGGCCGAATAACTCCTTGATTCTTCTTGCCCAAGCCGAAATGTCCTCAAAGGTGACAGCCATACCCTCCATTCAAACCGTACACAGGAGTTCGCATAGCTAAGGCCCTACAAGCAAAGCGTCGCGCGGCCGCAGCGCAAGTCCCTGCGCGGATTCGCGAGCGCCTGACTGGAGCCAAAAACAGTTTTCTCAACACATGCCAGTAGTCATGAGTGATGTCGTGACTCATGACCAAGCACGGAGGCCCTGTAAGGCTCCCGACAAGCTATGACTTACTTGAGGGGCGCTTGGCGGGTTTTCAACTTTCGCTTGCTCGTAGGGCCAGTTGTGGCAACATGTGGTAGCAGTGGCAACATGCTTCGCTTGAAGACTGCTTTTGACAAGCTGCGGCTCTACCCGAGCAGCGTAAATCTTTGCCAATCCGCGGGGCCTGCCGCAGTCTGGATCGAACATCAAGCGCTTTAACGGCCTGAAACCCGGCTGTGCTGCAGACAATGCGCTGCAACTGCCGAGGGCTTCTTTGTCTTGGCCTCCTGGCCTGCCTGGTGCTGCAATGGCAGCCAAGCTTCAGCAGCGGGGCTTCTGCAAAGAGCCCTGACCTCCAACAGGTCCACCGAAACTTGGAAGCCCTGGCGAAGACGCTGGGCACTCCTCGTCGCCAGGCGCGTGTTCGCGTGAGCCTTTTGCATGCTCCCTCTCACATAGCTTCTTGTGGTGCCAGGTGACGCTGAAGGAATATTTGTTAAACGATGCCTACCAGCCGCCGCTGGCTGAGTACAAAGTGCGAGCTCACGGCAGCTCCTACTCAGCAGTGGCCGAGTTGACGATTGGCTCCTTCCAAGGCGTGGGCTGCTGTATGATGCTGTATGCAGCTGTGCTGTGTAGTGTCGACACATGTGAGTCATGTGCGGGATCCCACTCCCCATCGTGCCAGGAGCTCCGGCAAAAAGCGCCGAGGAGGCCAAGGTCAGCGCGGCGCATGCGGCGCTGCGTTCGCTCCGGGCGCGCGGCGCGGAGGAGACTCCGAAGGCCTTTCGCGCCGCCCGGCTTGTGCCAGTGGAATCCAGCTGAGGTGTATTGTTCCGATGGGGACCTCATCTCATCTCATTCATGCTCCCTCGTGTGTTCCAGCCCTCGTCTCTTCGACCGTGCTCGAGTTTAGCCTCACTGGTCCACTGGAGCCCGCCATCAAAAGCAGACGATCAAAGCCCAAAGCTTCAAAGTCCAGGGTGTCCTTTCTTAGGGTCTTGTCACAGTGACGCAAAATCCATCCGAATGAGATCGCGCAGGGACTCTGGCATTTCAGCTGATGTCAAGCCGGCGAAGCATGTAGGAATGTAGGTGCTTCGCTTGTCTTTGAGAGAAGCTTTGCAGGGCGTCATGCTGACAGCCATGCCTGCCCGGAATTGCAATCCAGGAAAAGAAGTTCGCCGTGCCACATGGGCCTCATGGCCGAAACCTGCAAGCGAGCCGCAGAGCCATCTCGGGTGGCAAGCACGACTCAAATCTGCGATGGATCGCAAAAAACAGTGGCCTGGCTTCCTATAGTGTGCGCATTGCAAGGGGGCGGTTCCTTTTCATCACAGGCTGCTTGACACATTGAGGACGGGGTCACAGCAAGTCAACTGTCGAACCCTGGGTCAGCAAAGGTGGAGCTGACGTCACCATGGTGGGCGGCGATGGCAGCCAGCCGCTGGCCATCAAGGTCAGCGGTGACGCTTGGCCGAAGCCAGCATCCATTGCGAAAGATGCACACGCACGCGTGACCGAAGTTTGACCAACGGAATCAAACAGAATCAAACAGATGAAGCGGCTGCATTTCTCGACCTTGCTGACACCGCGTGTTGTCAGGATGGCAAGAGCTACACGAAAGCCGCCAGCATGGTCGAGGATCTTCTGGCTCTCCTGTTCCTTGGCGTAAAGCTGTGGACGGGCAGGGGTTCATGGGGGTTGTTGGTGGTCGGCGGACTAGGAATAGTGCGTGAACAACAGGGAGAACAACTCCTTGATTCTTCCTGCCCAAGCCAAAATGTCCTCAGAGGCGACAGCCATGCTCTCCATTCATCATACCCGTACACAGGAGTTCGCATTGCTAAGGCCCTACAAGCAAAGCGTCGCGCGGCCGCAGCGCAAGTCCCTGCGCGGATTCGCCAACGCGTGACTGGAGCCAAAAAAAGCTTCGGTCTCAACACATCCCAGTAGTCATTAGTGATGTCGTGCTGTGCAAAGCAGCTCTTTGCGAATCCCCGGGGCCTGCCGCAGTCTGGATCGAACATCAGCGCTTTAACGGCCTGAAACCCGGCTGTGCTGCAGACAATGCGCTGCAACTGCCGAGGGCTTCTTTGTCTTGGCCTCCTGGCCTGCCTGATCCTGCAATGGCAGCCAAGCTTCAGCAGCGGGGCTTCTGCAAAGAGCCCTGACCTCCAACAGGTCCACCGAAACTTGGAAGCCCTGGCGAAGACGCTGGGCACTCCTCGTCGCCAGGCGCGTGTTCGCGTGAGCCTTTTGCTCCCTTCTCACATAGCTTCTTGTGGTGCCAGGTGACGCTGAAGGAGTATTTGTTAAACGATGCCTACCAGCCGCCGCTGGCTGAGTACAAAGTGCGAGCTCACGGCAGCTCCTACTCAGCAGTGGCCGAGTTGACGATTGGCTCCTTCCAAGGCGTGGGCTGCTGTATGATGCTGTATGCAGCTGTGCTGTGTAGTGTCGACACATGTGAGTAATGTGCGGGATCCCACTCCCCATCGTGCCAGGAGCTCCGGCAAAAAGCGCCGAGGAGGCCAAGGTCAGCGCGGCGCATGCGGCGCTGCGTTCGCTCCGGGCGCGCGGCGCGGAGGAGACTCCGAAGGCCTTTCGCGCCGCCCGGCTTGTGCCAGTGGAATCCAGCTGAGGTGTATTGTTCCGATGGGGACCTCATCTCATCTCATTCATGCTCCCTCGTGTGTTCCAGCCCTCGTCTCTTCGACCGTGCTCGAGTTTAGCCTCACTGGTCCACTGGAGCCCGCCATCAAAAGCAGACGATCAAAGCCCAAAGCTTCAAAGTCCAGGGTGTCCTTTCTTAGGGTCTTGTCACAGTGACGCAAAATCCATCCGAATGAGATCGCGCAGGGACTCTGGCATTTCAGCTGATGTCAAGTCGGCGTAGCATGTAGGAAAGTAGGTGCTTCGCTTGTCTTTGAGAGAAGCTTTGCAGGGTGTCATGCTGACAGCCATGCCTGCCCGGAATTGCAACCCAGGAAAAGAAGTTCGCCGTGCCACATGGGCCTCATGGGCGAAACCTGCAAGCGAGCCGCAGAGCCATCTCGGGTGGCAAGCACGACTCAAATCTGCGATGGATCGCAAAAAACAGTGGCCTGGCTTCCTATAGTGTGCGCATTGCAAGGGGGCGGTTCCTTTTCATCACAGGCTGCTTGACACATTGAGGTCGGGGTCACAGCAAGTCAGTTGTCGAACCCTGCATGGGTCAGCGAAGGTGGAGCTGACGTCACCATGGTGGGCGGCGATGGCAGCCAGCCGCTGGCCATCAAGGTCAGCGGTGACGCTTGGCCGAAGCCAGCATCCATTGCGAAAGATGCACACGCACGCGTGACCGAAGTTTGACAAACGGAATCAAACAGAATCAAACAGATGAAGCGGCTGCATTTCTCGACCTTGCTGACTTCGCGTGTTGTCAGGATGGCAAGAGCTACACGAAAGCCGCCAGCATGGTCGAGGATCTTCTGGCTCTCCTGTTCCTTGGCAGAAAGCTGTGGACGGGCGGGGGTACCTCGCCTGCTTTGAACCTTCATCCTGCGCAGTGTTCTTGGGGGTTGTTGGAGGTGGGCGGAGTAGGAATAGCACCAGGTGAAAAACAGAGAGAGAACGCAGAACGGCGGCCGAATAACTCCCTGACTCTTCTTGCCCAAGCCGCAATGTCCTCAAAGGTGACAGCTATATACCCTCCATTCATACTCGTACACAGGAGTTCGCATAGCTAAGGCCCTACAAGCAAAGCGTCGCGCGGCCGCAGCGCAAGTCCCTGCGCGGATTCGCGAGCGCCTGACTGGAGCCAAAAGGGTCTGAACTGTCATCTAAGTTTGCAAGGGTCTGGGGTTTTCGAATTTTCTTTGCAGGGCATTTTAATAGAGCCTTCAAACGTTTCCAAAAGGCTGGCTTTTTGCGGGGCTTGCATCTGCGACATCTTTGGTGCAATTAATCTTGTACTCTCTGCGTCAGACATGCCTGCGAGGGGAGTCCAAGCAGCCCAAGATCCCCGACGCCATCATCCTGACCCTGAAGATGACAACCCCCGCAGTTTTCAGTTCAAGCTCGCAACTTTCCGGGACATTGCTCTCCAGCCGATGGCACCGGTTCCTTGGAGAAAGTTTCTGGAAGTCTGAGGGCTGCGAATTTGGGCGAAGGGCTTTTGCTTCAGACCCGCAAGCTCCCTAAACCCAGTTTTCGGATATTTTGTTCTAGATGCTGCGCTTGGTCGCTCCTGCAGAGTTTCGATTTTGACGATGCGAGGGGCATGAGGGTCTTGGGGGCATGACGGCCACGACTGCCTCGAGCAACGCTGGTTCGAAATCGTTTGGGCTTTTCCCCCCATTGAAAAAGCACCTCCCAAACACAAGCCGTAATACTTACTCCAGAGCAGGGGTTTCGCCTTTCTCTTGGGAGGGCGTTTGAGGTTGGGGGCCCTGTCCCTGCGTGCAGCAGAAGCCAGAGAGAGTTGAGAGAGAGAGAGAGAGAGATCGGTATTGCGTGCCCCTGTGGGGCGGCTCCACCAGTGGGAGTCACACGCACTGCAAGCAAGCAGGAGAGCGAGAGATCGCCCCCGGCCCCTTGAACGAAAGCTCCCCCCACTTCACCCTCGAAGAAGAGAGAGAGAGAGAGAGGCCTCTTCGCTGTGTAGAAGAAGAAGAAGAAGAAGAAGATGAAGAGTTCGAAAACGACCTGACTCTTGTTCAACTTCAAGATGCGAGTGTGGCAACACCAGCGTGTGCCCTGCCGTCCCTTGAAGTTTAGCTGATGAATTCTTTGGACGACTCGGCTCGAAATGTGGAAGCGCGGTTTCGTGAAATCGGGGTTTGCGCAGCGGAGCTAGTTGCTTCTCGGCGAGTTTGTTTCGACCATCATCACCAAGCTCAATGAGAGCCAGTGCCGTTTTGCTTGCCTTCTCCTGCAGCATTGCTGTTGCAGCCTCAGATGAAGGAGCTGAGTATGCAAAGGCTGGAGTAAAAATGCTCACCGAAACATGTAAAGACCTGAAAGATGGCAGCTCAGCCGCCTCCACTGCACAAGCGATCGCTGCCACCACGGTTTCAACTGCCGGGGAAGTGGTGATGGCAACGGGCGGGCCCGTCGGGTGGGTCGTTGGTGGCTTGATGTGTCTCTTCGGAGGGCTTATGGAGCCGTCTGAGCCGTCCGAGACCGACATCCTGAAAAAACAGATCGCAGACCTCAAAGTTACGATTTCAGAAAAGCTTGACAACATCAACCGCAAGTTGGACTACATTGGAATGAGTATCAGCGCCCTCCAACATTCCATCAAGCAGGTGTTTGCTGAGACGCAACAAATCGAGCGTGATGTGCAGCGAGTCCGGCTAGACGAGGAGGGTGGTCTTGTGTGGCTTCAGAACATCCCGTACCAGTATATGACCTTCCTGAATCTGTTGCATGCAGCGCAGGCAGATCCAGACAATTTAGATGACTTGTCCCAGTGGATTAGCAAGTACCGAGAACCCTACGAGGAGACCTACTTCCGCTGGGACAACATCTACAGGATCCTTGTGCATTACGATTGGCCCCTGCATGGGGCGCTTGTGCTCCAGGACATCATAGTGGCCCGTATCCAGTTCGCAACCATGCAAAGTCTCGCCTTGTTCATGGAACATGGCAGATTCACTGCGTTGGGACTGACGCATGCGCGCCTCATGGATGATGACCTGCGAGCATACATGATAATCGCCCGAGACAAAAAGCTGCCTATTCAACTGCAGCCCGAAACTCTCGTCATAAAGATGAGCCAATGCCACGCTGCAAAAATGGGACAGAAAGTTAGAGATCAGTTTTGGCCGGAAGGTCTGAAGTCCTACTTGCACCGCTGCTGCTGCGACATGGAATGCGACCAGCACCCTCTAATAGGTCATTGCCCCTGCCGCCAAAGCGAGGACGCCTCCTTCGTCATTGGGCCTATGGGAGCGATGCTCTTTTGTCACGAAGCATTTCAATACAAGCGTATGTTTACAAGCAGCGCCTTAGCACTTGAAGCTTCTGATGACCAGGGCTTTGTCCAGAAAATCACCGGGGTGGAGTTTGCCTCTTTCGCATCATTCCTCGTGACTATCATCCTGCTTGTCTGCGCGGCTGTGGCCTTTCGTAAGTTGCAGAACCGGCAGAACGAACACGGGTACAGCCGTCTTCCTGAGGAAGTCCACGGATGATTGTTCCATTCTGTTGCGACTCTGGCTCGGAAGACCCCGAGGTGAGTCCGCGCTACTCCATAGGTCGCACATTGTCACACATTCTTCTGATTTTGACTTTTAAGCTTTGCTGAGCAAGTCGTGTTGCTGCATATAAAAGGACAGATTCCGGGCATGGACACGTGGTTACGCGCTTACAAAACCATGACAGACTCGCGCCCTTCGGGGGCGACCCCCTCGGGAGGTTGCGCGACTTTCAAGCAAAGCAAGCAACAGATCACGCAACGGCACAGTTGAGAATCAATCAAGAAAGCGTGAAAAGAGGAGGCCCGTACTGGGACAGTTTCCAGTGCATTCCGTGCACGTTGAGCCAGGAAGTAGGATGAAGCCGAGGCTGCAGACGAGGGTTTGAAGGTTTTTGGGTCGAGGCTCCCAGACATTCTCTAACGGTCCCGAAAGATGGAGAACCACAAGCTGGCTCTCATAAAGCCTTCCAGCACCCCGAAATACAGGGACCCCCAACTGCCCGGGCTCAGGTTCAATCTCGTTTCGTCGCAGCAGGCGATGCCGCTTTGACAGTTGAGGGTATAGTGTGGTAGAAATGGTATAATATGGGATAATGTGGTAGAATTCATTCCGAAGCCCTCGAAGTTTGGCTCAGCCATTGGCAGCCATGGGGCTGGGCATGTAGGCCGTCAGGTCTTGGAGGGGGTGCAAATTGAGAAGGTCCGGGTTGCTATGGCAATTTGCGCGCGTGGGAGTATGTTCAGTTTGTGGCTTATGCTACTTGTATTATATCTATAGTTCACTTAGTTACATTATTCATACTTTTGCTGTAATTCTTATATTTTTTTTTATCAATACATTCTTCTGTATCGGAGTATCGATGGCCCTCCGCCCGCCAGGCCTTGCAGCAGGCCTCGTCGCATCGACCACCTTCGTCGCACCTTCCGCTCCTCGTGCCGAGAGCCAGCTGAGGGGAGGCCACGGGGGGGAGGAGGAGGGCACTTTCGGGGTTAGGGGCTTAGGGGTTTTTAGGTTTTTAGGGGTCTGGGGGTCTAGCTTAGGGGTTTAAGAGTTTAGGGTCTATAGGGTTTAGGGTTGCTGGGCCCGCGGCCGCCCTCGGCGATCCCTGTGCCCAAGCCTTTCAGTGTCCGGTTGTGGGAGGCGCCGCGGCTCCCTCGCCCGGCCGCGCTGTTTCCGCGCAGCTCCCGAACCGCAGATGCGGGGTTCAGGGGTTCGGGGAATTTTGTCGGATGTCTTTGGTCTTTGGGGCTTAACGGTGTGTATGAAGTTTCGGCTTTCTAGCTCGTTCGCTTCAACCAGCCCCCCGCAAAGCTGAAATCCGAAAGCTTCGCGACTTCAGCCCTGGAGTCGGAATGCCCTAAACCCCCCCGAAAATCCTGGGCAGTGTTTCGCCTGCTTGGTGTACTGGATTTGAAAGGGGCGCGCGGGTCTCTAAGTTGCTTTAAAAAAAAGGCGCTCCGCTCTAAGGGCTTTCGGGCTTCAGATTTCGCAGTGCCGGGCATCACATGGCTGGGTGCAAACTGCGAAAAAACAGGTTGTTGTAAGATGCTGAGGAAGTCGGGCGATGGCCTTGCAGCGCTGGCCGTGCTTGGTGCTGCTTGGACGGTCTCAGCCCATCTCAGCCCGAAGCCTTCCTCAAACTCTCAAGCACGGAGATGCACGGGTCTTTTGCTGCTTTGGGAGAGCATGTTCTGACGGCTGCGTATGGCGGTTCGGGCTTAGGGTCTTGGTCTTCCTGGTCTTCCAAGAGTCTCGGGAGTGGCTGGTCGGGGCTTGGTGCTCAACTCCCTTGTGGCCTTTAAGAATTTTAAAAGCTAAAAAGCCTGGAACTCCAAACGCGCCAAACCTTCTCAGTGCCCAAAGGCGCCACAATCCCATAAATGAATCCAGTCAATCCTACAAGCCCTTACGTGAACGTGAAGCCCCCAAGCCCAAACCCTCCGCAGAAGCACGGTGGAAGGGTCGAACAAGAACCTCGAAGATGGCAAATTGCACTGAGGCGGGCTTGGCTGCGCTGCGCGGCAACTCCCGTGTTCAGGCCGGCTTGGAGTGCACCAAAAGGGGGTTTCGGACTTTTGGAGATTTCGGACTTTTGGAGATTTGGGGGTTGGGGGGGGGGAGCTTAGACGAGGACGCTTAAGGATGCGAAGCATCCTTCGCCGCTTTCGTTGTATAGGGCTTAGGCCGGCCGAAAACCTAGTAGCTCTGAACCCTCGACCTACGCCCTTGGCCTTGGCTCTTCCCGGCTTTTCTTGGCCAAGGCGAGGGCCACTTCGGCAGCTGAGGTCCTGCTCGGCTTGGTTTGCTTTCGAGTTTTGAGATTGAAGGTAGCCTTTCAGTTCGGGGGAGCAGGGGTCTAAAGCAGCCTTTACACACCGCAAACCGTCCTGGATACATGCAATCGCCTGCTTGGGTGCGTGCGTGCGGCAATGTGGCAGGCGCCTGTGCCAACAGTGTTCCAGCCGTCCGAGCAGTTCGGTGCCACGGAGCCTCTGGGATTCTTTGATCCGGTCGGGTTCACCAAGGTTGGCGACGAGAAGGGTTTCAGGAAGCTTCGTGTCTCAGAGATCAAGCACGGTAGGGTAGCCATGATGGCTTCCATTGGGCTGAT